CTAACAACCGGGCGAAAAGAACCTCCAACTCCAGCCCAAAAAACACTCCTTCGACACCGGCCCCCAAAACACTAATTCCCACCACAAGGATTCCAAATCCCCATATTCCCACCAAGGAAAAGTTCCTTCAGGACGTCCCAAACCTCAGCCTCGAAAAAAGCGAAAGCGTATTAAATTCTCACATCACGAAATCTTACGCGCCCTACACTCTCTTGGCGAAGCCCGTAGTGAAGATGAATGATGACGATGGCGTTCTTAATGTATTGTTGTCAATTTCCACATGGGGTGCTTCTGACGAGAGCTGATGGGGATAGATCGAGAAATCTGCGTTCTATTGCCGCCGTCGTAGTAGCAGTGTGGGTAGATGAGGGTTAAGCCTTGCACGTAGATACGAGGCGAAGAGTTTGGAGATCGTAGTTCAGCGTTTACAACATCAGCGACAGTCCATACTTGGTCGTAACTAACCACCAACTATCAAGCAGTGCATCCACCAATATTTCTTACTTCCTTCATAATACCATTGTTGATTAGTTAATTGATCAACGAACGATACCGAGAACCAGGTTGCTAACTTGGCCCCCCATCCCTTCCGTCCTCTCTCTACCCTCCCTACACATCCAGCATCACGTCGTAGTCATTGTCGAAACAATAGGCCAATTGACAGGAACCCGCAAACAGTGTATCTTTTTTTCAACAGTATCACCGTAAATCTCTAGTTCACCCAATTGAACGTGTGTATGTACTATAATCCGCGCCTTTGATCGACGTCACCTCGACTCTCTAGATACCAGGTACTTAGGTACCCATCTCACATACATCATGTAGTATGTACGCACACATTACCGAATTCAGCACAGCACATCTAATTGAACCCATGGCACCGTTAACATTAGTCTCCGTACATGTGTGTGCGCGTGCACCCTCACGTCCTATACCCGCGAAGAGAAAATGTCCGTTTGCGTCGAACGAGCGGCGGGAGGATGGATCGTCAGGCAAATGGTCTCTATCCATCCTATCTCATCTATTCTACGTGCGTGCTGCAGTCCGGTGCGGAGAAGGAAGGAACGAGGAGGGAGGGAGGCAGGCGACGGACTGGAGTGAGTGCGTGGTTCGTTTGTTTCATGCATGGCTTGCCTGGTTGTTTTATTGTCTGACGGAGTGAGGGAGTGGGTGAGTGCCTGACGGGGTGAACGCCGACGGTGGTGGATGGATGGATGGGCGGAGGCGACTCGTCGGTAGGGTTTTCATTTTCTTGTGGGGTTTGGTTGTGTAAACTATTTTTTTGTATGTAGGTATGTATGTACGGAGTATGGGATGGTGAGTATACATGCTTTGCTTTGACGTTGAAGAGGAACCGTGATATCAACTTCCACCACCATCCACATACCATCTACCATCTCCCCTCATGCCTCCTAACTACCTCGCCCTCTAGAACAAAATATACCATACCATCCCATCCAATAAACAAAACACGCACATACATAGACAGTCACTCCTGCAGAAAACGCAGGCAAAAACCCCAACAAGATAACCCTCACCTCGCTTCGCTTCGCTTTCGTCCCATCACAAAACGCATGGCTTACATCGTCCCGCGACGCGCGAGGCGACGGACATCTACGGGCGACCCGACCTGACCTTTCCTGCGTCCCTCCGGCGCGCCTGATATCGGGGTTTTTTCTCGCTGCGTTTATGAGGCGAGGACGGAGTAGTTTTCTATTTTATCCGGCATGGAAACGGTGCAGCATAGTGATAAGGACGGTGATATGATATGCGTGAGTATTGTCCATCGAGAAGGTACTGTGTTGGTTCTTTCACTCCTACATGCAGAAGAGAGGGTTGGGTGGGGCCGACGCCAAGGTGTACATTCACTCTCACGACTTCTCTCGTGTGCTGCATGTCTTCTCGCGCGCAAGAAAGAATCTAACCCTTCCTTCATTCTTCTTTCGAAGACAAAAGTCCCCGTCACTTCAAACCTTTTTCATAAAAGTAAACTATCGAAATGTCAAACCAAACCAAACCAAACCCAAACCCAGCCTCACGAGTCACTGTAGGCGGGTGTAGTCTAGTTTCGAACCAAAATGTATACATAGATATCTAAAGATTTAAAAAAAACTCCCCAAAAATAGCCCAAACGCTCTTCCTTTCTCTCCAAGCTTCAAACTCCCATGTGACTTCTCTATTTTTTTTTTCCTTTTCAATAGATCCAAAACTTGAAGGTTTCAAAACAACAAATTCGATAGTTCCAAAACCTCAATTGCGATAGACCTTGAAAGGGAAAAAGGGAGGGTTAAAGGTTAAATGCGGTTTATTGGGAAACCTTTAGCGAGTATTGTAGTCGGTCATGCGCATATAGGGAGGTGATGTGAAACGATAGTTAGTTCTTGAATGTTGTTTGGTTCTGTTTTCAGGTTCTGTTTTCAGGTGAAGTTTTAGGTGGAGTTGTAGGTTGGGTGTAGGTTGGGTGTAGCGTAGCGTAGTGTAGCGCTATGTAGAAGGTTTGAACTATGTAGTGGTTGTGGAAGACAAGGCTGGCATGTATATCCGTTTAAGTTTGACAGTGTTGGTGAATGTAGGTAGGCACGTCTGGATGTGTATTGAATCGTGTCGCGACGACGATAGTGTTGCGGATTGATACGATACTGAGATACTCCGGGTATCTTGTGCGCATATACGTTTCGATGTGCGATAGGAACATGTCCCGTCTCTAGGTATACTCGATACACAGTATACTCCATACTCTGTAGCTATCGATCATCACCAACCAGTGTCCATCTACTCCGCCATCTAGGTACCTTCCGACCAATCTACCCCAAACCGGCACATCTCCCCAACCACGGAAGCACACCTGGTGCTGAAACTCCCTCCCACCTTCCAGAAACCCTCCTCTCCTCACTCATTCTTCTATCGGAATCTACTCCGTGCGAGTTGCACACACACAGTCGCACAGTTACACCCACTCACCTACCGCAAGTAAGGTAACTAGGCAAGCAGGTAGTCTAGACTTGAAAGATGTGCAACAGTGCAAGGCTACCTTTCCTAGTTCCTGGGGGATGCGAGACGGGGAGATTATGAAGGGGGCGGCGGTGGCTAGGAATTGAAACAATGGGCCAGTGGGTAGTGGACCGAGGAATGCTAAGTGCCGATTTTATTGGACTTCCACGGCTATGACGAAATGGGCCGACTGGTAGTTCACTCCATAGCGAGGAAGAGAATTGTTAGGTGAGGTTAGAATGGGATGATTTTGTACACAGTATGCATGCGATGGGCGATGTAGCATCGCGAACTATTGAGTGCATTGGATGCGAGTAATGAAGCTGGGTTTGTGGCTAGTTCTCTCGAGTTTGAGGCGTTGGCGCAGGGTGATCATAGATGTCACGGAAGGTCGTACTCGTACCTACGTACAGTTACGAGCACCTACTCGGTGTGTAAGAGTTTGATAATTCCCTAGGTAAGTCGACCGAAGCAGAAAAGAAAAAGAAAGAAAAGCGATGGTCCTGCATTTGGAGAATTGTGTTTGACAATTAACCGGCAAGGTCGTTAGATTGGGATCGAACATCGCAATAATGTGAGCATAAGGCCTCTCTACCTGGAGTCCAACCCCCCCTTCTTTTCGGTGTCTTTTCTGGTGATTTGGAGGACTAGGCGGGATTAGGATATGGCGTGGTGTCAGTTAGGACTGGGGAGATTTTTTGGAATTGCATTGAGAGGATGGACACGAGGATGGGTGATGTGGATTAATGAACGAGCGAACGAACGAATGAGATGTTTTGCTGTTTGATTGTTTTAATCAAAAGGGATCTGCCGTTAAGAGACTCGAGTGGTGGCTGTGAGGAGGGCAGCATTGACGAGCGGCAATCGGCATATTACGCACTGCTAAGTAGACTAGGTAACTAGGAGAGTAATGGGCAACGGTTCAGATCAGTTCAGTCCACGAGTGAGGGGGATCATTGATGATTCTTGTCGTTGTTAATGTTAGTTGATCCGATTAAGGTCCTTTTGGTGTTGATATGATTATTGCAACCAATTAATAGTAAAAACCGGCGGAGTGCCTGAGGGCAGAGGATGGTGGATGGTGGAGGGCGGTTGATGATGGCAGATTACTGGATGCGTGTAATGTATACCAAGGCCAAGGGAGGCTCAGCGCAATGGTATTTGATTTTACGTCCGCCTTGCGTACGCGCATATGTGCGTGTATCGTACGGGAAGGTCACCGTAGGTACGGAGTATAATACACAGTAATAATCATAACACGAGTTGGTTGATTGATGGATGATGACGGGGATGGAGACTTGACAGATGCAAACGGCGGGAAGGAAATGATGGATACTTGGATAATACTTGGTACGGGGAATAGAGCAGTGGATCGGTGAAATTATGGCAGCGGGGACCAGTGGGAAGGAGGGGAAATGCGTAATTGAAGGACGAGGACAATCAAAAGATTATGATTAATTTATGAGAGCAGTGGAGAATGGATGGCTGATTATTGCTGATAGCTGATTGCTGATGATGGATGATGTTGGCCTGTTGTTGGTGGCCTCGCGATAATTACGGTATTATCCTTTTGCCTTATTCTTCTTAATTCGTATGTATTGTTTCTTGTTCTTGTTCTTGTTCTTGTTCTTGTTCTTGTTCTGTTCTGTTCTGTTCTGTTCTTCTCTGCCTTGGGTCTGCGTCGTCTGCGTATGTGTTTGCCATGCCCATGCCCATGCCCATGTCCCCATGCAATCTCTCAACTCGCCCTGATTGGATGGAAACTTCCCGGGCGCTACCTCCCCCACCAGCCCAGCGTCGACCACCGACTATCAACCGTCGGCCGTCGACTGTAGGTAGTCTGTAGTCTGTAGTCTGTAGTCTGTAGTCTGTAGTCTGTAGTCTGTAGTCTGTAGTCTGTAGTCTGTCCACCGTCGTCCTCCACTGCCCACGTACCTCGTACCAAACAACTCCAAGCACCAAGACAATTTCGCCCAGCTCGTCACCTTTCGCTACCAACCTTTCAACATCGTTAAGTCGTCCAAGAGGGTGCGACAAGTTTGGTACCCGACCCAGCGCGGAAAGGAATGACGCGCGCAGTTGGTGTTATTTGTTTGTTTGTTTGTTTGTTAGCAGAACGCGATGCCACATACCAGCTGTTTCCCATGCCCGTGGGAGCAAAGTCGAGAACACCTGATCCGCGACACTAGGCCATGTGCGTTAGGGGTGTGAGCAAAAAAGCTACGATTGTCGGGGCAGGAAAATGTGGGAAATGTTCCTAGAATTGCGACAGAAAAGTAAAACAGATTATGAGTGGACGGGCCAGGTATTGCCTGCCTGTGTGCGTGTGTGCGTGTGTGCGTGTGTGCGCGCGCGTGTGTGTGAGAAGGGCGAGGAGACCAGACGAGAGGCAAGTGGAGAACAATTTAATTTTACACTCTTCCTACTGTTAGTCTTTGGTCTACCCAGTCTGCTAACAACTTAGACAGGGGAAAAGTTACATGGGCCGTTCTATTAATCACTGTATGGCCAGGGTGCATCCTTGTCTACAAAACTCAGCCATCGTTACTAGCAACTCTAGTCACTCCTAGTTACCCACACCTTCGCCCAACACCCAACATCCAACACAGCAAACCACTTAGTACTGAACAGCACAGCATCCAACTGCCCATCTCTGCATTACGAGTACAACCGCAACTGGAGAGAGGGTCTTCTGCTTACTTTCAAAGCAACTACCCGTACGCACTCACTCTGCAAGTACTCCGTAACACATCTGGCCGTGGCCAGGAATTCACCCAGGACCTCCCCTGCATCCGATGCGCCGTGTATCACCTAGTCAAGACTCAGGACTGAAGGGGACAAGGGTATCAGGGGAGGCAAGCAAGCCCCATCCCTCATTTCAATAATCTATTTCACCACTCCTGGCCTGGCCTGGCCTGCCTGGCCTTGGTCATGGTCCTGGCCTGCTTCCTCCCGCCGTGTCCAACAAACACAAATTGATACGATCTGCGCTTTTTAATCTACTCAAATTATGAGTGCGCATCGTATGGTATGTCGTTGGTAGAATGGAACACTCGTTCATTACAAGTCAAGAGTCAAGACTCAATACAGTCCAATGCGACATTCAAGAGCTATGAACCCCAGCTAAGGCTACGATGAGATACTTACACAGTACACAATATTGAAAAGCAGGAGGTGTTTATGGCTCAAACGAGGACCGTGACTCTGTTCAGAGTTACTGTGTAGTCTGTGTGTGTGTGTGTGTGTGTGTGTGTGTGTGCAAGGTACAGGAGGGCTGCAGATAGATGATAGAGGAATCTCTACTCTAATTCCGCACCCTTGCACGACTCTCGCAGCTCGTTCGACTGTTGCACACATACCCGTCTGTATCCATCCAGTAGCAAGTTATGGTGGTACTGCGTGTTTGGTGAGGGAGTGCACAGAGCAAGAGTTAATTACCATCTACTCCGTACTCTTAGAGTCTAGGTAGAGAGACAATGGAGCTGTTCGTTACAGTGTACAGTACAAGTAGCAGTTGTAGACGCCATTCCTGATTGAATAGGCCCGAGTCCCGTACCCGCCGCGTTGCCCTGAACCATCCCGTCTTTGGTCTCCCGCCGCCATCCACCCATGACCCATCCATGATCCATCCCTAGTCAATTCTTGTCATTCACCTTCACACACACTGTATTGTACACACACCTTGTCCTGTCCTCAATCCTCCAGGTCATCCTCCAGGTCATCCTCTTCTTCCTGCCCTGCCTCCAGCCTCCAGGCCTCTTCTCCCTCCCCTGGTTACTGATACTTACCGGCGTCCACTGTCGACCTAACCCATTCCCTCCCAGGTCTGAACTGAACTTGGCTTGCGCATCCACCAACACACCAGAAAAGGTGTTCCCTACCCTAATTAGCACAAGCACACTACTAACCTTAACCACTGCGCTTCGCCGCCTATCCCGTCCTATCCCCATCTCATCCCATCTCACCACCACTACCACCACCACCACCACCACCACCACACCCCCTACCCTCCTCTACTCCTCCTTGCCAACTCTAATCTACTCTTCTACTCTCTTCCTCTCTCCTACTCCTCCTCTCCTCTTCTTCTTCTTCTTCTTCTCTTCTCTCTCCCCGCCGCCGCCGTTGTCGACAATATCTCCACAGGATACAAGCACTGCCATCGACACTCTTCGCAGTCGCTCCCTCCTTTCCTCCCATCGCCGTCGCAGCCTCCCTACCTTCCCTCGCCCGTCCCATCCCTTTCCTTGACACCTACGGTCTCATCCTTCCAAAGTCGCCTCACGACTCCCGACGACCTCACGCTCCTTGCTCACGTCTCGCTCGAATCACGACCTCTCCTTTCGTATTCGACTCGATTCCGATTCCGATTCAAATCCAGCCCTTTTGCGCTTTGCATCCCGACCGTTGTTTGCCCAACGTCGACGTCGCTCGTTATCGTCATTCTTTCAGCAGAACACATCGTTTCACGAACCTGCCAGTCAGCCTCTCAGCCTCCGCCTGCTGATCCAGTCACGACGTTCGCCTACCGATCCTAGGGAAACAAAGGTCCATACCTGCGCCCTGTCTTCCCGCGATCCCTTTGTCAACACCACCAAGGAACGCGACGCCTCCCCCAACCACCATTTCCCACTGGATCTCTTTGAACGGTCGAACGCCTGCCTGCCTGCCTGCCTGCGTTGAACGTGCCACTGCAAGAATAGAAACGTCCGTCGTCGCTAGGAAGACAATGTCGACATAGGGTCGGAACATTGCACACACATTGGAACTCTGTCTTTTGCTTCTGCATAGAGCTTTGTTCTTTACTTTCTAGCTGCTCTGACAGTCTAGTAAGTCTACCTATCCACCATCTACCTATCTCCTCACCCATCTACCTACCCATTCTCCAAATGACGAATCCTACGGGCCCGCTCTCACGTTCAATTCGTCTTTTGGCATCTACTGACTGGCATGTTGCTGCAGGTCCATTCTTTTACATCTTTATCCCTTGATTCGTCAAGTACACACTCGTTTACAACCTACCCTGACTGTATGTTCTGTCGATCTTCACGTATCCACGCGAATACTGATGCTTGTAGATCCCCGAACCCCAAAGCGTGGTTCTGTTTGCCCGGAGATTTTATTAGGAATTACTATAGTGGTGAATATTAATATACAACATGGCTCGATCAACGACAGTCTGGGCTGCCGCCCTCATGCTCGCCAGCATGTCCGGCTCTGGCAACATCTTGACGACAGCAGAGGCGATGCCTGCACCCGGCCCTCAGCAGACCGCAGAGCGCCCGCGATACTACTTCCCTCGACAGGTCAAGCGCCAGATTGTTACCAACAGCACTGCGCCACCGATCGCAACCGAGTCGTCGACCTCTTCGTCTTCTACTTCGAACATCGAATCGCGCCAGACAAGGGATCTGCCTTCCTTCTGGGAATCGCTCTTCTCTTCGAACAAGGACTCTTCCTCGTCGTCGTCCGTGATCATCGACATTCCGACCACCACGGCTGCCACAGTTGAAAGCACCACTCCCCCGATTCCCAACCTCCCCGTCATTGGAACAGGCGATCTGAGCTCCACGTCGGCATTGCTCCCTCCGCCTCCCCCGGCCTCGTCGAGCACTCCGGCCGAGGAGATCTTCCCGCCCTCCCAGGAGCCCAGCCAGACTCCCAGCGAGACCTCGACACCAATTGAGGTTGGCACCACTCCAGGATTCCCCACGCGTCCTATTGAGCCCACGAGCGCACCGGCACAGAGCAGCACCTCGGAGGAACAGCCCGAGCTCCCCCTCCCTCTCCCGACAGGCTCCACTGGAGGTCTCCCCTCTGAGATCATTCTTCCCACCGGGTCTGGCATTACCGTTCCAGGACCAGCTCTTCCCACGACGACCTTGGCGCAAGTCAGCTCTCCCGAGGAGGAGCCCCTCCCGTCCACCACTTCCTTTGCTGGTTTCCCCACGGCTCCTTCCGAGACTCCTTCCGAGACTCCTTCCGAGACTCCAGTTGCTCCTTCTTCGAGCCGCGGTATTCTCCCCATCATTCCCCTGCCCTCGACAGGAGGAATCATTCCCTCGGTGCTCCCTCTGCCTACCACCAGCGACATCGTACCCTCTGCGACCCCTGAGCCATCAGAGACCCCCGAGCCATCCCAGACTCCCCAGCCAGCGACCAGCGATCCTCTCCCGCCAATCATTCCTCTGCCTTCGACCGGCGGTATCATCCCTTCGGTACTTCCTCTCCCTTCCACAGGCGGAGTGATTCCCACCGAGCTTCCTTTGCCATCTCCTTCCCAGGCCTCGACTGGCGTTTTGCCCCCGATCATTGTCCTGCCCACGACTAGCGCCGAGCCCTCTGAGCCTGTCGTCATTCCATCGTCCACTGGCATCTTGGTCGGAATCACCACCGCTTTGGGTACCGGAGAGACGAATGCCCCTACTCCAACTCCCCTCATTCCTCTCCCTATCCCCACTTCCGAGAGCAAGTCTGATCCATTCGCCTTCCCTATTTCGTCGACGCTCTTGGACCCCAGCGGCGTTACCAACCCCGTGCCTGGACCTACTGCCCCTACTACGACCGAGGGAATCATCCCCATCCTTCCCACTCAGATCTCGAGCGCGGTCTCCGCCATCGAAAGCAACATTGAGAGCTTGGTTTCCTCGGCCGCCAGCGAATTGCCTACTCCTATCCCTGATCTGCCGAGCGTCATCTCCAGCATTGCCTCGAGCGTGGCCACCGATCTTCCCTCTCTGGTCTCTAGCAGCTTTGTAGCACCAACCGGCACTGCACCTGTGCCTTCTGACCCCATTGGCCCAATCCTGTCCAGCATTCAGTCTTCTCTCGAGACTGCCATCTCCACGCTCCTGCCTACCCCGACCACCGACGTTGTGCCCACTGGCGTCCCCAGCGGAATCACCGGACCCGGAACTGGTGTCCCATTGACCACTGAGACCTCGATCGACCTGCCTTTGCCATCAGAGACACGAAGCAGCATCAGCGTGCCAACTACGGATGTGCCGACTGTGCTCCCCTCTACCACTTCGGGTGTTCTTCCCCCTACGCCCACTGGAAGCGGAATCACTGGCCCGCCAACCGGTGTATCGACCGTCCCGACCGACCTCCCTTCGTCGCTTCCTTCGTCGATCCCCACATCCGAGGAGCCGGTGTCCAGTCTCCCAACCGTGTCGACAGATCTCCCTACCATCGTGCCCACGCTCTCATCGAATGCTACGATCGATCTGCCTACTGGCCCTACCACGACCAACCCAACGGCTCCGATCACCACCGGCTCGGTGGACGTCACTACCTCCGTGCCCACGCTGGCTCCTTCCGAGACTCCCTCAACCTCGAGCCTGGAGATCTCCTTCACCCCCCCGTCCTCGCTTCCTTCCAAACCCACTAGCGTGCCCCCGGTCTCTGTCATCCCCACTGCAACGAACACCGAGACGACTTTCGCCGTCGGATCGACTGCAATCATTGCTGAGCCCACCGACTCGCCTTCGCCTTCTCCCGTCGCGACCACCATTCCTTCGGAGCTCCCCAAGATGATCACCCCTCCCGGTGGTCTGCAGAAGGCTGACCCTAGCAAGTTCGCGGGACAGATTGGATTCAAGTGGCCCCTCAACTACCCATTCATCGTCAGGAGTGACGGCGGTAACCAGATCTTCAACTACCTGCCCATTGCCATCGCAGATGCTCTCAACATCACCCGTGAGGAGGTTGTCATGCTCGGCCTTAAGCCGTACGATACTCTCCAGTACTCCGGCTTCATCACCACTTTGGCTCTTTTCCAGATTCCCTCGGATCTCGTCAACAACCTGAAGAACCAGCTCCGCACTCCCACTGATCCTTTCTGGAACAACGAGCAGCAGATCGTCAACCAGTTGACCGAGTTGATCAACACGGCCATTCCTTTGGAGGGCGGTACCATCATTGGTGATGGCACGCAGACTGCGCCTGGCAGCCCCGAAGCCTCTTCCTCCAACACTGTCGAGAATGGTGGCGCCATGGGAGGTGACATTGGTGGAAGCCGCAAGGTCAACCCGACTAGCGCCGGTATCGCTACTGGTGCCGTCATGGGAGCCATCGCCTACGGTGCCGCCATGTTCTTCGTTGCCCGCAGGTACCGAAACAAGAAGATGCGCCACCAGCGAACAAGCTCTGTCCCCAGCACCAGCCGCTACACCTACGGATCCATGCAGCATACTGGTGGTGCCTTCATGTCGGGTGGCCGTGGCCCAGGTGGACGTAACACACCGGGCGGACGCGACAGCCGCGGCAGCAACAACAGCAGCAGCAGCAGCAATGGACGAAGCGTGAGGACCCAACAGATCTCGGCACCCGTCATGGCCGAGAACTCCCTCGGATGGAATTAAGGTGATGCCCGTCATCATCCCCACCACCACTACCACCACCACGAATGCTACGCGACCCGATGTGCGACTGTATATTATATTTCGCCGCCCCGTGCCCAACATGTAATTACTTCACCTCACTGGCCTCGGGCACTTAGTTACCTCTAGTTCTTGTGCGAGCGTCCGCACCTTGTCCTGGCCATTTGATCAGCCAGACGCGTCTACGCTGGCATGACCCATGACCAGCACGGCGCTCCACCTCACTATCTCCTAATGTTCCACACACTCACTAAAGATCAAAGACCATACTCTCAGTATCTCCTTTTAACAATTTTGCCTCGGAATTTTCCTATCTTGTCTATTTTTATTTTCCTATCTATCATTCTACTTTTCACTTCTTAGATACCTGTCCATAGCGTGTGAGCGGAGCCAGCTGGACACTTTTTCACACCTAGTGGTGGGGTTTCATCGACCGCACCACACTTTCATGTCTTTTGGCGGCGGAATTGTCTTGAGATGTTAAAACCACATGTTGCATCTGCATGAGGAGTGGTGTAGGGCATCCGTGGGGATGGATGAGAGGGGGAGGAAGCGGTTGAGCGAGACAAAGGAAGGGGTTGGATGTGTGTTGTTCGTAGTTTGAAGGGGGGTGGTTGTTGTGTGGGTGGTCTTGGTGAGACACACGACATACTAGAGCGAGACATTGTAGAGCGAGAGAGTGAGACTTTTTTGAGGAAGATGTTTTACAACAAAAAGAAAAACTTATTACAATAAAGACGTTTCCCATCCCGAATTGTTTGGTTCCTCCCCATCCTCCTCCCCCCTCCCTCTCCAGCCCTGCCATGCCATGCGCTCTCTCTTGGAACGCTGGCATCGTGGGCTTTGCCTTGTATATACAACCCTTTGTATATATAGTGTATAGCATCGTGGGATATTCCTGTTTTCCCCCTTCCCTCCCCGTTCCTTTCTTCCTTTCTTTCTTGTCGTTTTGTTTGGTCCTGTGTGCTATATACGATGTATGCATTATGCTTGTTGTTTGTCCTCTCGTCTCGTTTTCCCCCAACCTCTTGTTCTCTCGTTTCCCACCCATCTCCCTTGTCCTTGATCTGTTCAAAGGGACCAACCTCCGGACGCCACCACAGCCCATCTTTTCTTCTCTCAGTTCTTTCTGTCATACATTGTTCACGTGCCGTCTTTGTTCGTGGACTGTTTCTTTTTTCGTACACCTGTGGCTCCCACTTTAGAGAGGTAAGTCGGAGGGTGTGTGTGAGTTGGAAGGCAGGTAAGTGTCTAAGTACACAAGAGAAGGGGGTCCCCGGACGGGAAGAACGAAAAAGAAAGAAGAGTTGTTCGCTTACCTGCCATCACAGTTCACCACTACGACAAGACAAGACAAGACAAGGAAGCACACTCGCGAATTTCGAAGGCCAGCCAGTGAGTGAGCGACGACGACGTAACATCGCTCGTGAGAAAGAGCATATCATCACCATCACAACACGCAAAAGACGAACTCACCATGAAACTCCGCGTCAACATGGGTCTCCCGCCCCCGTCCTCCTCCTCCTCCTCCTCCTCCGCCGGCCCCTCCGCCCCCCAACAACCCTTCCGAACACGCTACCAGCTCTTCACGCGGGCGTTCCGGCTCTCGCTTCCTGCGGCACAGCAATCAGCCTGGTCGGCGCGGGACGTCGATCGCACGGCGCGGTGGCTGTACTGGAGCGTCGACCATGCGTTTTGGCAGGCGCTTGCGGACGCGTACCTTGGCGATGGGGGTATGGCGGCGGTGGAGAGGGGGGATGTTAGGATTGCGGCGGGGGAGGTTCCGGGGAAGCCGGCGGGGGAGGGCGATGTTAAGAGGGCGGTGAAGGAGAGGAGGGAGAGCGGGGATGAGGGGTGGAGGGTTTGTGGGGTGCTGGATCGGAGGAGGGTTCAGGAAGAGGAGGTGCCGGAGACGCAGCAGCAGCAGCAGCAGCAGGAGGAGGAGGAGGAGGAGGAGGAGGAGGAGGAGGAGGAGGAGGAGGTGGTGGTGGTGGTGGAAGAGGTGCCGGAGACACAGCAGCAGGAGAGTGAAGAGGATAGTACGACGGAGGAGGAGGAGATACCGGAGACGCAGCAGGCGGATGATGATGACGATGACGATGACGATGACGAGGGAGGTGAGGATGTGGTGATGGGGGGGACGCAGCTGGAGGGTGGGCATGCGGAGTTCCCAATATATGTTGACCCTGAGGAGGGGGGTGGGCAGGCGGGTTTCAATATATATGTTGATCCTGAGGAGCGAGACGGGGGTGGTGGGAATGTCGTCCCAGGAACGCAGCCGCAGCCGCAGCCGCAGCCGCAGGGCGTGCTGGGCGAGATTGTGCTTGAGCCCTCGAAGAGGCTCAAGGAAATCTCCGAATTCGTCGCAGAGCTTGGGGGCGTCATCGGGATGACGCTTGATGAGAAGGTGGAGATGGTGAAGAGTATATGGAACACCTATCGGGAACTGGGTGGCGCCGATCTGGAGAACCAGGAGGATGTCGACCTGGATAACCAGGAGAATATCGATCTGGAACACCAGGAGGATTTCGAGGAAGAGGAAGACGAGGAGAATGGCGAGGAAGAGGAAAACGACTACTCGGAGAACAGTTTCCTCACTGAAAAAGTGCCCGCCAGACAGATGGTCTGGGTGGAAATCCGTAGGCGCGAAGTCATAGACCCTTCGTTGGAAAACTACCCCACGCCCAGCTCGGGAGAGAAGAGTCCTACTGCCGTCGACATATTGTTAAGTCCGGATGATGCTGACCATGCTGGGAGTACCACCGGGACGAAAAAGAGGCCGTACCAGGAGGTTTCTCAAGCAGAAAACGGGGCGTTACCTAGGAAGAAACCTAGAATTCATATTGGACCTCGCCATGCATGGGACGTGGTGCCAGCACTCAACAAAGATATATACCCGGGCCCTGGGTCTCCAGATGATAGTGGAGACGACGACGACGACGACGACGACGACGACGACGATGGCGAGGACGGAAACGACGAAACCGAACGGGTGCGGCGCCTGAAGGCTCAGATCGCCGAACTGAAGCGAGACCACAAATTGGCGACAAGGGAGATTGCAGTCCTTGAGGATCAACTCGTACTTCGCGAACCTACTGGTACTTCCCACTGGCCCGACGAGCCGTGGGATGAGGAATCCGATATCAGAGACCTGTCCTATTTCGACGGCGGTTATCATGAATACTCCAAGAAAGAAAAGAGAAAATATCAGGACGCTTTCCTCCAAGGACTGCCACATCAGTGGCCCCCGCGAGATGAAAGCGGCTGGGAGGGGGTGAGATGGTTAGGCCAAGGTGGCTACGGCCGTGCTGGCTTGTGGGTGGAGTGGGATGCAAATCATAATGTCAAAGACGTAAGTACATCCCTCCTGGTGTGAAGCATTTGTGCCGTCTTACTGGACCAAGAACTGACGGCGGTTTGCACACGATAGCGTATGGTCATCAAGGATGCCGAGAATATAGCCGTCTTCTCGGACCCTAAATACTGGAGGAATAAGCTACCGCGTGAAATTCGTATGCACCAGCTTGTCGATCAATATAGGGACAGCGAGAATGACGACGGACACCAGCATCTGGCCGAACTCCGGGGATATAGACTGATGATGCACAATGACCGTTATCGACTGTATCTGGAGTACTATGATTATGGCGATATGTATCATATCGTGCAAAATCTCCTCCAGCATGACGACGAGGATGCAGAGCCAGGCCCTCACCTCGAAACTCGGGATTCTGATGGTGGCAGAGTCATACCGGAAAACTTCCTATGGTATTTTCTCCATGGAATTGTCGAAGGTTGTCTGGTCTTGCAGAAGGGTAAAGGAAACCGAAAGGGCAAGGTCACGGGGTGGAGACCCATCCAGCATGCCGACCTTACCGTAATGAATGTATTCCTCCAGCCGGCTGAAGACGAGAAAAAGGTGAGTCGATGCCTCCTTGGTTCGCTCAAGTATGGTAGACTAACTTACAGCTTCCAAAGTGGCCAATACCAGTCGTGGGTGACTTTGGGTTGGCGTTCTATACACAGTCCCGCAACCCCGCCGGAGACAATCCAAAGCATTATGGCTTCGATACACAAATGCCCAGATACCCGCCCGAGATGCAGCCTCGGCAGTGGTCCCTGCAAAACCCGTATCAAATTGACCAAAAAGCCGACGTCTGGATGATTGGTGTCATTCTGTGGGTACTAATCACGAGACGACATTCCGAGGAGGGACCCCTTTGGGACAATGGTGGTATACGTAGTAGTTTGCACACCATGCCCCCGGCTGGGAATACGGGTGTGCTTGAGCCTACGAACAACATATACGATTCCTCTATCGGCATCTATCGGCCTCGTTTGCTTGCACTTGTGAGGCAGTGCCTGTCATACTACCCTTGGGATCGACCAACCCTGAAGGAGATCAAGGAAGAGATCGAGGAACATTGGAGCGACTTTCCGGACGAAAAGAATGACATGAGGAGCATGAGGTTCATGGCGCGGAGTGAGTTTCACAAGTATAGATTGCACCCGGATTATCGCCGTTCGAACAAGCCAAAGTAGCGGATGGAAACCAAGTAGAGCTGTGTATATACAGGGGACGTTGGAAACCATCAATCAGTGATGGATATCAAGATTTCGTCATGACCGATTCCAGCGAATTGAAGCGTACTCTTGTGATAGAACTTTAATTATATGAGTGTTTAATACCAGATGTGTGCTTTGGTTTTGGTGCAAGCCATGTCCGTGAGAGAGTTGATAGAAATTGAAAGGTCGATATCTAATCCAAGTATCAGTTGTCGTCGTTGCTGCCCGTCCCACCTTACCAAAAGAGGAAATAGCCACCTGGACCCTCCTAGAGTCTTGGCGACCTATGCAATGCCGACCAACAACACCACAGATGTTCAATGAACACCTATACGGACCACTTACGATCCTCCCTCTGAATCCGAACCTTTCATTCCCGGGTCCTGGAATTTTGGTGCCCATAGCCATCTTCTGCGCGACCCCTCTACCTCCGGCATCGATTCTGCGTCTTTGGACTGGCTTTGAATAGCCACGTCTCACAACCCCCCCTCCGCTTTACACATACACTCGAATTGCAGCCATGCGTTTGGACGTGAAGGTACGGCAATCCCTTGAATGTCTGCATGTGGATCGGAGTGCAGCTACTGACAGGTCATTTGAATATAGAGACAGCTCTTTGCGCGATCGGAGCGAGTCAAAGGTAAGTTCAGTCTGCTCTCCGCACAATTGTTCGCAAGCTAACACGATCAAGGAATTGGTAATTATACCTTCGCATGGCAGCTGAATATTACTGAACAGTTACAAAGACTTCCATCCGACCGAGCCATGGATCCTCACTACACTCTATAGCGGTAAGCCTCGTGAGAAGGAGCATATTGAAGCTCGGGAAGCTGACAGTACCAGGTCATGTCCACATCTGGTCATACATTTCCCAATCGATCGTAAAAACCTTCGAGCTCACCGATGTGCCCGTCCGTGCCGGTCGATTCATTGCTAGAAAGAATTGGATTGTTGCTGGTGCGTCTAGTCCGCATGAGAGGACGTAATGGGCTGCGGTGTTGACAGTAAATTTCTAGGTTCCGATGATTTCCAATTGCGTGTCTACAACTACAACACCTCTGAGAAGGTGACGTCCTTCGAGGCGCATCCGGACTACATCCGTGCAATCGCCGTACACCCTACACAGTCATTTGTCTTGACCGCTAGTGTATGTGAGAGGAGATTAGAAGGTCGGACGACGGCTGACGCATTCACAGGATGACATGACCATCAAATTGTGGGATTGGGACAAGGCATGGAAGTGTACGTGGAACCAATTGGCAGCAATTCGAAGCAAAGTTAGCCGGCTGACAACTTCACAGGCGTCCAGGTATTCGAAGGCCACGGCCACTATGTCATGGGCATCGCCATAAACCCCAAGGATCCTAACACGTTCGCATCGGCATGTCTTGATCGCACAGTCAAGATCTGGTCCCTGGGCAGCGCAACCCCCAACTTCACCCTCGAAGCGCACGAAGCCAAGGGTGTGAACTTCATCGACTACTATCCTCAATCGGACAAGCCATACCTTCTCACAACCTCCGATGACCGCACAGTCAAGGTCTGGGACTACACGACGAAAGCACTCATCGCGACGCTCGAAGGCCACACTTCGAATGTGAGCTTCGCGGTATATCACCCCGAGTTGCCTGTGATAATATCTGGTTCCGAGGATGGCACTATCAAGATCTGGCATTCGTCCACCTATAGATTGGAGCAGTCCCTGAATTATGGTCTGGAGCGAGCCTGGTGTGTGGCCTACCAAAAGGGCAAGAATGGAGTTGCTCTCGGTTTCGATGATGGAGCTGTGGTCATCTCCATGGGTCGGGAGGAACCCGCTGTGAGCATGGACACAACTGGCAAGGTTCTGTGGGCAAGGCACAACGACATCCTTACCGCCGTGATCAAGGGCAACGAGAAGCTGAAGGATGCCGAGCGTCTGACCCTTCCGACCAAAGATCTTGGATCCACCGAGATATACCCCCAATCGCTGCTCCACTCTCCCAAAGGACGTTTCGTGGCAGTCTGTGGTGACGGCGAATACATCATTTACACGGCACTCGCCCTTCGTAACCAGGCCTTTGGCTCCGCACTGGACTTTGCGTGGGCCTCGGCGGAGCATGACAAGGATTATGCCATTCGGGAATCAGCCACGAGTGTGAAGACCTTCAGGAATTTCAAGGAGCGAAGCGTTCTCAATGTTGGATTCTCGGCGGACGGTTTGAGCGGCGGTATTCTCCTTGGTGTTAAGGGACAGGGTGGCATTGGTTTCTTCGACTGGGACAGTGGTGCGCTCGTCCGAAGGATAGAAGTCGAACCGAAGAACGTGTACTGGTCCGAAAGTGGCGAGCTCGTCACACTCGCCACCGAGGATACCTTTTACGTTCTCCGGTATTCAAGAGAGAATTACCTTGAAGCCGTTCAGAATGGCGAGGTCGACGAAGATGGCGCCGAATCCGCTTTCGAAGTTGTTTGCGATATCAACGAGAGGTAAGCTTGACATAGAGAAAAAGCCCTGTAAGGGGAGAATGCTAACGGATGCCAGTGTCCGAACTGGCACATGGGTTGGCGACTGCTTCATCTACACCAACAGCACCAACCGCCTTAATTACCTTGTAGGTGACCAAACCTACACCATCTCCCACTTCGACGCACCGCACTATCTTCTTGGATACCTTCCTCGTGATTCAAGAATCTACGTTGCCGACAAGGACGTCAACGTCGTTTCTTTTGCCCTTTCCCTCGCCGTTGTCGAGTACCAAACACTTGTTCTACGCGGTGATCTTGAGGCCGCCGAAGAGATTCTGCCTTCCGTACCTAAAGACCAGAACAACAAGATCGCACGCTTCTTGGAAGGCCAAGGCTACAAGGAGCTTGCGCTCAAGGTTGCGACTGACCCTGAGCATCGCTTTGATCTAGCTCTGTCACTGGGTGATCTCGAGCAAGCTGTCGAGATTGCCCGAGAGCAAGATACTGAGCACAAGTGGAAGACTGTCGGCGATGCTGCTCTCTCAGGATGGGACATTAAGCTCGCCCAGGAGTGCTTTGTCAAAGCAAAGGATCTGGGATCTCTTCTACTCGTCTACTCGGCTACCTCTGACGCGGCTGGACTTCGAGAACTTGCACAGCTTGCGGAATCCGCCACAGCAAACAACGTTGCTTTCTCTGCCCTCTGGCAAGTTGGGGATGTCCAAGGCTGCATTGACCTATTGGTCAAGACAAATCGCCTTGCGGAGGCAGTCCTTTTCTCACAAACGTACAAGCCGAGCGCTACTGCTTCGCTAGTGAAGCAATGGAAAACGAGTCTCGAGAAGGACAACAAATCCAAAGTCAGCAGGCTTCTAGGAACACCCCCGCAAGACGGCGAGGGAGATGCGGAGATGTTCCCCGAGTGGGACGAATACCTTCGCCTGGAAAGAGAAGGAGGCACAGTAGATGACCTTGTTGATATCAAAGAAGAGCCTGCTGATGATGCTGATGAAGAGATTGTTGCGGATGAAGACGAGGAGGAAGAGGATGATGATGAGGAGGAAGATGATGACGAGGACGATGAGGATGAAGAGGAGGACGAGGAGGAGACGACCGCAAAGAAGGCATAATCAGGTGCACGATGGCGAGGACCCTTGTAGAAACAATTCCTGGTTCGCAACCAGCTTCTTTTGGGTTGAGTTGCGCTACACAGTTAGACGATATGAGTACGGAATCTGAAAAATTATAACATCGACTTTGGCTTATTAGAGCATTTTCTGTACTTAAAGTGACTCCTTTATAATTGTTGAGGTATGAATGTTGCGATGATGATGTCCTTTGTCCTTTATCCATTGTTATTCCAGTCGCGTGGAGCCGAGGCCGATTTCCCTGCATGTTGGAGTGGCGGGCCACCGACGCCTCCGCCGCTCCATCCCATGCTAACTTTATACCTAGTCCTTAGTCCGACAACGCATTCATTCATTGACACGGTACACCCTTCACATCAACTCCTAGGTTTTCGACTCCTTTCGCTGCGATCATCTAAACAAAGAGAGATGAGTGGGAACAAGAAATCCAGCCTGACGGGGTATCTCCCCGATATCCTCATGGCAGCGGCTGCAGTACGTACATCCAATTCGGACAGGCACATGCTCCTGCGCATCCAGCTCTTCATGCTACACGCCTCCAAAGCCCCTACGATGGCTCCGCCACACGCCTCGCACATTATCCAAGTCTGACATTGAAATTGTAGCCGCTACTCGCATACTTCGTCATCCGCTCGCTCCTCACTCGCCTCGACCCAGAGGCCCAACAAAAAGAAGAAGCTCGACAGAAGGCCTCGGCTGCCAGCCGGAAACTCGACGCGATATTAGCCAACAAAGCGCGCGAGGACGACTCGGATTCGGAAGATGAATATGGAACACATAGGAGTAGAGGCGGAAGAAGGAAGGATCGCATCAGGCCTGAGGATCTCGCGTTGACATCTTATGAGCAGACAATTGCCATGGAGGTGGTGGCGCCAGAGGAAATTCCCGTCAGCTTTGATGGTAAGGACAATTCCGGGTTCTATGGCCGATCCCATCCCATAGACACGAAACGAGGCGCATTGGATACCAGTCGGAGCGTGGATGGTGCTAACTTTCAGCAGACATTGGTGGACTCGACAATATCATTGACGACCTAAGGGAGTCCGTGATTTATCCTCTCACACATCCTACCCTTTACACCGCGTCTTCACTCCTTTCCGCACCATCGGGCGTTCTTCTTTATGGCCCACCTGGCTGTGGCAAGACTATGTTGGCAAAGGCTCTCGCTCACGAATCCGGCGCATGCTTCATAAATCTCCACATCTCAACCCTCACGGAGAAGTGGTACGGTGACTCCAACAAGCTCGTTAGCGCTGTGTTCAGTCTGGCGCGAAAGCTTCAGCCAGCCATTGTCTTCATCGATGAGATAGATGCTGTGCTGGGTACTAGGAGATCCGGCGAGCACGAAGCAAGCGGAATGGTCAAGGCCGAGTTCGTCTACCCCACTGCTAGTTCCCTTTGAGAACGAAAACCACTGACATACCACTAGATTCATGACACATTGGGACGGCCTCTCCTCTACACATGCCGGTACAACAACACCTCAACAGATCCTCATCCTAGGAGCGACGAATCGCATCCAAGACATCGATGAAGCCATCTTACGCCGCATGCCCAAGAAATTCCCGGTCGGATTACCTAATGCTTCTCAAAGGCACAATATCTTCTCTTTGATTTTGCGGGGTACCAAGATTGACCAGGCACACTTTGATCTAGACTACCTGGTCCGCCTAAGCGCTGGCATGTCAGGTTCTGACATCAAAGAGGCCTGCAGAGATGCTGCAATGGGCCCAGTGCGCGAGTTGATCAGGAAGAAGAAGGCCGACGGTACCTTAAAGAAAGGAGGAAACCGCGGTGGACGTGGCGTACAAGCCAACGATGTGCGCGGCCTACGCACCGAAGATTTCTTTGGCCAAGGAAGGGGGCTGCGAGAAGTCGTTGACGAACTCGACGACGTAAGGGACGAGGTTGTCAATATCAAGGATGGCAACAGCCGACGAGTTCACACAACAGAGGAGTCGTCAGAAGGAAGTGGATATAGCACAGAAAGCGGCGGAGAGGACCCCCGTTTCCGGGATTCGGCTTACCAAGGCGACGTGGAAGAGGTCAAGAGACAGATCTAATGCTCGACATTCTTTATGGGATTGCGTATCTATAAGTGAGAGCATGCGCTACGTATATATGGGCGGCGTTCGTATTGATTACGGATCCTAGCTTCACCGCTGGTATGGATGAGCATCTATGGCGTATTTCAACATGCTTTCAACTGGGAGACATGTACTATTAAACCTAGAGTGGAACGGGATATCCGCAACATTTGCTACTGGCTATTTATGTTTTGGAGGCAAAACACAATCAACCTCTCTTTATGATTCATGACCGCTCAGTCCAAAAAACCTTTGTATCTACAGAACCCCCTCCGCTTCTTGTAACTATGAGTACCATGATTGGCTTGGGTTGCATAGCTTTAAGTTCCCATCCCAGAACAGGTGCATATGGAGTTGGGTAATCCAGAATAGCATGGAAGGGGCTCTTTAACCCCTCGCCATTGACCTCAGATCCCCTAGGAATGGACTTTTCCCATGCTTTGACTCCATCCAGAAATACTTCTACACAAGCGTTCTCGATGCCATCGTCGAATGCCACCGTTCCAGTGATGTCGATTTTGGGATCCGTGGCATCAGGGATGGGTTTGACCGTGGCACTAAGATGTGCACCAACTGTAGCAGAAGCATGTGCAAGGCGTATAACATCTGTATCAAGCTTCGGAGCCAACGTAGGAGCTCTCCTCCTTTTAGTTTTCGTCTCAAAAGCATATGCATATGCCAGCAACTTCTCGTCATCGTAGGCTTTACCTGCGAATGTGAGATTCAGTGGCATCCCCTCCCGCTCCTCCATATTGCCCATCGGCACGCTGACCGTGGGGACCCCCAGGTGTCTAATCGCACGGTTTCCATTGCTGTACTTGATACCGTTCTGTAATGAGTGACGCGTACTTTCGAGTTCGAATTCGAGATCCGCGAGCCCGACATCACCGTTCGCTGGGAAGACTACGCAGTCGAGTTTCTGTGCGTCCATCCAGTCTTCTAGATCCCGTTTGCGCTGGTCTTCTAGAGCTGGCAGGGCCTTTTCGAGACCGGGATGATCTTTCAGAGAACAGTTGTCGTATGCGGTGGCGAAGTTGGGCAGTTCCGCATACTTGATCCAGTTCCGGACTTCGAGGAAAGTATCTGGCACGTAGTTGGGCGGTTTCGGGAAGAGCAGGTTCGGGTTCACGTCTGCTATGGTCTTCAATGTCGCGTCGTTTGTTTGGATCAAGAATTCGTTCCAGGATTTGGCGATCAGAGACCCTCGTTCGATTAGATTCCAGTCCGACGGGGCTCCTTCGACATTGTTAGCTTCTCTGGACTTGGAGTCGTTTTCGTAGTTCGTGACGAGTGGAAAGTCTGTGGGGATGACTTCAGCACCCAGGGCCTCGAGGTCAGCGCGTGCAGTTTGCCATAATTTGAGTACCGCGTCACTAGTGACGACAGATTTGGCGTGAGGGTCTGAGTCTTGTTGACCGATGTATATCTTCGGCACACCTATACGTTTTCCCTTCAGCGAATTAGGCTGATTCTGTGCTTGATACTGCACATTTTGCGGTACGGGGAGTTTGACATGTTGCTGGTCCCTCCAAAAGTCCCCTTTAGTCTCTTGGTCAGGCTCGGCGATGACCGCGAGAAGTTCGAGCATATCTGCGACAGTCCTTGTGTAGGGAACAGGCACATCGCAGGTGACATACAGCGGCCAGAGGCCTCGGCAGGATAGAACTCCTCTAGAAGGAGTGTACGCTACCAAAGCATTGTTGCTCGCAGGGCTTCTCCCACTGGATACTGTCTCACTTCCGAGTCCGAAACAGGCCATATTCGTAGTTGTGCTCGTGGCAGCTCCGTTGCTAGACCCAGACGAAAAGGCGGCAGTGAGGTACTTCTTACTATATGGCGACTCCGCTCTACCATAGAGTCCCCGTTGCATACCTCCAGCAGCCATGGGAGGCATATTTGTCTTCCCAATCATGACGGCACCCGCTGCACGAAGCCGAGCAGCGATAGCAGAGTCCTCGTTCGATTGGAGCCCTTCCAAGGCGGGAGAACCATTGGTCACACTGAGGCCAACGTACTTGTAGCTGTCCTTCAGCGTGTATGGTATACCTTCTAGAGGCCTAGGAGGTTTCCTAGATGCCCGCCATGCATCTGACGCGGCTGCTTCGTCTAAGACTTTGGGATTGAAGAGTGTGAATGCATTGAGGCCATCACGGTTGTCGTATCTACCAATGCGAATGAGGTAGCTGGTCACTAGTTCAACGCTGGTAACGGCACCCGAAGAGAGTGCTTTTTTGTGGTCTTCTATGGTAGCTTCGAAGATATCGAATGTAGCCATCTTGTGATCGGACTGGTATGATTGTTAAAACTGGACTAGAATTGAACGGTGAGGTAGATATATACCATTGCTGGGCAACTGTAATTGGGAACGGGAATTGTGTCTATCAGGTTGCTTATAGATGTATCCGAAGACGTTGAAAGTACTTCAAAGCAATGATCATTACTTTCAACTTGTAGGTTGGTGTACCAGTCGCCGTTCAAAATAACACTGTGGTGGTGAAAGGCTATGATTATCACTTTACGATACGAGTAGTTAGGACGAGAACAAGTACTAATACGAGAGTTGATAAACGATGAAGCACTGGAGCATATATCTCCGATTTCGGTTGAAGGCAGCAATTTACGGAACTTAGGTGATCAATCACTGAAGTACTTAAAGTACAGCCAGCATTGCTGAAGAGACGACGTGTGCGTCCAGCAGATACGTATTCTTATCCGGCGTCTATAGATTCCAAGACTTGAGTGATCCACATCTATTATACGAAGTAGGACAAAGTATGTCAGAATAGGCCATTACTCATGCTGCTACTTTACCTCTATCAGATAGTGATGCTATCGTCCCCGCATCTTAAACGCCCTACAGGGATAGGCCAGCCTCGGCCTTGGCAAGAACGTACTAAGCTTCTAATTGCTATTATCTAAAGCTCTCTTTACACAGCACAACATCCTACAGGCATTACAGGATCTTCACAATGACAACGCTATATAGACCCACGGACGCTGTCCAACTGTTGAAGCCAGTGCTTCGATTCCCACGGGTACTCTCTGGCAATGGAGTCGCACGTATTCCCTTCTCCACCTCGCATGCGCCGAAAGCTACGACAAATACAACGAGTTCAAGCTCGCATCCGCCGCCCCCACCACGCCGATCAGTCACAATTGCAAATGACACTGGAAGTGTGCGATGGAGTGATTTGAGTATGGGCGAGAAGGCAGCGCGCACAACACAGCAGAGCGCCAATCTGATAGTCGTCGTAATTGGTGTAGCTTTAACTGTATGTTTCCCCCAGGCGCAAAAGACTTCAGACGCAATGGCTAACAAAATTCAGGGTACTGTGGGGTACTTCCTCTTCAGCGATGTATTCTCTACCTCATCGAAAACGGCGTATTTCAATCGTGCTACGTCTCGCGTTCGGCAGTCCCCCGCATGTACAGCAGTCCTTGGACCTTCGGACCAGATCTCAGCCTTTGGGGAGGCGTCATGGTCGCGATGGGCGCGCAATCGATTCATCGCCAGCAGCACGGAGACTGACAAGTGGGGCACCGAGCATATGAGGTTCAAATTCTACGTAGAAGGACCACTGAATCAGGGAGTCGTACACGTACATCTTACGAGGAGGCCGAGCCAGACCGATTATGAATACGCGATGTTGGCGGTGGATGTGAAGGGGCACCAGAGGATTTGGCTTGAGAATGCAGATTCAAGGAAGGATAGCAAGGTTGCTCCCAAGTTTTTCGGAGCGAGGTGGTGGTGAAATCTCCGCAATGAATGCTGGAAAATTGCATGTTTGAAAACCAAGGCTGGGAACGATTGTGCGTTATAATGGCAACAGGTTATTCTCCTTATTTCAAGAGGGGGAATCATCGTGTTTTCAAATGGCGACCGCAACATATGACCCTATGTGCATCTCAATCAAGTCCAATCGCAATTTTTTGCGATAGAGCATCTTTAAACATTTTATCTAGGCAGAAATTCAGATATACAATTGCAAATAAAGCCAGTCAGCACTTTCAAAATTACAATATGAATATTCTTCATAGACATAAACTTCAGTCGTTCCTACAATTTACATATCATTCCTTGGCATCTCCTCCGTCATGAATGTTTCCCGCACGTGAGGGGAGGGGAGCACCAATCGATGACTAAGCCGCCCACAATCGTGAGGCAAAATCCGACCAACACCACAATTGCAGCGAGGGACAATCCGGTAAATCGTCAAAGGTATGTCAAAATAACCCCCGTAACTGCACCTCTGCAGTTCTATGAAGATAAAAACAGAATTAATCGCTAATTGGAAATTTTTAGATGGCTCCTACAATCGTAAAGAAGCGTACGTTTTCCCCCAAACACCCGCAGCGATCCCCCGAATTCGCGATAGCGACGATAGATGGAATTCTCGCAGAAGCGCACCCAATCATATAAGAAAGAAAAAGAGAAGAGCAGAAAATGGTGTTGAAACAATTACAAAACCGCTGACACTCGGGACCACACAGACCGCAAGGCCTTCGTGCGCCACCAGAGCGACCGCTTCAAATGCGTGCCCGCGAGCTGGAGGAAGCCCAAGGGTATCGACAACCGGGTGCGCCGGCGCTTCAAGGGCCAGGCCGCGATGCCCAAGATCGGATACGGATCGAACAAGAAGACCAGGCACATGGCGCCCAGCGGGCTCAAGGCCTTCCTCGTGCACAACCAGAAGGAGGTCGAGCTGCTCATGATGCACTCCAAGACCTTCGCTGCTGAGTGAGTTGGGAGAAAAGCATATGGGAAGAAGGAGTTGTTGACGTGGATATAGGATCTCCCACAGCGTTTCTGCCAGGAAGAGGATAGAAATCGTTAACAAGGCACGATCTTTGGGTGTCAAGGTACGAAAAGATTGATCTGCCCATTGCTTTGGAGGATTTATATCTGACATTCTTTCTAGGTCACCAATGCCAACGCCAGGGTCAAGACCGAGTCATAGACTACTTGTTTATAGTTTTCTTTAATGACGAAGTTTGGTAGCGGGGCATATTCCCAGTCAATAGCGGCATACATAGGGGAACGGGGAAAAACATATTGGGCAATTCATGAAGCTCAAGATAACGGATGGCGTCCTGGGAAACACTAGGCATAGCCGGTTTATGATATTGGTACAAGACAATGCGCCATTTGTCTCATTCGAGATCAATCTATTTCTGATTTGGTCTGTGAGTGAGACTTTCGATGTTAGTGAGGTAGCTCAGAAGAGATATACCCAATGGTCAAGATAGGATGCATAATGAATTCCATCTTTCACATCACATCACAACCACGCCTTTTATCCCCCACACTCAAGTGACTGTCGCCAAGTGACGCAACAGCAACCGACAACAATAGGCTAAAATGAAACCGATTTTATATTTTCCTAACAACACGCTATGATGATATATTTTCTATGCAAGCTGCCCTTGGTCAGATCCGCCTAACAGCTCCCCGTCTTTCCCTGGTCTTTGATCAACGCGGCATAGTTCTTCCTCTCGTGGTCAGTGATAGCCTGCACCTTCGCGGCGCTCGCACACGTCTGATCGAAGTGGTACCCCAACCACTCTTTCGCCAACCGCCTGGCAAGCTCCTTTCCGATGACGCGCTCGCCCATGCAGAGGACCTGGCAGTCGTTGCTGAGGATGGAACGCTCGACGCTGAAGCTGTCGTGCGCGGTGACGGCCCGGATGCCGGGCACCTTGTTGGCGGCGATGGCGACGCCGAGACCGGTGCCGCAGATCAGGATCGCGCGGTCGGCTTTGCCCTGCTGGACGAGCTGCGCGGCGTCGACGGCGACGTGTGGGTAGGCGGTCTTGTCGGCGGACTCGGGGACGCCTACGTCGGTGACGGACTCGACGCGGGAGTCCTTCTCGAGGTCTTGGATGATGGCTTTCTTGTAGGAGACGCCGGCCTCGTCGCAGCCGATGGCGATGCGGAAGGGCTTGTGTTCAGACATATTGCTGGTAGGTGGTGGAGTGATCTAGAGATCGCTGGTGTCGTATTTGTCTTCGACTTTGTTGGAAACGTGCTTATTGCCTGAGCCGCTACGTTCGATCTTCGTGTCTGTGACTACGCGTCCGTCTACGATTCGTTCTACGGATCTCTTGACTTCCTTCTCGAAAGGGCGTGTCAGGATCTCGAGGTTGGTCTGTCCGACTAGAGGGTCGTTGTGCTCGCGAACTTGGACACGGTCTTTTCCGTCTGTGTTGCGGTCTTCGACACGTTGGTAGATGTGATCGGCGTTTGAGCTGATGTTCAGAGAGAAGAGAGCGCGCTTTGGGGGAGTCATGTTTTCATACGTGGCGGGGCCGTGGTAGGTTTAAATGATGTCAAATTGGGCTGAGGGGGGAATCCAATTGAGCCGCCGCCTACTTTGGACGAGCGGACATTACTAATTTGGGTATGCCGCGGGGAGAATTGCGGGGGGCTTCGCACCGAGGGTCAGCCATTGTAGCGAATGCTCGTCTCGAGGCATAATTAGTGGAAAGACTTTGCAAAATGGTCACATTTAGCACACATAGGAGAGGAAACATGACTGTTACTGGCTTTGGTTTTAGTCCGGCAAAGGACCGAAAGCTTGGTTATAATCATATTATTGTTGTACATATTGCATCGAGATTGATAGAATATTCTCATTGACGCATTCGATTAGAGCAACATAAGCTCCTTTTCTGCCACGCTAGCCCTTGTTTTTAAGAAGTCCTGACAACAGTGCTTCAACATACCGTCAATGAACGACTGGCTCATTTATGGTAACACATAGAAGCGTTCTGTAAACTCCGGAACACGTAGTAGCGTCCTAAACGCCGAAGCTTGCTTGGAAATCCTCCAGATGGGCCTGACCCTCGATACCAAAGAAATGAAACCTTAAAGAGAACACCATACGTCAGTAAAACCTTCCAATTAATAGATGAATGAAGTCGTAAAACCGAAAGTCATTAAGCGTTATAAGAGAATTGTTGTCCCGGGGTGTAGAGGTTTAACAAGTCTTCGGGAACACCGGTCGAACTGGATTGGAGGAAGACGTACCAGTCTTCCACGTTTAGTGTCGTGGGCACAATGGGGTTATGTCGGCCATTACTGCTGTTGCTCCAGGCATCATCAGTGGCAGCGCCTTGTTGGTTCTGGGCCATCATATCCATTTGCTGAGCCCACGCCTGCGGATCGTTCTGGTCGAAACCAGGCATGGACACTCCTGGTTGGGCGTTCTGCATGTTCTGACCTCCTGCCATCGGCTGCATGCCATTGTTATGTGGATGCATTGCCATGGACTGAGGCCGCGACAGAGCAGGATCCACAAGGCTATGCTGCTGTACTGGAGAAATCTGGGGGAAATTGACCTGCGTGTCAGCTGGGAAAAGCTGGTCGGGCTGGAAATTCTGCCACAGCTCTTGTGAGATGTTAGGGGAATTCCTTGTCACTAGGAACAAATCTGGAGGTGTTCCTGGGTAGGAATGTGAAGGATTGAATGGCGTTGTTGGTCGTGTGCCAGACCGCGAGGGACCCATGAAAGCGTCATTGTTCTGCCGTGTCATTTGCGGCGAAGACGCTGAGATCTGCGGCATTTGCTGTTGTGGAAGTTCTCTAGATGGAGTTACGGCAGGCGTCTGCGGCCTTGATCGCTCATAGGAAACTTGCGGCGCTGGTGGGCCGTTGTGAGAAAAGCCGAGATCCATGTCGTCGAACTTTCGTTTGGGCGGTTCCTGTGTAGGTCGGGGAGGGGGAGGGGCTTGATGAGCGGCAGAAGGTTTGTTCTTCTGGTGACGTTTACCGGCTGCCTTTTGAAGGCGTTCCTCGAGATGCTTGTTCCCAAGAATCGACTCGAACAGTGTGTGGACCATCTTCGCCACAAGCCAGACTTTAGAGACTTCTTTTAGGGCATCCATGCAGATGTGGAGGCGCTTCTCAGTTTCTGCCACAATGCTTTTATTCGAAGATCGCATCTGATAAACATGCATGATGAGGGCGGAGAACAGACTGTACACTATGAAAGCCGGTGTGTACCGTATCTCATCATGTGCGCGCAGGTTCTCGATGATGGACGTGATCATTGCAGCAGCTTGATACGCGATATTTCGCGACGGATAGGCATGCTCTTCGAAGCCATTTATTCCGTTATTTTTGGGCGATCCTGCTGGTGGCATATGTGCTCTGTGGAGAAGACACAGAGTAGTACTAAACCATAGTAAGAATTGTCAAGCCGCGAAGGGTATGAGTACGTACTAATAGTTTGAATGTAGCAGTGCTGCCCAGAAATGATGGTGCGATCTGTCCCATTGTACTTCTGGTGGACAATGCTGTAACCAATCTGCTAGGGCCATGTCACTGTGTGTTAGATCAATGGCGTTCGTCCGTCGATATTTGGATGCCACGGAGTACTGCTGGGACAGAACGAGCCCCATGATCTCACAGAGCTTGACATAATTGATGAAGAAGTGAACATGAACTGGTTCAGGCGGGTATTCGGCTGGCCGGTCTGGTTCGTCCTCGATGAAGTCGTCCTCTGTAATCATCTCCACATCAGAGTCTTCCGGATTGATTGCTACAGGACGTCCAAGCGCAACAGCCACGGACCGATCTCTCGAGAACAGTGACCACCAGATCCGTTTCCAGAGGCGCTTATCAGACTTGCTCAGCTGCGAACCCTCGACACTAGATAGGTTAGCAAATTTCCAGCTAGATGTGACATGACGAGCACCCACCTTCTATGCATGCCAGAGCCTTGCGCTATGACAATACCAACTCGGCTCCAGTAGAATACATTCTTAGTCACATCTGTGTTGCAAGGTCAATGAAGTTTCTGGTGCATTCGCATTCAGAGCTTACCTTCTGGGCCTTCCCAATACCAACCCATGAGAATGACGGATTGCACTATGGTCACACGATCATCCTCATAGTTGGCATCGTACAACGCTTTAGCTCGCTTGTAGAAAGTCATGGCAGCAGGTGTAGTAGAACCATTTGAATCCATAAGCTGGGCATTTGTGCAGACACGAGAACCGGCAAGCAGTATAGCTTGGAGGAGCAGCAATGAGGGCGGATTCTTGGGGTCCCTGTACTGTCGCATGAATCGGCTCCTGTTGATGACGGGGACAACAGGTGCAACCCATTTGAAGAAGGCGTCGACCAGTTCGTCGCACAATGCTCGAGGTGGGAGCAAGAATGCTCCGCGCTGGTGGAGGATATCGATTTCCATATTGTCCAGTTCATTCACTCTAGCTTTGGCGCCGCGAACATTCTCGGGTAGCGGATAGTGTACGACGTCGGTATTTCCATAGCGATCATGAACCAACAGCGAGAGGTTCGAAGACTCTCCCAAGTATGCGACCCGTCCGGCTTCCTTGATTGGCGCCCTCGCAAACTTGGGCTTCATGAATTGTACGTAAGTTCCATTGTGAGTAGCCTGCTGGGCCGCATAGGCAGTGGACATGGTAGTCGAGGGTGTTCCATCGGGCGAATTGTATACGGTCGTTTTGTCTCGGGCTGCGTCTCTTTGCGCGCCATCGCCGGGTGTACTGACTGGTGCAGGCGATCGGTCATCAGGCTGGCTGTCACCCAGTTCACTGGATATTACATATTAGTGTCTCACTTGGACGCATGTTCAGGCAGCTTACCTTTCCGATTCTTTTGTTCTCGCTTGGGTCTTCTTCCGCTTTGGCGTGGGGATGCGGCACTCTATGGAGAAGGCGGTGCAGTTCGTGCATGGCACACCCAGACTCGCGGCATCGCATCGTACCTAGATATCGGTTATTGTTATGGGCCATGATGGGGAGAGTCCGATAGGGCGGAATCTCACTTTGCGGGCATGGCAAGCTGCAGATTGAGGTGGTTAGTAAATGTGGTGATATGACCTCGGTGCCTCGGTTCATCTGGATAAGTAACCAAACGATCCAACTCTTTAAGACCACCGACACGGCGCAACGAACATGACGCCCTTCCTTGCTTCGATCTTATCATAGTAGGGGATAATAAAAGTAGGGATGCACGTACTTTCGCAGGCACGCGATGCGCGCTGTCTCCTGAATGACGGATGATTCTGCTGCTGCGAGGGCCTACAGGATGCTGGTCAGCTAGATGCGGTGGTGCGGCGCGCGCAGAGGCGGTGGAGGGGGAGGAGAGGAGGAGACGGACGGTGCGGGATTGGTACTGGGTTGCGCAGCCAAAGGTTGAGAGGAAGGGGCAGTTGAAGCCATGAAGCTATGCTCTCCGCTCATGATTGCAACGTGTTGTAGCAGTCTCTTCGACCTTGGGAGTCGTGGACCGTAAGTCTAACTAGCATGCGCGGTTGGGTGTGTAATAGTAAGGTTCAAAGATGGGGGAGGACGGTGCCGAGAACCTTTCCAAGGTTAGCCTCGACGGTCTACATGGGATCGAATAATAGTGTCGTTAATGGTTTGGGGGAGACTCGAGAGGGGAGAGCGAGGAGAACAGCATGTGTTCGCGTGCGTGCGCCTGGGGAAACCGACAAGTAGTTGATTGATTACACCCACCTGCTCTATGTATGGCTGGTGTTGCCTGATGATGATGATGATGATGATGATGATGATGGAAGTTGACTGTTCTTTTGTTACTCTTGCTGCTGTAATCGCCGTGCTTCTACGACTATGTAGCAACAGTGGGTAGATGTGTGTGTGTTTGGTTCTTTGTTTCCATCTACGGAATACAACCATCGTTATTGAAAGAAACGAATAGATTATCTACCTACTACATATCCTTCCGCTCCAGTAATTCTTGCTTATTCTATATTGTCTCACCCAGTCCGATCCCGACGCTTCTAGCCTTACGCGGCCACTCTTTCGACCCGATATATTTCAAGGAAAACGGGAAGAATCGCATGCCTCTCTGATCATCGCCGGTGTAGCCCGTACACTTCTGGGGTTGCCCGAGTGCCACTTACTGGGCACGACGAGTTAAAACGGCGTGAATGGTCGTAACGTGGTGCGGAGTGTGCTACTCCTGCCTGTGCCTAGGCACTATTGGGCCTCGTCGTCATGCTCGTACAGTCAGTCCTGTTGGTGTCTGCTCACATCTGCACAAACACATAAACGCACCTCATACCTTCATTCACCAGCCTACCTAGAGTGTACACAGCAGTCCAGACTTGAACTCGAAACCCACCGTTATTCATTGGTGGGAACACCATGAACGTCTTGTTTCAGCGGCAAGCCTTGATCCGTTATGCTTTCATTAATTGTAACAGATCTTCTAAGATTAGCTTCTCCCCATATATTAGGATCTCCGTCTATGTGCTCCCCTCCCGAGCCCGCTCTTGTGACCCCGTCCTTCCCTCGTCCGGAGCAGCCGTCCGCTACACGCTCTCTCGCTCTCTCAATACATCGTAATGCATTAGAAACTATCTCAGGAACCTTACTAGCTGTCCTCTAACCTTCTTTGAACCCTTTGACAGGGCTAATCCCCTCATCTCAAGCCATTGGCTGCGGCGTGTGCTCTCTAAATACCACTATGGAAAGGCCTCCGAGACCCCAAGCCTGTCACCAACTTCGACCTTGCGCAACACGAGTTTACATGTGAGAGAGCACAGTCACATACTGTGTAGACTTTCTATGCCGCCTCAGCCCGCGTAGTGTTCCCCTGCCGTCTCAGCTTAAACGCCTCCAGGTTCAATTCCTTGTTGATCGGCGTGATCCATCGTAGGGTGACTTGACCAGCCATGTCTTGTGCGACCTCCTCCTCGGTAGCGAAAAGATAATCCTGATGCTCCAATGGATCCAGTTGGATCTCGAATGTTTTCACTTCGACTTCGAATATTAGTTTCTGCCATACCGCCGTCTCCTGTGTGCGTTTGCTGAATTCCTCCCACCCGAATTCACCAATCTTGCGGACGAATCTCGTCACGTCCAAGCCTGTCTCCTCTTTGACCTCTCTTGCCACTGCATGCAGAATGGTCTCGTCGGTATCGTCTACTTTGCCTCCAGGTATCTCCTACTGTTCGTTAGTATGGAAATCGTTTCATACTCTCCGTGGACATGAGACAAACCCAAAAGTTAGCGAACGCTAGTTCCTCCTTTGCCCTCTGCACCAGAAGCAGTTGATCTTTGTCATTGAAGACTGCACCTCCCGAGCAGAGAATGGTGTATTGGGGATTCCGAGCGAGAAACTCTTTCTCCGTCACCATGTATTCCTCTAGTGATTGGGGATATTCAAATGGAACTTTGGCTGTCATGTTTGTTGACAATGATTTGCGGAGGATCTTGACTGACAATGGATTGTTTTGCTTTTTGTGGATTCCTTGAATGAAGTTACAAGATGTCTTTGCACTCGATCCCTTCGTAAGAAAGTGGATAGTCAAAGTCAGTGTGGATACGAACGATACTTGAAGCCTACGTGAGGTAGAGGCAGACTAAGTATGGTCGTTTCCTTGCTGCCTGATTGAAATTCTACATTTGCCCACAATTTGGGCTTTATCGACATAAGGCAACAGTATTTCTCCTTCGCTATTTGATTATATTATTAATGAATTCAGTCTACCAAGATTGAAATACTTGTGTGGGCATGCACAGTGTTCAAATAGCATCACGTGCGTTGGTGTGTATCTTGAAAGTCGAAGAGCGCTAGTCCGCATTCTACACAGTAACTAATAGTTGGTTGGAGATCTGGGCACGAACCACAACATCTCGTCAGTCGCGTTCACTCCGCATTTACTACCGACATCATCACTTTCAACTAATTTTCTTGACAACCTCTGCACAACCCCGTCCTACGGATAGTTGTCGTCGCCAGGCAACACGCAATCTATTCGATCCACGGTACCCGCAGAACAACCTCTTCAATATGCCCCGCCCAAAAAGAACGAAAGTCGCGTCAACAGCGGCGGCGTCGCGCGTCGCGCCGTTAAGCAGCACAACAACCAGCACGGAATCGATTCAACCGAGAAGAAAATCTAAAACTGCACGACACCAGACAGAAAATATCAGCGATGACAGTGACGGGCTTGTTGTCAGAGCTACCCGTGCGCGTTCCTCACGACAAAACGAGTCCGATCAATCCCTACAATTCACGATGACCGGCGCATTGCCTGCAGCCACTGAGACACGAACAGAGACCCGGAAACGAAGTAGTCGCGGGAAAGAGCTGACCCCACGAGCAGTCTCAACATCAGAGGCTAGGCGCACACCGGGATCGAAAAGTTCTAGCAGAAGGATCTCGTCTGGCAGACGTACCAGGACAAGTACACAAGATGTCTCCCAAGATAGTCCGCGGCAAGGAGGTCTTGATTCGCTCGGAGGTATTGGTCAAGATGAAGAGAGCAGCATGCTTGACCCAAGTCTTCTCACATTTGGATCACTGGGCTCTGATTCACCCGATGCAGCTGGCACGCGCCCCCCATCAGCAATGAAAATCGGGACCACACCAGCGCATGAGACATCCATATTGGCGATCAAGAATTTCAAGCGTCGGCCGCGGCAACTAAGTCTGCTACGCCAGGCACAACAAGCAACCGATGTCGAGGACAATGGCGAGGACAGTCTCGATGAAGCAGATTTGGATGACCTGGATGACTTTCTCCCGGAAGCAGAGTCAACTCCAATCCATCTTCGTCAGAACCCGCCGAACGATGATAACAATGATCCTGTCGATCAAAGTGGACTAAGTCACTCCAGCACTAGTTCACGAGGGAGGAAGCGTAAATTATCTCCGGTGATACAAGTCCCGCGCTCATCACCACCATTTGACCCACCATCGGGATTGGATGTTTACAATTCACAGCGATCGTCACCAAGCCTACCAGATTCGGCCGACGAGAGTCTTGAGGAAGTGGTGGAGACACAGGAGCTTGGGGATCAGGAACCAGAGCAAGATATCATGAGCGAGACCATGGCACCCCCAAGGTCAAGTAGTCCCCCCGAACAAGCGCAAGCATCTCCAACGAACACACGACAGAGATCCAAGAGAGGGACAACAAGGAGAGATAGTGGCAACCAGGACTCCGAGGGCGAGGAGACTGAGCGGCCGAGGAGAAAAGCGAGGAATGCCCGGTCTAAGAACGAAACGCTTTCCACCGCGAAACTTCAGGCACTTCTTCCTCGAAGGCGACACCACATCGAGAAAGAGTATGACGAATTCGATATAGAAAGCTCTAGAGACTCTGAGATTATCGATTCCGATGAAGATGAGCTGCAAAGACCACCAGCGCGTGCACCAAGGGCTGCGACCAAATCTACGAAAAAGCTTTCTAAAGCAGATAAGAAGTCAACCATGCCGACGAACAAGGCGAGGAGAAATACGAGGACATATGGTCGTCGAATATCATCCGATAAGGAGAACGAAAGCTCAAATATCTCACATGAACAAGCTGAAGAGGAGGACGAAGAAACCGGAATTTCAATGACCCTGCCCAGTGAGCAATTAGCGGCAATGGCAAAGAAATTCGAAGACGTCGATGCATGGGAGATGGACTTTGAGAGTGTGGATGTGACAGGTGGCAGTTCAAGTCCTTGGCGATAAATTTCCGAGTGCTCTGCAGCGTATTTCTAGATGCCTCGCGGAATCCGCAATTATGTAACATATAGCTCTTCGAACGGTGACCGAACCGAATGATATTAACTTCTTATCACCTACGCCTACAGAGCGTGAATCCTTACATAGTCGTCCATCCGGCGCACCCAACACTATATGTGCGTACAGTTGAGCATCAGCAAATAATACAGTGGAAAAATGAAATCGGCATTTTGATAGAGATAATAACCAACTAATTAATAACATTTACACAGTTACGAGTAATATGGACCCCAAATCGGTTACGACGGATAAGAGGCGAGACGACGTCAAAAGCCCGCTAAACCCAACCCCGAATCACTACCCCGGTTTTCCATTATCATTCATCATCATCATCACTTTAGTTAGCAGAGATGTGGCCTGAATTTACAGATACAACCCATAGAACATAGCATTCAACGACCATTACGACTCTATAAGCTACATAGCATTAATTAGATAGACTTCCAGCAGCAAACTCTCTTTCTGCTATCTTAAGGTGCCTGCCGGTCAGTCCTTGTCAATCGCTGGAGTAAGTAACTATCTACCTAGTTAGTCAAATCTAGCAAGGGTTCACCTCACAAGTTCCTAGAGGCTCTTGCTCCCACTGTGCACGGCCACTCAGCTTCGACGTACCCTTACTCACTCCCTCTCACTACACACCTTCAACTGCTTCTTCCTCCGAAAATCACCTATACTCTTCCGCCTTTCTCCTCTCCCATAACTTGAGAATGACGCAGTGACTTGATGCCATGCGCCTTCCCGACCACTGCAACCACCTGTCCTATGCAGCTCCCCCTCGACCAACTCCACCGGGCTTCCTATGGCCATGCACCCCACCAATGGATCCCCTTCCTCCAAGACGAGCTCGACTCCAGTAACCTCGACATTACGGCCACGCACCCGCCGCTTAATATCCATTGAGGACGAATATAATCAACCCTCTGATAATGATCATGGCACCTCTTCCTACGAACCCCGAGCTGGGTCGCCAGCTGTGAACAACCGCGCCTCACGATCTTTCATGACCACGACTCCCACCGCATTTGTCCGTTCCGCGAGTGCGCAGGCTTCAAAAGCCAGCCGAGATACTTCGAATACTCTGTCCGGATTTTGGGGAACATCTCTGTCGGCTATCCAAGGTTTGACCGCCAATGTGCTGGGCAACGATCCGGCCTCCGCGGATGCTTCCGCAGGGTCGAAGGCGTACTCCAAAAGCCGCGGGTCTACCAGCGCTGCACCCCCGAAGAAATGGGGACCATCGTCCTCAAGTTCGCACGTAGGTGCGGGCACCCAAGACGAGAGAGAGCGTCTGGTGCGAGCAATGAAACGCAAGGACCTGCTCACCGCAAATGAACATATATTGCCAGATTCAGTTGGTCGCATCAAACGCAGGAACTCTGATGAGCGCATCAGCGTGTCTGCACCTCCTGGAGAAGGTGAGGACCGCGATGCCTTAGTATATATACACCACGTACGGCCACAGGATACACTAGCCGGACTTTCCATAAAATACAATTGCGAACAGGCCGTCTTGAGGAAAGCAAATCGAATGTGGCCGAATGATAGTATACAAATAAAGAGAACGATAATGCTTCCAGTCGATGCATGCGGTGTAAAGGGCCGACCTGTGGATGGGCCAAATTCGCTTCAAGAAGACCTCCTTCTGGACGACTACTCCGGAAGCTCACGCACCAATGAACAGAAACAAGCAAACAGTACCATAAATGGGGAGTCTCAAAATTCGTATCACCATCGCCGGGCAGCGTCCTCGGTATCCAATGCGGACTCAGAATCGCCATGGAAAACCGAATCGTGGGTTCTTTTGCCCAACGATACGTCACCTACAGAAATTGGACGCATATCACGCAGAGCACTTGGTTTTTTTCCACCAGCTCGCCGGAAATCAATCGCTTTCTCGGATGCTACACCAACTGCTTCGTTGGATTTGCCTAGATCCTCTACTTCTACGAACCCAGTTGGCTCACCAAGTCAATCGAAGGGCCGCGCATCTAGTCGCACGGCCTCTGTCTCTCGCCCGGGGGGACGTCAACGAAGTAATTCTCAATTCTCGCTCCATGGGCCCGGAGGGGTTGGTACCATGGGCCGGAACGTCCGCAGCCCTGGGCCGGCTCAAGATGGGCTGAACAAACTTTTTGCATCACATTTGCCAAACGTTGCTCCTCCGCCAGGGCAGGAATATTTTACTCCTTGGGCACCATCTCTTCTCGAAGCTGATTCCGGCACGTCCAACCAGTACGGCGGTGGATCGGGTGCTCGAACACCGTTGGGTGGCCCAGGTATTGACCTTCAAGAGATTGGTGGTGCCATAGAAGGATGGGTTAGAAAAGTAGGAACCCAGGCTAGCAAGCTCTTGAACGAACCTGGTACCCCTGGGCAGGGTAAGAGATCCGCTGTTCCTGTTATTGGAGCCGTAGGTGGTGATTTGGGTGATCTTATTGAGCTGAGGGACGATGCGTTTGATAGTGGGGACGGAGAACGGGGCAGATCCATTCGTCAGGAAACATTACCCTCCACGATGGACCAATACCAAAGTGCTCGACCAGATATCAACCTGGTGATGCGAGACAGAACCCGAAAGAGCAACAGTAGCAAGAAAGACTAGGGGTCAGGGATCTATAGACGTAAAATATTGGGGTTTATTAAGTCGGCGTCAAGGGTATGCGCATGCGGCGCGAGTAGCAACATATTCGTGGCCGTTTATTTGAAAGCGTTTGTTGGCGTTGGAGAGACATCGTGAGCAGTGCGATGTCAACTTTGTCGATTGTTATATACCTACAGAATGCATATACCAACAGCCAATATTATGTTTGAAGTGACTGGATGATTTACAAATAGGAACGACGTTGCTTGCCAGATCTGACAACATCAATGCTTGAATACGCAGGTACTGAACCTATAAGGCTGTAAGCGACGGGATTCAGTGAATCGAGCCTATAAGCTAAGTTTCGCATGCCCAGAGATGAGTGTGCAGGTGTCCGTGCATGGGTCGAAGTCTCGGGCGGACAAGGACACGGACAAAGAATGCTTCTCATTTGCTTATTTCAGGTCTTGTATACAGTTTCGAACGTAATTGAGGAGGCATGTTGAAAGTATCTGGCGGTTGCCTTCGTGTGCGAGCTCGAGTGCAAAAAGGAATCTGTCCAGCCCCACCAGGCATTCGAAATGGAAGGTCATTATTCGCGGCATCTACGCCGCGGCTTGCCCCGGCCTTCACACAAGTAGCTTCCCAGAGCCAGATTGATCAATCGAACAACATCCTCCCCACTACTCCCACCACTCTCTCGACAACTCCAGGACTCAGGAACTCGTGGTTCGGCTTCTGCAAGAGGCGACACTTCTCAATCATGCACCGTGCCCCCGCCGCAATGGTGACCCGCCCTAACCCGGACGTCACCATTAACACTCCCCGTGACCCGAATACGCTGTCAAACTACCACAATTTCATCACTCGTCACACCTCGGCCAGTTTTGATATTGACTTTGAGAAGAGGGTGCTCAAGGGTGGTGTTGTGCTCACTCTCGAATCGCTTACGGACGCAGAGACCAAAGAGATAGTCTTGGACACCAGCTTCCTAGACATCAGCGATGTCAAAATCGATGGGCAGCAGGTGAAATGGTCTGTTAAGGATCGTTCCGAGCCGTATGGAAGTCCTCTCACCATCCAGCTGACCGAAGGTGTTGCGAAGGGCAAGAAGTTCGACGTCGCCGTAACGTTGTCCACTACAGATAAATGCACGGCTCTTCAGTGGATGACACCCGCGCAGACGAGCAACAAGAAACACCCGTACATGTTCTCGCAGTGCCAGGCTATTCATGCACGATCTGTCTTCCCTTGCCAGGATACGCCAGATGTCAAGAGCACGTTCGACTTCGCGCTGAGGTCTCCGTTGCCCGTACTTGCGAGTGGTCTTCCTACCGGCGCAAAGGATTATGAGAATGGTACTCTTCTCTACACTTTCGAGCAAAAGGTCCCAATTCCAAGCTATCTCTTTGCGATCGCCAGTGGCGATCTTGCATCGGCCTCAATTGGACCCCGCAGCACTGTTTGGACCGGACCGGAGGAGCTGCTCGACTGCCAGAGGGAGCTTGAGGGCGAGATCGAGCCTTTCATGACGGCCATTGAGTCCATCATCTCTCCTCCATACCAATGGACGCAGTATAACTGTCTGATTTTGCCGCCGTCTTTCCCTTACGGTGGAATGGAGAATCCGGTCTGGACCTATGCGACACCGTCCATCATTTCTGGAGACAAGCAGAACATTGACGTGATTGCGCATGAGCTGTCTCATAGCTGGTCTGGTAACCTTGTCTCTGCGGCATCGTGGGAGCATTTCTGGCTCAACGAAGGCTGGACAACCTACCTTGAGCGCAGGATTCAGGCGTATGTCCACGGAGAGGAGCACCGTCATTTCTCCTCGATCATCGGCTGGAAGGCCCTTGAGGAGTCTGTCGAGCGATACGGAGTAGACCACCCCTACACTAAGCTCATTGTCGATCTGAAGGGCAACGATCCCGACGATGCATTCAGCTCCATCCCTTACGAGAAGGGTTTCCACGCACTGTACGCCTTTGAGCTTCTTCTAGGAAAGGCCAAATGGGACAAGTTCATTCCTCATTACTTCGAGACTTTCAAATTCAAGTCCGTCGACAGCTATGACTTCAAGTCCTGCTTGATCGATTTCTTCGCGTCTGATGCGGAAGCAAAGAAGAAGCTCGACGATTTCGACTGGGACAAGCTATTTTATGCACCCGGATACCCGCAGAAGCCCGAGTTCGACGACACTCTCGTAAAGACATGCTACGAGCTTTCCGACAAGTGGCAAGCTCGTATCGAGAAGGGCGACAAGTTTGAGCCTCAGGCGGCTGACGTTGCGTCTTGGGTCGCCAACCAATCGGTCGTCTTCCTCGAGCGTGTACACGCCTTCGGCGATAAATTCTCTGCTGCTGATTACCACGCCATGGGCAGTGCGTACGGCTACACAACAACTCAGAACATCGAGGTTACCAGCAGATACCTCAGCGTTGGACTCCTGGCCAAGGTGGAAGAGAGCTACGCCCCCGCTGCTGACTTGCTCGGCCGCATCGGAAGGATGAAGTTCGTGAGGCCATTGTTCAGGCTGCTCGAGAAGGCGGACCGTGAACTTGCACTGAAGACTTTCGAGAAGAACAAGGACTTCTATCATCCTATTGCTAGGTAAGCATACTGTGATTCTCCACCGTGCAACATCACTTACTAACACGTGGCTTGCGTAGGCAAATGTTGGAAAAGGATCTATTTGGTGATGAAAAGAAATAAATATGCTTCTTTATTGGTAATAACAGTAATATGGAGTTTCTTATGCCAACCCAATGTCTTTTCAATATAGATGTTCCGTCGTTAATGTTAGATGAAAACAAGGGCAATCAATAACCCCCAAAACACTCGTATGTAAAAAGAATTCACAAAATACAAACATACCACACATGCTCAAAAAGACACATCAGATGGTGTTCGCCCCTCCTCCAATTGCTCCGCTTTGCGAGATCCGTATTCCTCAAGCATTTGCTGCACCTCCGCAAGCCCTTGCTGCACCTTCGCTAACGCAGCAGTAAGTTCATCCTGACGTCCAGCCAGTAATCCCACCGCAGACTCCTCGACTTCATACCCAGTCTGTGATTGTCCGTGATATTCAGGAATCCACCCCGATACCGGACTCCCGCCCGTAGGCACGCCGTCCTTGCGCCATCCCTGGATCATCGTCAGCACACTCTGCTTCAATTGCCGTTCGTGCTGGAGACACAGCACCGCCTTGTCGTCACGTGGTCGAGGGACGACAGGCCGTTGGCAGGATGTGTCTGCGCAGGTGGGTCTGCTGGGGGTGGTGAGGGCTTGGGAGATGGAGGTGGTGAGTGAGATGATGTTGGAGGACATTGTGGTCATGGCGGTTTGTAGGTCTTCTAGTGAGATGGGAAGGGGCGTAGGGAAGCTTGTTATTGGGAGGCAGGATTTGAGGGTGTTGAGGGGGAGTTTATTCATGCGGAGTAGATGTGGTTGAGTGTTTGAGATGGAAGATATATGTGGTTGGGTGTTTGAAGATGGAAGTCTCGAGATGGAAGACAGATACAGTCGAGTATTCGAAATCTCTTGGGAGGATTGAGATGGAGATATATGGAGGGAGTAGACTGGAAGATCAAATAACAACTCGACTGCCGTTCGTATGATCATGTGCTTTTGAAATGTTGCTTTCGATCCGATACCGTGGATCGTGAATATTGGAAATGAGCATCATTCTTTAGGTGCAACCGTGTATTGGCTGGTTCCGAGAAGAAAAAAGTTGTATCTCGAAAGAAATTTGAGAAATATTGATTGCATTCCACTTATGGCTTGCAGTATCTATTGGTTGAGATGTCTCAACAGTGGCTGAAGCTCAAAAATTTGCTGCTTGTGTAGTCCTCCACGCCGAATTGGAACTTTATAGTATAGAAACAATAATTATGACCCAAACAATGGCACAATGTACTCAACAACTAAGAGTATATAAGCCGTAGAAAGGTCCTGGAAGTCCTCCACAATCAAATTTCATCCCTTCACAGCACAAGTCAAAGGTTCCTTCCTCACAACAGTGCTATATCAAACCCCATCAGCCCAAGCAGCAGCTCACTGAATAACAACCATCAACTCAACAACAACCAACGCAACCATGCTTTCAAACACAAAAGCCATCTACTTTGTGTTCTTCTTTCTTATCACCATCTACATCGCCTGTCTCAAGATCAAAACACCACTCGCGATGGTGTATCTCCTCGCCATCTTTGGGTTTGCCATCCAGCAAATCCAAGAAAAGGTGGATAGACGATTACAGCAACTCGCGTTCGCCTTGGTAGGCGTCTTCTCAGCCATCATCTGCATGTGCGGCAAGACGATCCTTCCGTACGCGATCGGTGCCGTCGGAATCTCAATCATCTTGACAAAAGGCTGCAACGCCGCTGGCTCGTCACTGGAGTCGGGGTGGTTGCAGAATCCATCAACCATTGGGAGGGACACGAACATGATGCCCACCCTTGGGTCAGCACTTGCCCCCTTGACCGGCCTATTCAGCGACGTTACTCGATGGATGGAGTCAGCCAACTTGGGCACATCAGCCCCACCATCGGTCTATGACATCCCATCGGTCTATGACATTCCATCGAACGATGGCGACGGCGAGTGGGAGCAAGACTGGGACGACAATGCCTCGCTAGCAACCAGCGAGATGACCTTCGCACCACGCAGACCACCCCGTCCCATCCCCCATCAGCAGCAGATTGCTCGCCCGGATGCCTTCTCCAATCCACGGCCGTACCCCGTCTACGACGTGCCGGCCGACTCCTACGCAGATGAAGACGAAACCTCCGTTCTCTCCGCTCCCTCATCCACCTTGACCACCTCAACCAGGGGAGAACGAAGGGGATTTCGTGGTCCCGGAGTGGTTTTGGGCCAGAATCAATGGGACCATATGCATGATCCGCATATGAATATGATCATAGAAAGGCTGAGGGAGCAATATCCTGATGCGCGAATTATTCGTGTTGAGGAGGTCAAGTTGTCAACATTATTGAAGAGGGGGGCCAAGTGGATATTTAAGCCGGTTTGGAAAAAATGAGGAAATGGGGAGAGTGAAGGCTGCTTCTTGCTTCGATTTTGTTAGTCGATGATGAAATGGTTTTTGGGTTTTCGTGATTAATTGAATACTAGATGAATGTGTGTTTCTTGGGACAGTGGCCCTGGATATGGATAACCAGGACCATGGCTGGACCCACCTCTGTATTTTCTCTCTCAGCCTCTGCTCTGTTGGGCAGCCAGATAGATATTTTCAATTTGCTTGCTTCTGCTAGACATAATGGCATACGCAAGCAAGTCACAATACGATGTTGCACTCAATCTGAGTCCCTTGTTCCATTGCGACTCTTGGTACCGGTGAACATGACATATTGAAGCGAAAGACCTATGGCACCATCGCGTACTACCAAAGGCGCATTTGGATGAGAGTTTCGAGCATCTTGTTCATCTCCGGAGCACGAGGAAGCAAGTCATAGCGAGAAACACGGCGTATTAAGTATAGAGGCGATGTTCTGTTTGGTGTAGTAATGGATCAGTGACTTATCACCTCGTGCTTTGGTGCTACGTTGTAGAGCTGGTGATATGGATAGGTGAGAGCTAAATCGGGCGGATGGGTTGGAAGGTTTCACCGCCACAAATGCTGCAGTTCGACCTTCGGAAATGTTGTCGACTCTCATGGCTCGGAAGGATATGCACCATGGAATGTTCTTGGGTACCTTGTTCAGAAAGGGTCGTTCGAATATTGCACTGAGCAATGATGAGCAGAAGTGTTGGCATGTATAATTTCGCGATACTTTTGGGTAGAGGCCTAGTGAACCTTGGAGTTGGGAGCACTGTATCCTAAGAAAGGTTGGTCGACCTTTCCAGCGGTACGCCACTGTCTCTGCTTCGCTGCGCAGAATCATTGAAACCCTCCCAGGACCATGATGGGGATAATCTTCTAATCCTCCAATGGGCTAAACGACTATGCCACAATTGCAATCGAGCTGACGCCTCCTCTCACATCTGCTATTACTCGGATGTATCGGCACTCTTACAGATGAATGCAAGAAGAAAGTATCCAAAGAATTGTGGGCAAAGAGACAAATTACATCACCACCTTAGCTCGAATGAATGAAGTGTCGAAGTTCCTGGTCGATCTGCTAATCGCTATACATTGCTTTCATCTCATTGTATAAGTCATAGTTCTAGGTCATAGTTCATCTGCCAGCTTACTCTGACTTCTTCAATTCAATGTGGAATTCTGACCTACATGGAATGTTTCTTCCAGCCAAGCTTCCTGGCTTAAGGGGCTTATGAGGCTGATGCAAGTCGGCCGTGTCATTTATTGAGTTTCAGTGCCGAATCCGATCCCTTCTCTTCATGGGCATTTGCAGGCGAGCACTGTTTGCAAGCGCAGCAACAGCACTATCAATACTTCCGGTTCCCTATAGCATTCTGAATATAAAAGGTGAGTTCAGGACCTCCATGATGAAGGCATCAAAGCTCATTCTTTCACAATCATTCCAAATACTTTGAACTGACTACATATTCGCTCGACATGTATTCCAGGAAGATTATTCTTGCAGCCCTTTTTGGTTTGGTAACAGCTGCACCCAAACCTCAACGCATCAACATCAGTGCTCTAAAAGAGCTGTCCACCCCATCGGTGCTTGGCCCAGACCTAGCTGCAATTTCTGCTACGGCATCATCCTACGATCCTTCAAAGGCTGCCAGTGCTGCAGCTGCAGCTATCGCGACTGACCCAGTCACTGTACAGAAACGCACTGTTGATATACATTATGCCAAAAGAGCAGCATGTGAGAGAGAACCAGGAGGGTCAGTAACTTAAATTACTAATATATAAAACTATACTCATTTCACATAGCACCGGACCCATCCCAGGCGACGGAACAGTGAATGACTATCTCGCTATAGACGGCCCACTTGCCCGAGCAGCTCTAAATGCCCCTACTCCAAGTGGATACACTAAGTCATTCACGAATCTGCATGGAAGCACTCAGCAGATTGGTTACCTCACTTTCTTCACCATGCCCGGGACCGACTACGACGTTGAGGGTTGCGCTGCCCGGTGCAACTCTGACTCGTATTGCTATGCGTTCAATATTTACTATGAACGTGACCCTGCTGTTGATCCTAGTATTGATTGCCCGAACCCTGCCCCCGCGACCAATATCAAGTGCTCCCTTTATGGATACCCAGTCACAGCTGGAACTGCTACCAATACTGGACAGTACCGCGGGCCTCCTGATGCCAACGGCCAGGCCTTCCACGTAGTCATTGCAGGGAGCAACGGTGAGTTTGTTCTAGTGTCCGAACGTGAATTTTCATTACTGACACGATTGATGTAGGATACACTAAACTTACCGCAACTCCTGTACCCGATCCATTGGCAAACTTCACTGGCCCTTCTGAACTTCTCAGAGGAGCGATTGACGCCCCGCTTGACAATGGAGTCGATACCTATCTCGGCATGAGGCTTTACAATGACGGCCCGTATGATCCAACGCAGTGTGCTGCTATTTGCGAGGCTCAGAACGCTTACAATCGTGCGACTGCTAATAATGCAACTGGTACTTATAAGCCGTGCAACTTTTTCAACAGCTACATACTAGTTAAGAATGAAGTACCGCAGGGAACGTATTGCGGTTTTTATACTAGAACATGGGGGAATGAGTACGCTGATAATGTTGGATACCAAGACGGAGAGGACGTGTACACCATCGAGGAGAGTTACACATTTTTCAGAACAGTCCCTGATTCGGGTCGGCTTTAGTTGGATATGAGTTGTCGTAAGGGGAGCTTTCTAATTTCATTCGTAACTATTTATGTCTTGTTCACGTAGGTGTTTGGTTCTAGCTTGTAATTTAATAGTACATCATGGCGTCTTTCCTGAGAGGTTGAATTCCAGTTCAATGTTTTCTAAACTTTCTTAATCGCTGTGGGAAAGTCCCTCGAAATGCTTGTTTTATTCGATGAAGAAATGTTCGCCCCGCTCCTGCACCTGTATCTGGTCTCCAATCTTAATCTCCCCTTCCGCGAGGGGCGTTACTTGCATGCCTAAACATGCACTTTTGGATCCAGCATCGATTATACGGTACTTGCGCATTGTGGTGCCAGGCTCGTTACGATCTGCAATTGCAGTCTCCGGGTCGACGTTCGGCAGCTTGCACCGCGTCGTGCGGCATGAAATGTGATAATTACCATTCCCAATCTGGGCTCTTTTCCAGTCGTCCTCATCAAAGGCGGGAGGTCCCGTCAGATATACATTTGCTCGGTAACGGAGAACATTGAGCGGTTTGTAGCCCTTTGGTAATCTGGAGCTCACATCTTGAACGCTCGCGATGTTCATGATGTGTATCGGATACTATGACGAAGAATTAGATTTGCTCTACTGCCACTTCGTTTACTACTTACTGCGTCGTGCATTCCAATGATGGGCTCCAACTCGGTGTCCTGTTTGCTAGGAGCATTTCCCCCGGCTTCCCTATACTTTGTCGTGTCGATGCGGAAAAGGGTCAAGGGATTCGTTACCCCAAGTGTGTACCTCAATTTATCTAATAGCTCTGCAGATACTTCTCTGTCCATATTCAATGCGTGGGGTTGATCATTCCAGATGATCATTTTCTCACTCTTGTATTGCTTCTTTTGCATCCTCTCCTTTGTTGGGTTGAAAGGCACACGGAACTCTAACATCGGTTCACTCTGCCCAGCCAACTTTGCAGCCAGTATTTTGCCATAGTTCTTGAGTCCCTCGATGGAAAAGTCCGTATCCGGTGTGAAAGGGAACCGCATAACAAGACAGCCTTCGCTCAAAACCCATTCTCCATTAGGATCGTAGTCTGGCGCGTTGGGATCCGGAACCCAGACCTGTGTCTCAACCTTTGCGAGCCTAGGAAATGACCGTAATGTGATGAACCGCCATTCGCTCTTAACTTTTCCATTGGAGTCGGGAAGGCCTGTGTGATATTGGGCGAGCGTAAATTGGCGATCGTATTGAAATCCGGAGCGAACAACAGATGCTTTATCGATTTCGATACCTGCACAAGACTTGACAGGATAAACAAAAAGGGCCTTGACAGTCCAGGGTTTCGAGGATGAGGGTTCAGATCCTTTGCTATAGGCTTTCGAATATTGGTCTTTAAGATTTGAGGTGCCCTCCAGTTGCAGCCTCCGGCATCCTGCTGGGGCAGGAAGATGCACTTCTTGCTGGCTACGTGCGAGTATGAAGAGAAAGAGCAGAGGGACCAAAAGGGCCAATGTTGTGACGATGGCCGTTATGGGAGTAAAGCGAATATTGAAGTCGCGGAAGAAGTTCTGAATTGAAACGACGATGAAGTCGAGAGCATTATCAGAAGGCATTTTATTCACACCCTATGAAACCTAAGGGAACCCCGGTGTCTGAATGACGATAGAATAGGCTCTACTTCGTACTGATCTTTATAATGTTACTTCATGAGTCAAGGTCGATAGCGCGCGGAAGCGGAAGTCTCGACGCTTGTTGCTGACAATACACGCCCAAGAATGTCAGAACTACGCCCTATAGCATTGTCTGTCGTTAGGTAAGATCTTATTCTCGTAACTTGGTTGTGGACATCGATCACGAAATGGATCTGATAACGTGATAGAGACCAATTGATGTCCGGTATCGGCGATAGTTGAGGTGGTGGACATTAAGTCGACAAGAGCCACATTGTCGTCAGTCAGGTCATCTCCCCACTCACAGTGGGATTTCGCTTCGCATGTCGTCACAGCTAGCCAAGCCCAAGTTCTCATTGCACCTCACTTGCACCAACTCTCCTCCACCTCACTACGTCGCCATGCAATGACTATTTTGGACGCGTTTCGACGTGTCTATTTTTCACGGAAACCTCACGAAATCACATGGAATGATTGAAGAGCCAGGGCCTGTGGTGTACACCAACATCGACCTGTAGATGGCCCCAGCAATGGCAAGCCAGGACACTCCTATGCTGTCCTCCTCATCGTCTCGTAGGTCCTTGCAGGATCTTATCCCAGCATGTGCTAATCAATACTTTGCAGACCGCCTCCCCACCATCTCCGCTTCTCAGGCTCTCCAGACCCTACAAACCCGCGGAGCCCTCGCTGTATCTACCGGCCTCGCGCAGCTCAACAAAATCCTTTCCCCCAGAAGCCTTCCCGGGCGCGACATACATGGCGGACTCCCGCGAGGGAAGGTTGCCGAAGTGTACGGGCCGTCCGGAGTCGGGAAGACAGCGCTTGGGTAAATGCAATCCACACTTTATTGAACTATATCGGAATCGGAAGCTGAAATGGATCAAGAATTCAGGCCGCAGTCAATGCATTGAGGGAAGGGCAGCAAGTTGTCTGGATTGGTCAGTACACTCAGGGATTGCCAATTAGCACTTTGGTGATGGTGCCAGAGTGTTCTGATGGAAGCTGATGGCTGTACAGATGCGGGCGCACCGCTGGTCCCGCAACGATTCAATGATGTCTTATTCGCCGACGAGCAGGTGCAGCGCTCTCAGAACCTAGGAGGAACAGATGCCTCACCGCCAGAAGTACAATTAGATGAACTGCGGAGCCACTTCCATCACTGTACATCGCCATCGCTCGCGCATTTGCTGGCTCTATTCGTCCGAACGCCATCCTCTTTCCCGCCACCAAACACAAGCCTCATCGTTATCGATTCATTGTCAACCCTGCTCGATAATGCATACCCCCGCAATCCTGATGATCGAGCAGCAAGGCCTAAGAACGACCAGGCACGCTGGGCCGCAGGTCGCAAATTTCCGGTAATGAATGAGTTGATCTCGGCCCTGTGCAGGGTCGCTGCGCTGCACGACATCGCGCTTCTCTTCACATGCCAGACAATAACTCGGATTCGGGCAGGTTCAAGAGCTCTTCTGGTTCCGTCAATATCAGGTGCAGAATGGGAGAGTGGTATATCCACTCGACTGGTTTTATTTAGGGACTGGGTTCCGGGGCAAGGGAAGTGGTGTGACGCAGATGCTGAAAGACTGCGAAGAGCCCGGTTTGTTGGTGTCATAAAGGCAAATGGTGTGACTTTGGCCGACGAGGGTAGCGTTGGGGACGTGGTGCCATTCGCTATCGAGAGGGTGAGTTAATCTACTACCCGCAGAGCCTACAATATAAACAATGTATCGCCTGCAATTTGTGCGACGATCACCCGCTGACGAACCACAGAAGGGCCTTTTAGACCTAGCCGTTTCCACGATTGATATTACGACGACTGCAACTTCTCCTCAACAACGACTGCCTAAAAGACGTTTTGCGGAGATTGGCGATTCTGAGGACGACGAGCCTGACTCCGAGGAGCTGTACGGTTGGGTAGAAGATGATGAAGTAGCTGCGGAGGGCTTGTTGATTGTGAACGATACCCCGGTTGTCAACGATCCTGCAGATGCAGCATCTCCTGCAGCATCTCGGACGGACCATGTTCCAGAAAGAGAGAAGAAAAGGGTCGCACAATTCGAACGCACAGCTACGGTTTGAGGAAGCACGTTAATTGGACCATCTAAACTTTTGGGTAGACCTCCTACACGACAGTAGTTCCAGACATGTCGCGCGAACGACTTCGACCAAGAACGTGCCAATGGATAGTTGTCATGGCTTTCAACCCAGATGTGAGGAGAGGCAAAGGATTCTTTTCCTAAGGAACGAAGACTTCCTCGCGGCTATATGGATCATCAATTACCACCAATGATGCGCTTTGAAGGTTCTCGCCTATCAAGGCTGTCTTCATTTTCCCGCCAGTTCGACCACACACAAGACGAAGAATTCACAAGACACCACCTTCCATGCCGTTGTGCAACTCATATCCTACATATGCGGGAGGTCAGAAGACATTTCAGCGCGATCGATGATAACTGTCGAGTGGATAGTCATCCAGCCATTCTACGTAGTCGACGCAGCAATTCTGCTTGAGTTTGGGCTACATATTCCAAATCGCCGGCGGCCAATCTACAAACGGCCGGTGAATGGAGGCGGAGAGCAAGTCCGAGTAGTGGTAGTACAATGATGTTGTCTTACTGTCGCATCCAATGTGCGTGAAGTGCACCTGGAAGACTGCAATGGACAGGATGTGACGCCATGGGCATTTGGGAATACATCAAAGCGAACGTTTGATCAACCATGCATGTTAATCTGGGATTCATGTGCAATGCCACACCGATTCAACCACCTTCAAGATCTAAGTTTGTTCACATTGGCAATACTCGACGAGCTAAGAGCTAGCCTAAGTGTGCTGTTCATGTCGTACGCGCTGAGGGCGCAGATACTCCGCACCTCAGAGGTTCTCACCTCAGCACAAGACAACAAGAAAGGGGGGCACCGTCGAGGCGCTCAACCAACGATATCGAATTACGCCCTCCTCGAACTTCACCGCATCCTCGCAGCAGCTGCACACGAGGTATCACATCTCATTTTTCCGGTGGCGAAGAAGTGTGTGTGTATGTGTGCAGTCGGCACCCATTTCTACGCGACGAGCGGAGAACAGCGAAGTCCAAGCCCTCTCCTTTCATCTCAGCCGCATATTTCTGAATCCTTCGAACGCAACAATGTGGCATACAAAACCCCGCGCTTCTAGAAACAGCATCTTCCTAGATCCCTACAATACCAAGGAGCCATTGCATCGCTCCCAAGGCGGCCCGCAACCCAGACCCCAGATTACTTGGCAAAAGATGGGGTAACGGACGTGGGTATGGGTTGGGTGAGGTGAGATGAGATGAGATTTGAGGTTGAATGCGTTTTACCAGGATTGATTCCATGGGGCGAAGGAGCGAGGGGAGTTTATCCAAGGATCGAAGGGGTGGTTGCAAAAGAATCAGCGAATATGACAAGGACAGGACAAGGAGATTGAGATATTCAAGGCAGCACGGACGACCTCGCAGTCGGGGAAGCAAGCCCGCGATCCAACCCGTCGGGAGGGTACGGGGGGGATTGGCTGGCGGGCTCCAAGAGGCCTTTTACGCGGTGCCCATGATACAGTACAGTATCGTACACCACGACTAAGTCATGAATACAATCACAGAAACCCACCACACAGAGACGCAGACACAGCTCTGCATCAACGCCTCCGGGGTCTCGCGCCGTGCTCATTACTCGTCTCTCGCATGGTAGGACAGCACTACGCCTTTCCATACACACCGCGGACGCTTGAGGCGAGCTCCGCCACAGCATATGTGAGATCAGGTCAGGTCAGCAAAGGTTCACCAGGGTAAATACGTCGAGCTACTCCTTACAAGAACATGTAGAATGTGTGGGATGAAACCCCAGAATAGGCACCCCTTCCACATAAACGCACAGCACAGCACAGTACGCACACCCTGCCTGTCTTTTACCGGTCAGCGTCGACCTTGCCTTGCCTTGCTTTGCCTTACCTTGCCTCGCCGCCCCCCTCGCCTCGCTCATTGTTCCCCGGGTGAGCCGTTGATGTGATAGGTTCTAGACCGTCGCTCGGTTTTCCTTTTTGTTTCCGCTTTGGAGTCCTATCATGTCCCCTGGTGTGTGTGCGTGTGTGTGCGCGCGGGGACGGACTGTGCCGCTTCTCTCCCCGGCTGATTCTGGTTGTTCTTTGAAGCTGGAGGAAGGGGAGAGAGCGTGGGGGTCCATGACACTCCCCCTCTGAATTTCCTGATTTCACTGGCCTCTATCTCTCTCTCGCGAAATAAACAATTACATCGTGAATGCATATCAAAATATTTCCTTTTTCGTCGTCGTCGTCGACGTCGTCGGTTAGCCTAGCTAGATACGAAAACGCGAACGACGGGCGATAGGAGAGTAGGATGTCTATTTTGTAACAAAAACAAACAATATCTTGGAATCACATTATTTCATTTTTCATTTTTATTTTTTCTGTCAATTAAGGAGGACCAAAGATCGTCATAAGCAAAACTGACATACACATGGTCAAGTCCAACGCTCTGAATGGATGATATTCGACGTCCTCCATATGTATGATATCATCAGCCCCAGCGCCCTCTCTCTCCAACCATGGGCCCTCGATAAAGAGGACATAAAAGCAATTAATCAGAGTACTCCGTATGGATTGTTAGACACGGAAACTCAAACACGGAAAATAACAAGTTAAAAGAGGGCAAAACAAACAAAAAAACAACGGGAGACGGAAATCGTGAAGGAGCGGAAACGGAAAAAGAGGCAGCAAGATTATCCGGTGTGACGATCCTTTGCAACTTTTGGGCTGGGTCGATCGTGATGGGAGTTGGATTGTTTATTGAACAACGGCAACGGCAGTGACGGTAGAAGTGAAGCACATACGGTGAAGTATGTAGGTAGATATCGCAGTTTCGTTGCGTGTGATTTGGCAAAGAGTACTGCGTATGTAATTGTACGACAATGATATCCCATCAATCATACCTGAATACACTCCGTACTCCATACGTTTTTGCTTCATGATTCTTATCATTCTTAGATAGTATTCCCCAAATCCTGCTGAAATCCCATGACCTTTCTCCCTTACACAATCATCCAACCATCCCCATCTCGCCACCCGTAAACGCACAATCATCATTACCGATGTCAGTCAAGCTTTCGCGGGAACGAAAAACAATGGGGGGGTGCGCCGGCTAGCCTAGCCCAGCCCAGCTAGGGCACCAAGAATACATGGAATCTAGGACCACAGTTCCGTCTACCTTACCTCCACAGTTATCGTAGGATTCGAAGCGAGTTTTTTGTTTTTTTTATGTCTGATGATCATTTTCAGGTATTGTATTGTTTTGTTTTCTTGGGAGGATTGTGGGATCAGTTACCGCGTGTAGCCCCCCAGGATCGAAGATAGGATAGGATACGACTTCAAGGAGCCGACCGGCCAGGAACCCCGACATCCCATCACCTTGTCAAGGCGAGGATTTCTCCCCCAGCTCGATTAGTCTGTTCGGGAATTGACAAGAAAAAGAGGCGTACTGTGTTAAAAGAAGGAAAAGTTCTCGAACTCAAAAAACGAGGGGTAGTTACGGACTATTGTGAAAGCAGAAGGAGATTACAATTTTATCGATTCCTCCCTATTTCCCCATTCTTTCCTGTAATTAACCAATGTTTATCTCGGTATACCATCTACTTGTATCTCTCTATCTTCTCAGGGTCCCGTTTCCATTCGTATGAATCGTATCGCAGACACTAATACGACGTACGGTAACGGTTCGACCAAGATGAACGAACTACCGACCCAAACGCCAAAGAAAAAGGGAGGAGGCTCTGCGCTGAATGGCGGGATTTGCATTCTCCCGCCGCCGCCGTGCCACAGGACCATTTTTGTTTTCTCGGGGGTCCACGAACTTCACGATAGTGTTACGGAGTACATTGCTAGACAATCCTGGAAGCTAGTCTTGTCGCGGTAACGTTTCCACTCGAGCGGCGCGACTCACGATGGGGTTACAAACCCGGGAAGTCGGGAAGGAGAGATGTATGCGGTAGCCACCTACGCTGGGGGAATTGAACTAATAACTAGTGACTACGGAGTAGCTAACTAGGAGATCGTGAGGTTTTTTGAATCTAACGGCGGTTGTGTACCCCATGCAGTAGGTAGATATCTTAGAGTTTGGTTTAGTTTCGCTTCACATGTAATGTTTTACAGCATTCTCATGTATGTACGTCGGAAACTAGTGGGTTTCCCCCCCCCCTCGAGTCTGCTCCGTTTCGTTAAAAACTAGTTCAATAAATCTGCTGTTGTGCTCCCTGCGGAGTCGAAATGGGTCGGAGACGAGAATGGATGTATGTATGTGCCTAGGGCCAGGGACTCAATGTAGGCAGGTGAATTAGGTAGGTATGTAGGCACGAATAAACCGGGTTACGGTAGAAAAGAGAGTTTGACTTTGGGCGCGGGGAACCAAGGAGACATGACACTTCTCGCTCGCGTACCTGAACTTTGAAACTACATGCGGCCTAAACCAGAAGAGACGGACAGCAGTAGTGAGCACATCACATCACATCACATCACCAACAATAAGTAATGGTTACTTACGGTACTATGCGCATGCATGAGTTGGAAGTCGCAAATCTCCACCCGCGTACAACCGCGATCCTTTTTCTGTTGTGTTGTTGTTGGTGTTGCACTTTTTCGATCCGACATCCAGCGAACGAGAATGCACTGGCTTGGCGAGAGATAGACTTGTCGGAGCGACATTCGGGCGGATTTGTGTTTGTTGACGTTGTCTTCAACCACATGTAAACGACACTCCATGTTTTGCTAGTCTTTTACCCCACGAAATAGGCTCACGCTGACGGGTTTTCCCCATCAATCTCCCTGCAACTCTACTATCACGCCGCCTATCTACGACCAACAAGAACACCAACACCCGACATCGAGGCCTCACCGTTCGAAAAGCCCCCTGGCCTTGTCTCTCCCCAACGCGGGAAATGTTGGATGGTGTGGTACGTAGAACCAGACAGCGATCGGTAAGGACACAGTGCACTCTATGACTTCCAGGCTTTTTTCTGCCTTGGGTTCAATTAAACTACCAGAATCAGCAGCGGCAGCAGAAACAAATGCCGGGCACCGGTTCATCGCTGCAGTACCTTTTTCTCTTTCTTTCTTCGCACTGCCGGTGGAGGGTCGCACAAATGGGAAATCTATTTCTAGGCATCATCACCGCCTACCTCTTCCCCCCCAGCCAGCCCAGCCGTGATGCGGATGAAATCTGTCTCGTCTTCGCCTACACCGCTACACGATGGGGGTTTTTCTTCGTCCATTGTTCCCCCGTATGCCTACTCCGTACGCGAACTTTGATTGACTGGCTGGCGTAAGTTGTAACCCATGGGACCAAGAGTCTTTCGCTTCAGCCTGGATGGATAGATAGTGGGACTTGGGGATTTCAGCATCATCCTTCACCGCGTGACTGTTTTTAGATTCCAGATCCACCCTACTCTTCTTCCCCACGTATGTACGCATGCTTGCTTGGGGAGGACCTGGCCTGACCTGGATAAAGGATGCATTTCGCAATCGACACAATGGAACGCGCAAGAATCCAGCTGGCGGCGACAATGCGTCCGTCGGTTCCAGAGTGAAGGAGCCGGGGCGCGGGCGCGGGCATGCGGGCGTCATCCGCGGGAAAGCGCAATAATATTGCACATATCCTATTATTGAGATGGGGGAGATCGGAAAGTGGCAGAGAAGGGGAAAAATAGGCAACGCCATCCCCTCCTTGGCTTCTTTCCCCTCGAGGGCAAATGCTCACGACAGAATTGCCTGGCAAAAGAGAAAGGTGAGCGAAGATAGGAGAGACATAATCGTTGGTTGGAAAGGGGTGTAGCGTAGGGCTGTGCGATTGGTCGGGCGATGATAATCCGGGGGTTGTGGCTGTCTTTGGCGGTCTACTTTCAGATATTTTGTGGGGGAGCAACACTCATCGTGTTGGCAGTTGCATCTCCCCTCCCTCCCACCACCCCCAATTCTCGTCGGAATGACGGGAGACGGAGTGATACAGCGATAACGACTGCTGGAAGAATGGGGAAAACAAGGAAGGCAGAGCGAATAGTGTCTATGTCATGGAGGAAGGATGGCATGCCCATGCCATTTCGGGAGGATCATACATTCTCCTGCGGCACGTGGTTGCTTTTTTTTCTTCCTAAGCAGGAGATTCACCCCACACCAGGACGAGAATGGCATGAACAAGACATAAGAGAAATACAGATTGGCGACGACGGGGTAATGCAATGGCGAGTGCACCAACGAGCGCGATATCAACAACGTAGGAGGATGCGTGACAGCATAGCCGCTGATCTTGGTAACTTTTTGGCGCTCGATTATTCAACAAGCATAGTTAATGGTTCCGAGGCCGAGGTTTCGAGTTGGTAGGACGGTTCAGGTAGGGAGCGTGGAAGTGACGTCTTCCCGTACAATGCCTTTTCCAACGACATCCGTGATAAGCGTGACCAAGTCATAGGAAACAGTCAGGCGTAAGATAACCTCTTTTACCGCTGAATTGCATTCCTCGTAGCGGATCATTTGCACACGTCGCATATACGGAGTACTTTGAGCTAAGATGGCCATGTGTCGACGAAGACGAGACTGTACGACGTCGGTTGTTGCTCTGCTTGGATGTGATAGTGATAACTACCCTTTGTGGACATTTCGTGGGGTGGCTGTTGCCCTTTTCTCCAGGGCAAGTCATGCGCACAGCTTTGCCTCATGCAGTTTCGTGTTTGATGTTGCTCGAAGCGGGTGTATACCACCATTCTGTTATGGCCCGGCGGGAACAAAGTTTCGAAGCCTTGTCCTTACCCAGGTATAGCACCCACGCTATTGCGTTTGGCGATGGTGGTACAAATGTCATAACGCAAAAGTTCAGGATACAGTAATACGTGATGGCAAGGCAAGTCCAGTAGCGGACCCTCCGGCTCAGGGCATGATGCGGAGGAGGCTGTGGCATAACAAGATGGTCGCTTAAGACAGCTCGCAAAGTGAAGTCGAGGCGATGAGTGACCGTTGCTCTAATTTGAGATCCATGCAGGCAAAGCTTGGAACATCTCGTAATGGAGATGTGATCCTGGGGTAGTTGGCTTGGAATAGCATTTGTCCGCCTTACAAGATCTTGGAATCATTCCGGAGCACCTCAGGATATGGAGTGTAGATTATCGTGTGCCTGGCGTGCCAACGATCTAGCCCTCTGGGGGCATAATTGTTCCTTGGTTTGAGATCCGAGGTTAATGAGTCGCAATGAGATGCCTGTTTCATCCTCGGACAATTCGATGCCGGCACAATACGATAGCAGCGAAGATTTAAACTTTTGGAGACATAGTATGACGGAATATGAAATTCTTCCTCGGTGTTGGAATCATTCCAGGATGTTTCCAACAGCGCCAAGCTCGTGATGACCGAGGATATGATCAGCAAGAATCAAATGGTGTGAGATATCAGGGCATGTGGGAACTTTTTTTCACAATCTCTCTGCGCTACTGGGACTTGCCGATGTGGTTACGATCAATTAATTGAGTGCGCGTTGTTCAGAAGTTCGCTGATGTCCGAGGGGCAACTTGCAAGGAAACACAATGCCAGTGACATCGGTCGCCTGATCGCGGATGCGTCCGGACGCTGTCACGGTCGTGTACAAGAACATAGCTTGCTGTTACTGCGCAAGCGATGTAGAAGCTTGGTGACACAGCAGTTGTATCCAGATTGCATTATCTTATATCAGGTAGAGGGAATTTTTGTTGGCCTCAACAACAATGCCCCAGCGCTTGAAATGCAGACTAGTCTTCTTGATACACAGGTACGAAGTAGTCTCTCTGTGATATTCAGGCACGGGCAATACAGAGGAGCTCCGCTCGTCATGTGGAGACACTGGAGAGAAGTTGGGTTCGCGAATTGGCGCGAAGATGGTATCAATGGGGTACCCAAAGAGGAAGTTCCTTTCCGCCTCCATCCCGGCGAAAAGGTACTTTGGCCCGAGGTATCAGCCGCAACTCGTACGTCGCAATCGCTAACGATTCCTGCAACGCCCGAGGTACCATTCCCATACCTCAATAACGGTGTTTTGAAAAGGTCGCAAATCGGGACTTGTTGGGACGGACCGGTGTCCCGTATGTGCATGAACGAGGCCTCGCTAGAGACCCGTACTTACCTGAAGTGATGGGTTCACCGCCAATCTTCACGGGTACGCATCTGGTGATAGTAGTGACGATAAGTGGCTGCTTGTATCGCACTGGCGACCTTTTCACATGCAAACGTGTGACGTGTAGAATGTGCCATGTTGCGTATGGTATTGGACAGACGGGAAAATTGGAATTGAGTGCTGAGCATACGCAAAATGCTGACCATGACGCCACGCAGCGGAGTAATTGCTGCATAACGATGGTGAAAGCATTCAACAGTTTGCTAGTGTACAGACACATTCTGCAGGCCCATGAGTTAATAAGGTACTTGCAGGTGAATTCGTACAGGTACCTAAATTTGAACTCTGTAGACGATTATACGTGCTGCATTATTCTACGATGATGCTTGCAAGAGATCCTCAAAATCCTGGGTGATTGCGCCGCACTGTGTGGGCGCCCGCGCGTTCGCGAGTGGGAGGAGGGGAACCTCTTATGCGCAGACTCTTTTAGCCGCTAGATATATGGTGTTGCATGTCGCGAACCACGTTGGATACATTGCGGCCTCAATCTAACTGTGCGTGCTTGCAGCGCCCTCACAAGGGCCACAGATAAGGACCTGAAGGAGGATCTTCTGCTTTGAGACTTTGCAGCGAGTAGGATCTGCGCGCATAGATTGCGGTGCAGATGCGACAGCGAGACCCCTCGTGTGCATTCGCGTAGTCGTCTGCGAATACCTGTAGACACTTGTCTACTCGCACGAAGGTGTTGACGAGTGCATGCAGGACGTTGATTCGGTTACCAAGCTGGTGGGATTCGGGATGGCTCCAGAGCTGCATGCACGTTGGATATAGGCGTCTTGGATGCGGAGAAACCAATTCTCATAGCAGGAAGCACACCATTACATTGTTCGGGCATTTTGTGATCCTTCCATAGGCAAGATGGCCATCAATCTTTGAGAATTATTGAAAATGAATTGGTGGAGAATGCAGCCAAAGTGCTTTGAGACATGCATAGACGAGAGGGACGATGGAGATGAAAGTCATACACTAATTGTCCCTGCATCTGGTGTGCTCATGTACACTTTCATGTACCTTGATGAATGATCATTATATGATCTGCAAGAATAAATTGGCGATGCCGCGAACCGAAAAACCGAAAACCTGGTCAGGCGTGGTCTGGAATTGATGAGAGCTGGACGGACGAGATTCTGCATTGCGAAGATCTACCATATGCTGTGGAATGGACGTTTCGACTAGGAAAGTTTGCAAAGTACGGTTGAATATTAAGCCGCTCTGTTGAATACATGTTGTGTAGATTGATGTTGCAGGATCGACTCTGGACACTCGGTGACTGTGCGACGTAGAGAGGCAGCGCTCTCATGCGCGACATCCACCGCGGCACCTGCACTGCGCTGCACCGCGCCGTAACGGAGACGCGGCCCTGGCGACCCATTCGCGAATATGGCATTCTTCCTTCCATCTGGCCAGTCGTCGCATCAGGCAAAAGGTACTAGCCGGACCTGCGCGGCATGGACGGTGGTCGATAACGAACAGAGCGCCTGTGATTCAATACAGCCAATATTCCTGCGATTGATACAATGGTCATGGAGATGGGCGCACGGTGGAATCTTCCCAAGTGAGCTCGCAGGGAACGGGTAGGTTACAGGTGTAGGAGTGGTGCGAAAATTGCAACGCTCCTCTCGGGGGTAATTTCCCCTCGAGACGAGCAGTGCAGCGTCTTAGTGTGGTGGATCTTGGGCATTTTTAGTAGAGGCAAGTGTGGAGACCCCACAGTGCGTAGAGGCTGGGCGACGACCGCGCCCCTTGTTGCGCACTTGTAGGAAGCTAGAAGCTCGTATCGGTCCTCTAGAAGCTCAGCGGAAATCTAGAATACTGATTGCTCGGTCGCCACGGCACGATTCATGGCGGGGACGGGATGTCCGACGGAATTACTCAGGAAAGTTATTCCGGTGGGTGCAAGCGATCAGGACACTGGACAAACTTACACTACCGATGGGGCAGGAAAGCGTTACGGTGTCCTCATTGGGACGAGGATTAATAGCGGAGTGGACACTGTTATCTTTCGTGTGGGTGTGGCCTGGGATGACACGATGTCGCCACTCGCGACTCTGCTCTCGTCAAACGGTCCGGTGGGGAGAAATCACACAATCGACCGGGGCAATTGTGATGATTGCCGGTTGGCCTTATCGCGGCGAAACCGGAGGACGACGCGCTGCGCTCACTCTGGGGTTATGCTGGAGCTTCTAGAGCTGTTTGATAGATTAGAGTTCCTCGAGATCTACTAAAAACATTGCTAGAGATACTGAAAGATGCCATGTGCAGAGCTGGGCGCAGGGTCGATCATGACGGCGCATTAACGATGCGGAGTGTCGGGTCTGGGGTGCAGCAGGCGGGCAAGATGCCAGCGTGCCGCTATCATCACCTAGGCACATAAGTGCTGCACCCCGGACCAGTGGGAAGATCTAGAGTTTTGACTTGGTGACGACGGTTGAATTGGGTCGTCGTCGGTGCTTTCCCAGGTGGGAGAAGGTCGCGATGATGATGGAGTCAAGATGTGGAGGTGGAGGCGGAGTGTGGAGTGGAGAGAATCGCGCAGTAGTACGATAGATGGGCGCATCGTGGCAATCGCCTGGTTCGAATTCGATAATGGGACCGAGACAAGTCCGCGTGTCAATACCTAGGTAAATTACTGGCTAACTATGAGAACATGATGCCGAAGATAAGGCAGAATCATAAGCTTCCGGTCGGTATCTCGGAGTACCTAGGTAGGAGAAAGAATGTGCGTAGGTAGTAAGTATCCGGCCGGTGATAATGAATACTCAAACTGACTAGTGGGGGCTGAACTTTTGTGAGAGAGAGAGCGAGAAATTGAGGGAGGAATGCGAACGGAAAATGCAGGGGAAGGCCCCGTTGTTGTCACCAAGTGCTTGTGAATGCCGTATTGGGAAGGTGGACGGAGGTCGACGATGATAGAAAGATACACACAACAAGCACACGCACACACGCACAAGCACAAATAATTATCAATTAGTGGGCAAAGAAGGGGGAGGGAGGAAAGGCGAACGAGGAAGGAAAAGAGAGTATCCGTGATGGGCACTTGTTTCTTCCCTTCCCTTCCCTTCCTTTCCTTTCCTTTCCTTTCTGCTGCCCCCTTGTTGGGTTCCAGATGCTCGAGTCGTATCTACATTTCTACCTATCTATCTAATTGCCTATCTCTGGCTATCCCTTTCCCTCTTTCCCGAGGATTGTCTACTTACTTTGTCTTTGGATCATTGATTCATTCATTATTGCATTATAGTTAAGTTCACTTCAGTGCGTCATGGATTAGCCAGCCCATAAATTACACGTGAAATCCGAAAATACATAGGTGCTACCAATCTGCCCCGCCCGATTAGTTAGCGAAAAATCCGTTTCCCGCCTGGGAATACGGTCTTATCTCTCTTGTCTTGTCTAAGGTAATAGTTACTACTACCGAGTTAGAGAATGAGAGAGAGAAAAAAAAGTTTACTTCGACTAATAGATAGTTACTCCGTATTACTATTCAACTTATCATCGCTAATTTCATCGCTTCTGGGTGCATTCGCTTTTGCCCCGTGGGTCCCCCTCCCCTCCCCCAGTCATCGTAGCGGTAGTCAGTCAATCCAGTCTCGCGATCCCAATCCCGGACGCCCCCAGGCAAGAAAGTCGAAAGAAGAAGGAAAAACAAAAAAAGGGACTACACAATGATCTTAGCGGGTGCGAGCCCCGATCATTCGCCCGGTTGGTCCATTTGCCCTTCCTAGGTAGGCACTCTCTCGTGAGAGAGAGTCGTTACCCTCCCAGCGCCAGCGCCCGGAATTCCCGCCGACATTGCGGAGGAAGGAGAGCGAGGGAGCGGGCGGAGCGAGAGAGAGAGAGGCGCTTAATGCGTACCAAAACAGCCCATAATAGCCGGTGGTGGTGGTGCCCTTTTGGTCTTTTCGCCCTCGATTATTTCCTTGGGGGGGAGCAGCTGATAATGCTAAAGGGAAAAAAGAAATGACACAGACAGGTAGAAATGATGAGGATGATTATTATTAGTTTGGGTTGAGATCTCCTCCAAGACCTATTGTGTGTTACGTGTGTCTTGGGAAGGGAGGACAAGGCCACGGTATGGAAGTAAGAGGGAAGGGGGGGTAGAACATTCTACCGGGGGACTCTCTCCACACTTTTGGCACACAATAGTATCGAATCCCCCTTGATTAGGAGAGTTTACTCGTTGGTGAATACAGTAAGGGTTGCATGAGCTTATCGTCATCGCCTGACGGCGAGATTCTGTCTTGTAAAGGTGTGGTAGTGCAAAGGGGTCCGGAATGTGGGCGGCGTAAGATGATAATACTGGGGGAGGAAAAGTATGGAGCAGCTGGAGTGGTGTCACTGGTGTGTCCGGTGTGTCTGTGGCTGTCCTCCCGAGAAGATAGTCAGATCATAGATGTATGGGGTGCATCTGCGGAGAGACGGATGCTCTGAAGAGTCTGAGACTGGTCACTGATGGGAAATTGGTGGATGTATCTACGAGTAAGACTACGGAGTATTCGTAGTGCGACTAATGGTAACTCTCTCGAATCTCTCTCTATGTGTACGTGTATGTGCGAGTTTTAACATGTGTGTCTTTCTCCTTACTGTATCTACGACATCTGTACGTGTAGGCATGTAGAGACTGTACGAAGTACGTACTCCGTACACATATTGTATGTACGTGTGCATGTCTAATCTATCATCCTTGGGTTTATCTCTCCTGTCCTCCCCTTCCACCCCCCCGAATTCCCAGTACAATGGTCCCCCTCACCTCACCTCGCGCCCTCACCGCATCTTAACCTAGCCCTTGCTCCCACCTCGGGCTGAGACAACCCGCGGGGAATGGTCTGTCTTGCACGGAATCTTGCACGGAATCTTGCACCGTAGCGCCTATTGGGGGCGGGGAGGAGGAGGAGGAGGAGGAGGGAGGTTGCATCACCCGTTCCCTTTACCCCCCCTTCCTCCAATCCTTTCCCCCGTATCGACCTGTCCTATTCACCCATCTGAGGGGCCCCGGCTCACATCCATCAGCTCCCGGGACATGTCATGATATTCTTTTCGTGGTGTCTCTGATTGTTGCGCGGGGGTGCTGGTAGTAATTCGCTGTTCTAGGTAGGAGGTGGTGGAGAGACACTATGCGGTGCCGCCCGCCTGGAATCCCTTTGGTGCAACCCCTGCGAGTCGCCCGTCCCCAATCGTTCGTAGTTGCGGAACTTGGCATCAAAAGCACGTCACGACTTTCCATCTCGTAATGCAAAAAGCCCAAGAAAAAAAAACAAATAATGTAAGGGTTATGGTTTATTCTGAATCGTGTCTATTACGCTGCTGCTAAGCTGGAGGACGAATTGTACTTTTGTTTTCCCGGGAGCTGCAGCGTGGCAAGCCACTTGCACCCCGCCCTGCTAGCCAAAGTATCGAATGTGCTGTTCCCAGTCGAGAAAAGACGAAAAGTATGAGAGAGTTGAGAAAAGAAGTTGGGAGTGGTAATACATCAACTGCGGATCGCTAGGATCGCGGGGTATGATCGAACCAGACAAAGAAAACGGAGAAATATCCACCTCTATAGGAAAGGGAAAAAAGAAAAACCTCCATCCATAAATATTAACCAATGAAACTCGTTAGAGAAAAAAGTAATGTGCCGTCGCAGGCATTAGTATTCCCTTCCCGTTAATCCCATGTCTATGCACCGTGAGAAAACATGTCGACGCTCGCTCGCTGAAAACAATGAACCCTTGATAATGCTACCCGGAAACTCCACGAATTGCTTGTTCGCCGTCGCTTCGAGTCGTCTACAGACGCTCTGCGAGGTCGTTGCCGGCTAAGGAACCGGTAGTGGACGAGTTTCCGGAAGAGAAGCCGCTGGGAGCGTTGAGCAGATCTTGAACGGCGACCTTGGGAACCTGTGGGACAGGCAGTTTCCGCTGAGCACCGTCGGGTTTCGAGATGATGTCGCCGATCCTCAACCCAGATGGTTGGCTGGGGATGTAAGGCTGCTCCATGTTGGTCGACGGCTCCATGGGCGCAAGAGCCGGTACGTGGTGCAACGAAAGGTGACGAATGTGGGGAAGTTGCAAATCACTGAATCCCTGAGGACGGAGTCGTGGGGAATGAGCAGGCGTGGCGAGCGGGGTGTGATCAGGAGTTGGCGAGCAGGAATCGTGAGAGAAAGTGGGAGAGGGAGGCGCAGTGGACATTGGGGAGCCTGGCCTCGACTTCTTCGTCATCCTGTGGGAGTAAGGGTCGTCGTCCTCGTGGGAATGCGACCTTGACATGGGTTGCGATGCGTAGGCGTACTGGGAGAGGCCGGGAAGACGACCTGTGCTGTTGTGGTACGGGTGGAATCCATGGCTGGTGACATGACGATGCGAGAAAGGCTGATGTTGACGCTGTTCGAGCCTTGATGCGGCGTCAGCCAGGAGATCGATGTTGCGAGACAATCCATTGGGACTGCTGCTGTTGCTGTTGCTGTTGCTTCCACTCCTGTACGAGGAAAGATCGTTGTTCATGTTAGGAGAGTAGTTAGAGAAGGAGTGAGGAGGCGAGACGTTGGGAGATCCCAGATTGGAGCTGGGGGCCGAGCGAGAGATTGGCTTCGACTGAGGAGGAGGCATCATGTGGGCGAGAGAAGAGCCAGGCTCGATGATGCCAGCAGCTGCGGCGGCGGCGGCAGCGGCAGCATGCTGCTTGTTACCCCGTCGAGAGTTGGGGTTGTTGTGTATCCTCGAGTGACGAGTGAGTTCGTCTGATCGGCTGAAGCGCTTCGAGCACCCAGGGAAGGTGCATGCATGAGGCTTCTCGCCAGTGTGTGTGCGAATGTGTCGAGTCTGATGCTCGAGACGGTGGAAGGCCTTCTCGCACAGAGGGCACTTGTAAGGCCTGGGGAGGTCGTGACGTTGCTCCTCCTGGGCAGACTGGTTGTTCTGGAGTAATGGGGCCATGAGGCTCACGGCAGCAGTGGCCATGGATGGTTGAGAGTCAGATGTTGTTGTGGTGTTGTTGGCGGTGGTGGTGGTGGTGGTGGTAGCGGGGCCGGCGGCAGTAGTGGTGGGAGTTGAAGTTGGGGATGTTGAGGCGGGGGAAGGTTGGGGTTTATGTTGGTCTTTTGAATTGTCCGGGTTGAGGAGATTCCCAAAACCTAGTGAAGAGGAAGGGGATTGCATGTGATGAGCACCAGCGGCGGGTGGGGGAGGATGGGGTATTGTATATAGTTGTGTGGTTTGGTGGTGGAGGTGGTGGTGTGTGGTGGTGGGCGAAGTTAAGCAAAAGGTCGGGAGCAAGGGCGGGTGTGGGCGGTGGAAAATATTTAAGTAGCGGTACGGTTATAGGTTTTTTGGGGTGTGGAAGGTGGTAGGTGGTAGGCGTAGTAGTTGGGTAGGGTAGGTGGTAGGGTAGGGTAGGGTAGGGTAGGGTAGTGTGTGTGGTGGTAAGGGTAGTCGGTAGGGTGTGGGTGACTTGGGTGACTTGGGTGACTTGGAGGTGTGGGTGGGTGGGTTGGTTGCGCTCGCGCGCTGACGCAGGACAAAATGGGAAGCGTGGGGAACCACCAGGAAATCGTCAATGCGCCCGCCTGCGAGGATCAGCCGGAAAGGAGAGCCAAGCCCGACGAAGAGAATCGACTGTATGAGTAGAGTAGGTAGAGAGACACAGATCAAGTACAAGGTTGTTAAGGGTTGTCGTTAGTTACAACTGACAGAGTGAGTGTGAGTAATAGGTGTGGAGAGAAGTCGGCGCACTTCCGGCGAAAAAAAAAAAAAAGCAGCAAGCAAAGCAAGCAGCGTATGATATCGGTAATACTTACTAGTAGGTGGGTTTACAGCCACTGCCACTTACCACCCACAAATTCTCAACCCACATCCACTACTACTCTACTCCCCAGTTACGATACAATACGGGGCACGGGAAAAATAGGTAGGTATCCTTCATTGTATACGATCATTGTAGGCCACTTCGAGTCGTGATTGTTGTATCAGCCCAGGCCCTGGTCGCGCAATGCTTACTTGCTTCACTCTGTCTTGCTTTGTCTACAACTCTACTTTACTTATTACGCTTTACTTTGCTCTACGGAGTTCTTGCCTGCTTGTTTGATTGCTGCAAGTACTATCGCTGCTACATCCATCTACTGCACTCATCCATTCACTTGCCTACTGCCCACCTACCTTGTCCTATCCTGCTGTCTGTCCTGCAGCGCCTTGCGGATAGGTGCTGTATGTATGTATGGGTAAGGATACGGTTATGGGGGATGGATGCCGTGCATCTTGTATATTAAAGAAAAGGAACCAGACCGCCTGTTCAATGTCTGTGATGCTCCCACCGAAACATCGAAGCCTGAAGCAATATGTATGTACGTCTATATGTATGTATGTGCATGTACTCCGTATGTATGTACTGTATGGTACAGTATCGACACCGCAGGGCTGCGGGCCGTCCTACTCACTCGTCGGGGTTCCCCTGTCGTTCCCATGGAGACACAATGGAGTAGAGAGATCGTGGGTGAAAGGTAGTATCTTACATACATCCACAGTATCGTATCGTATCGTATCTCGACACACACCCAGTTTTGTTTTGCTGTGCTGTGCTGCGTAGGAGATGGGAAAAAAAGGTGGGTTAGTTTGTTTGGAGTATGACTTGATTCCTGCCAAGGGAGGCGACGACTGGGAAGGTCCGCCGGCTTTGTCCTGTCCCTACTTTGCCCTACTTGCCCTGTCTGTTACGTCGGCTTCAAAACCCTCGGATGGGCCGACGACACATCGGCCAGCTTGGAGGGAAGGAAAAAAAAACCCACTCGTGAAGAAAAAAAATGCTAATCCCCACAATTCCCTAGCTGGTGCGAAATGACAGCGGTGAGCCTCATCTTGACGCCCTGGGGGGAAAGGTGGGCTGGTGCTGGTGCTGGTGCTGGTGCTGAGTGCTGGCTCTGTTGGGAAATGCAGGGTGCCCTTTTCTTCATGTGTGGACTCTCTTCACTGGACTGGACTAACTGGGTGGGCACTTGTGTAGGCAGATAGGTTACGTAGTTAAGGTGAGTGATGAGTGGTGAGCACAACGCACTACAATGTCCGCACTAATATTACTGGATTGCGACCAGATTCTTGCGACACGTTGCGGGGGCTGTGGATGATGAAACCGTGCGAGAAGAGAGGCCTGTAGGAGGAAGCAAAAATGAGAACTAATAATAATACACAGTACTAGGTATTGTCATTGTTCTACAGGCAATGGCCTGGCGCCGCCTCTCACGTACTCGCCTCACAGCACGCACATAATCAGCCATGAATCCACGATGGCAGGTAACGACGATACAACGCTGCTGGCGGATGCATAGCTTTATCGGGAAAAAAGAAGAAATAATTCCATATCTTTCCTCCACAGTCCTACCATCCTACGAGTACCACTCCGTCCTTTCGTCCTAGCCTGATAGGACTTGGCCGTCGATAGGCTGGATCACAGACGTCCGGCCAGATATCAAGCCTGGGCGATGTCGAAACTGATAGGTACAATACACATTTGGCAAGACACGCCCACTAATCATCTCCCGTCTTCACGATGTTCCAAGTTCCAACACGGCACTGTTCAGTGACTCGATTCGTACACGTATTATTCGGGGCAATGAAAGGACGAGGGCGTCGAGTGACTGACAAGCGCCGTGCCCCCGGTGAATAGGACACACACGGCAAACAAACAAACCCCCTTACCCCATTGATTAGTTTCCAACTGTCAGACAGACCAAGGGGGCGAAGAGAGGCGTGGTAGCTGGAAAGTTGGGGTTGGGGTTACGGACTTGGGATCTAGGACTTTGGGGTTGGACAGTTCGGGGACTGTTGCCCTTGTTTGGGGGCTATGACGAGCTGGGGCAGGCAAAAGATAAGGCGTCATCCGGAGGGAAATGTCAGGGCTATGGTAAGACACGCAGGACTGGCGGACGCTTGATCTTCTCAGGTTTTTTTTTCTTTTTCGTTCAGGAGAGAGAGTCCATCACATCATATCAGATCACATCATAGCATGGCATGGCATTCAATAACAGCTGGAGGGCACCGATGGGCGCAACTCATATTCCGATCGTCATTCGCAGCCAAGCGGGGACGCGAGACAGTTACGTTGCCCGTCACACTCGACGCCCACGCATAGGCAGACGCTCTGCTTCGTGATTGCTTCAATAATGCCTGTCTCTTCCTTTCAGCAGAAACCACAAGGCATACCTACGACGCCTGGGCGACTGTGGGGACTCCAGCCTCAATCGATGTGCAAATGGGGAAATGATAAAGGCAAGGTGTAGATAATACACGTTAAGCGCCAAATGCGAAAGGAAAGGGAAAAAGGGAAAGGCCTCGATGCGAGCTATCAGTGGACAGCCGCCCATCGCAGAGATTGGCGCTTCCACTATGCGACGGCATGCCATGCCACTCAGGGCCCTTCAATGCCTTGAAGGCTACGGAGTATCTATCTAGTGCTATTGTATGAGTCTGACTGGTGATCATTTGGACATGGTACCTGGTACACCACACCTACACCACGAGTAGCTACACTCAAGCTGTTCCCTCACGCATCTGGGGTTGTGGAGTGGGCTTGGTAAGGAAGGGGAAGGATCATCGTCTCGTTAAGTTTCGACCCCCACGCATCAGCGCCTCAAGCCTCACCTTTCTCTCCCAGAGCAGAAGAGCAACAGCCACTGGCAGGCCCAGATCCAACCCGTGGCAGGGTGCGGCAATGCTATCTAGTGGAGACATGGGCCGGCTTTGCGAAAGGATGGATTCGGAGAGCAATTTCCACTCTCCTACGAGATTCCACGATACAACACGATACAATGCCATCCAACAGGCACGTGGGCACCGGCCGGTCCTCGAAGGTGAGTCGAGGCCCCGGGACCCTGACCATCTACTCCGGAGTATCTTTTTCAAGGGGAGCCGCCAAAAGCAATCATGATAACGAGACGAACAAGTGGAGTATACGCTGTACGAAGACGAGATTTGATCACGAATAATGCGTCTCAAACCAAATTTGACACATGCACACCAAGTCAGTCGGCCGAGAGGACCTACGAGTCTGCAGCGGAACGGGAAACATGGAGTATTGAACTTGCCGCCAGCGACGTGCACTTGTGGATGTGCTATTGCATGTGCATTATCACTGTCGATACAAAACAATACGCTCTCCAGAAACGAACGATACTCGTACCTTGAAGATACAAGCAGATGATAGCAGATACCACCACCAGATGGAGTAGATCTATGTCGGGCCGAGCATACCTGAACCCGGAATGTTCCACCCATTCATCCTTTTTCTCTCTTCCTCTCACTCTGCCACACTTATCTAACCTCTTCGTACCTACCGTAACCTATCTAGTCTTCTGACTCTTGACGCTTACTCGTCCCGCCACAGCTCTCCTCTTTTTTTTTCTTTCCCTTCCTTACTAACCTATCTCTCCCGTGATTCTGCTCACTTGTGCCGATACTTAGGCAGAAGTTTAAAGGACCTTTGGGTAATTAGTTCCTTCTTTTTCCTTTCCACCCCATTCTTCTAGTGTCCCGACTACTCCCCACATACCGACATACATACTCACCGCGCAAATCAGGCAATGGCTGGCGCTTCTGGGGTGACCTGAAAGATGCAAAACGGGACTCTCGGCTCGCACACCCGCTATGCACAGCGTGCGTGCAGCAGCAGCAGCAGCAGCATGCAGAGCATACTCGTCAGGATTGTTATGTTATAGCCAATGCCCTAAATAGTAGGGAACTACGAGATGCGTCGTCCATCACCACATAAAACTGATATAACACAGCATACACCACATATGACTGCATATACTTTTGTGAATTTGAGTTTCGTTATTGAACATACATACCATACCTCAATCTTTTACTTACCCCCGCAAGCAGCAACTACATTCCAAACGGCCATCCCGACGCCCCTCTACAGTGGTACCCGGAGATATGGCGATGTAGCATTTCATTGATTTAACACTTCATCTGTGCTTTTTTTCAGGGTTCGAGCATCGGACGGTCGGAGAAGTGGGCCAGCCAGAGTCAGAACTACGAGCACTACTCAATGACGATAATTTTCCAACGATTTCCGCATCACGTTTTTCCATGGGGAAATTGCAGAGCGTGGTAGTGAGCAATAGCGGTCCCGACAAAGACTATCGAAGCAGTAGTGCCACTGCCACAGAGATTTGGACGGAAGGGGAAGAAAATTTGACACTGAAGGGCTTTGCTAGTTCAGTAATTGGAGGCTCCGAGAGTTCTCGCGAGCACAGCACGCCATCACGGTACTGCACATGGGGTAAGGGGCGGAGCGGGCTCGGGAGGCCACGATCGTTTTTGCCTACTTGCACACAGTGCGCAAGTTGCTAGCGTATGTTGCAAATCTTTTGGCAGGATGGCCAAATCCGATGGATTCGATACATACGCAAAGAGGAAAAGGGAGGTAAAGAAAATAACAGCGTTGGACTAATCAGTTCTAGGTCAAGTTTATCATCTTTGCAACTGGCTCTATCTTGACTGGAATTGGCCTCGCTCGCACCTAACTCGGATTGCGCTCTCCACCGCATACCCTCGGCCATCGGATGCCCGACATTGTCCTTTTTTCTTGTTAGATTTTCCGTACCCATACCCCAGTTCAGTCATAAATCGAGGTTAGTTAGTTCCAGGTTCCTGAACTGTTACAGTCAATTGGCAACAAGAAGTGGCTACTGTGTACTTAAAATTTCTTAGTGTGTCCCTGGCGAGCGATAAGTGAAGCATCTGAGCATCCATTCCCTTCCCCAACACTATTCGCATTCGCCCACGTGGACTCGGGCATTTCCGGAACGATGTTTCTCAGTGATGAATAAGTACGACGAGACAGATTCACGTGCAAGAATCTCTACAATCTCCTTGCATAAGTCTTCTCCAATTCCTCCGCAAGAGCAAATCATCATCGTCATTCGGCCGAGTCCATTACTCCGCTCGTGCAAAAGCAGCATTGATCATGAAAGCTGAAGAGAAAAGAAAAGAGTTGGGAAGGTGGAACATGTGAATGGCGAACAGATCCGAAAATTTGCATTACGCCTACATGCCTACATACCTGCTCGTACCTACAACATACATCCAAGCACAACTATCTCCGATACCCACTTCTAACATTCCATTCTCCGTATCATTGCACTGTACAATATCCGTCCTGTCTTCAGTATCACGCCCATGTCCTTCTCGGACTACCTTTCCTAGCTAGTCGTCCCGGCTGGTCTGGGCTGAGAACTGCGACTATTGCATCTCTCGCTCGCACGCTCTTCCGATCTGGGGAAACTCGGCATTACACACTTCCTATTCGCGGCGTTTCAGTGAATCAATTCCTCTCCATCCGTCCTGTACCTTGCAGCTGCGCTGGCCCGAGCAGGTTTCGACCCCAAGCACTGGCGAGCACATTATCGCCCTCTCATATGATACTTGTGTCACCATCGATCTCTTAGCCCCATGCTCTATTGACACCACCAACATCTCAAATCCACAGGCGGGCCTCACAAATCACCCTCGGATCACAATCTTCTGATCATGCCTCTGATCGTGGGCATTCATTGGTATCACGGCCTCCGGAAGAAGAAGGTGACGCGTAAAAGCAACATCCCTCCCAAGCCCTAGCCTTGCCGTTCGCTGTTTGGGGCCCCGCAGCTCTTCCCCCAGAGCCAATGCCCGACACAGCCGCCCAGCATCCTAATTCCGCCGATGAATGACATCAAGAAACCACGCCAGAGAAGAAGACCCTTTTCCTGAGCCATAGAATACGTTTACACATCCTGGGCGCTCCTTTTCCGCCTTCCCTACTGTCCTAGTCTCCGCCGTAAGGAAACGCCCGTTATGTCATGGCCGGCGACTCAACAGCGAGATCCTGGAAATCGCTTTCATCACCATCCTCGAAACGTGGCACAAGTGCTTCACAGTCATATTCTTCGCAAGACAGGCACCTCCCATGAAGACATCCACGTAGCGTCGCGTCCGCTCCATGCTTCTATCCCACGATTGACAAATGGCAAGGCGAACTAGCTAATCTCTTGCTGGTCACACATCACTGCTATGAAAATCGTCTTGCATTAGCGGGTTTGACTGCAAGCGATTACAAGTATTGCATATCCAGTCTTTATCTCTTCGTGTACTACTGATCCTGCAACTATTCGCTGATCCTCATTTTTCCAGTCATTATCATCTGTGTGCCCGATATCTTTCTCTGACCTCACCGCTCATGGACTTCCTCAATCGACTGACCAGACCAAGAATGAATACTCTTGCATGAATACCTGCTATGTACCGCCACAGGCGCCGCAAACCATGGAGCATGCTTGCAGAGGCTCCTCGTCGGGCTCAGGCCGAGTCTACACACGCATCGTCATCACGTAATTAGTAGCGTCCCGCTTTGCTCTCCCCAGATATCTATAGATCGGTACAATCGTAATCAATCCACGTATATGTACCGTATTGTAGGAAAGAAAATTTTCTCGATCGCATTCGTAATATAAATAAAAAAAATCTCGGCGATTGTCCCGATCAACACACACAAACTCTCTCTCTCTCTCGCTATCCTCGCGTGACCTCAAAATGAATATGTAGTCCCTTGTGTGTGCATCAGTACTTGCATTCAACATTCGGCCACTAAGAAACATTCACTTTCTCCACACTATCTATCTACTACAAGCAACATCTAGCAAAGAAGAAGATTCGCAATCGTACCAAAACAAAATCCGCCGCGTCACGCCACGCCTTCCCACCCAATATCTCACGTCCCCTCCCCAGATTTTCCACTCTCCGTATAGCGTCGTCGATCGCGTCGTCGATCTCTTTCCGCTACGAGAACGGACAGTGGGCAATTAACACTTGTACATTACATTACCCCATGATAGGCACAGCACATCTTCATAAAGTTTATATAGATACATAGTACTGAGTACATCGAATGATACAACTTATCCTCGAAACTATGCACGGGAATCTGGGGCAGGTGTAACGATCGCCTCACATTCTCCATACGGAAGAACCGCCTTATCGAGGGGAGGGGTGAACCTCATGCTCATCTCACTTTCCCACTTTCCCCCCTTCCCCATAGTTAGGAGGGACGATCACGTATCGTTAGCTGCAGATAGTTCAAGTCGATTGAACACCATTCGATCTTCTTTGCACGAGTCACTATCGTGGCAGGAGATTGATTGATTGCTCTCCGCGCTAGTTGCTTCCTTCTTTCGATTTATTGATTGTTTCATTATATGCCAAGGCTTGAGGATTTAACTCGTTATCGGGGTGTTGCTCAGTTCGTGATGGTTTGTGGTGGAGCGGTGGTAGGTACTTTCCTATTTCATGCTCTTTCAATATAACAACCCCTTTAAGGGAGTATCAAAGATGAAGTGTCTAACTTGCGATGATCTGGAGTTGTAGCCCGCTCTTCCACTATCTTTCAACTTGGAAGAATCTCATTGTGGAAAAAATAGCGACAGATATGCATATCTCCAACCGCACTTCGATGCTGGTAGCCTGATGAGGTAAGAAAGAGGAAAGATCTACTGACAACCTCATAATCCAACTCGTGTGTGTCAATCTACATGCTACGCTGGCCAGTAGGTGATGTCATATCTCCAAACCCGATCTAACTATTCCACGGCGTCGTAAGCATCATAATCGAGATATGTCCTTCATCGACGATTCCGCACGATCGATATATTCATTCGATCGCAACCAACAAATGGAAGGCGAGGCCGTATCATTGAAAAGATAGATATCGTGATTCATTGAAAGTATAACTCAAATGCGGGGGTATTTATCGTACTCGTCCGTTTTCTTTCCGACGATCGCTCCAGCCGACCGCTAACCTTTGATACATGATAGAATACAGTCTTTGTTTTCATTTTTGCTTCCCACGATTCCTTCGTCCCTATGCACATGCTGGCTCGAGGAAGTAAAGCGTCGCTGCAGGTAAGTTAGTCCCAGTCAGATAGACAAGGCAAAAGCCGACTCCCCACACGGAGGACGACCACTATGGGGACGACGTACAGAGATTATCGGCGATTCCGCATGTCTCGGAGACACATGAGGTGACGCCATCGAAGAAAGGACCGCATAGGCAGTCGTCGTCGACGTTGGGATCGCAGCCGGCTTCTGCGGCGGCTTCGTTCCAGCAGTCGCGCTGTTATGACCAGGTTAGCCCATTTGCTCAACGTTATGCGGCCGCATGATTGGAAGCAATTCATTCGTACCGGACATGGACCAATGTTCGCGACATCTTCTCCCTGCGGCGTGGGTGCAGCAAGCGCAATGGCGCCGAAAGCGACCGAAAGAATCCCGTACAAACGCATATTCGCTATGGGTTCTGGTGACTTCGAGGTTTTGGAGAGTTCGAGATCCTGGAGGATTCTTTTTTATATAAACGAATGGCAGTTATTGACGGAGCAAAACGTGGACTCTCGTTCGTGATTATCAGAGTTCCTCACGGTCATTCGCAGTATATTATTTGAACCTGACAGCCATCCTCTTATTATACTGCCAGAAAAGGGTTTCGTGGTTGTTGTATCAGCCATATTAACTCTTGAGCCACACGTTATGCACTACTGTTTCGAGCTTCCGCACCAAGACGTTACAGGCCCGCTTCCCGCTATCCTATGTGCCTGGCTAATTCCGCGCGGATGCCCATACTCTTTCCCGTCTTCATGAAGAATGACAGAAAAAGACTGTAATTGGCCCTGCGCGCCGGAGGTGCAAAAGGTTATCTGCTGAGCCACGCGCAAGACGATGGGGTGAATATGGAAAGTCATGTGATGACATGATTCGATGCGAATCGCTAAACACCGGATTGGCGACGACATCCTGGCTGTTGTCACCATTCTTGAGTCGTTCCATTGTGGTGATACAGTATCCTTGCGGCTATCGAACAGCCAGCCTATTGAGATTGCGCGTCTGTTTTCGAGCGACGAGAGCTTTTGTTTGCATGCTTTCGAAGGGGTATTCATCATCTAGACAATCTTCCTTCTGGTATGTCTATACAATGCATCGATGCAAACAACAGGATCGAAATGTTGGTTCTTTTTCTGGTAGCCATTGAAACAGACATGATGCGATTCACCCATCTTGGCCGTGTTTCTCAAAAGCCGACCAAGCCTGACTGTAACTTCGACCATGGTCATTCCCATCCAAGACGTCGAACTCGGAGCAGGTTTCGAGGAGATTCGAGGGTGCGCAACGTCTCATGGTCACAACTCAGTGGCCACACCCGCTATGCTTCGTGGTGGACCTTTCTAGCTTGACATGCGGTGCTGTAATTTCCTTGACGTTTCCCATGCTTACAAGAATAGATAAGGTATCTCGGATTCCCATCGCTACAATTCAAGACTCTTGGCTGGAGTTTGTGCTAGGCGGAAACCATTTGATGTCGAGAACATGACGAATGAGGAAACAACTTTGCATGATGTCCATGTTTGCGCGGTATGCAAATATCAATACTTCATGGATCCTGCACTCCAGAAGGCAGCACGATCCCTGCTCGCGACATAGACACCCATAGAAGACAGAGTCTGCTAGCATTTGTCCCATTTACGCTCGTTTCGTTTTCTTTTGGAGACGATGTATCATGATGTAGATACTGCTGGCTCTTGGGAGGGGATCATATCAGGCGTTCCGTTTTGGGTATATCTCACCAAGACGCTTTTCGGGCGTAACAACAACATAATTTGTCAGCACTAGACAAACACGAAGACGACATCTCACGACATCGCCATGTAAACATCATTCAAATCATCTCTGTGTGGTTTTTACCCCTCTTACCGTCGCGATGCCACGAAGAAAGAGCCCGAGTGAGGACGACTGGCACGGGATCCACGATTCCAAAAAGCGCAAGCAGATACAAGACCGACTAGCGCAGCGAGCACGCCGTGAGTTTTCTTTCCTACCTCCTCCCAAGACTGAGAAGTCTGGTACTATTCCGTACCGATATGCATGTCCGACGTGAATGTTTCAAAGAGTTCCGCGTTGGCGATTTTGCATGAATAGCTGGAGTCGCTTCGTCTGCCGCTCTTCCGTATCACAACGCCGGTACGGTAAACATCAAAGAGAGCAATACGAGTACGACGAGGATGCGAACCGGCTAGACTTTCTGGAACAATAATTCTTCGCTTGGATCTCGAAGAATCGTGAAATCTGATGGTTACGTGCAGGGAAACGTCTCCGTGAGGCAGAAAACAATGCGAAACAATGTCTCCACGAGCCTGAAACGGCTGCATCGAGCGATGATGTTGCAAGCTCGCGCGTCGAGTCTCAAGTCGTCCCGTACTCAGGAACGTCGTCGGTATCTCACACGACATGTCCCTCTCTCGAAGCATTTTCGTTGGCCTTGTCGGCCGAGGAGTGTGGTGAGGTTGTCTATCCGGAGTTTGTTGAGCGTCGATTCCCGTCGAGTGATGCGGGTTTGGCATCATGCTCGGTCGCAACTGCCCTCGAGTTACCACTGGCAGTCAGTCCATCTTCGCAGCCGCACTATCCAATTACGGTATTTGGAGCGCTGTACATTAATGGTCAGATTCTTGGTTTAGACTGTGCGAAGAGCGAGGCTGGCAAATCGCCTCCTGTATGCGATAGGTATGCCATCATTTCCTTACCATGAAAAAGACATTGCAACTCTCCAGATCGACTAAATGAATCATAAGTGTGCCTGTTCCACTACATCCTACGGAAACGCAACGTCTAACCGTCCATTATCGCTGGGTCGACCGTGTCCCATTCCCAAAGTTCAGAGACAACTTCATCCATCTGAGTGCCGTGATTGACGATGAAGAATTCCTGCACGATGTGTTCACAATGCCTACCTTCCAGCTTCGACACGGAACCGCGCCTTGGGATCCCAGAGGCTGGATTATCGAAAAACCGTTCGCGGAGAAGTGGGGATATCTCTTTTATTGACGACTTAACGACCAAGAAGGAGCAGACTATCGCCACATCGACATGAAATATATACATTCCCCTAACACAGCAGTGCCCTGGAGAGGAATGATACAACTAAGGAACCACGAGTCACTTTACTTAACTGGAATACAAAGACCCTACTGCCCGCCCTTCTCCGCCAACCCAACGATCCAGGAAACCGTCTCATCCAAGTGCGAAACCGAAGGGCAGTGATCAGAATTCAACCTCGTCACATCGACCTTCTGCCCGGAGCTCTTTTCGATCCTGTCAATGCCAGCCTGTTGGTGGCTCGGCAGCACACACTTGTCGTCCTCGCAGAATAGATAACTCACGGGGACGTCGTTGTACCCCGGGTGCGTGAGCTCGTTGGCGAAGCTGACTGCGGAGTGTTGCGCAAATTTCTTGACCCAAATGACTTGATCGTCGAGGGGCAAATGGCCAAAGACGAGGGGAGCGGTTTCCTCGGGATTCACTTGGTACATCCAGCCATCCTAGTCGGAAAATGTCAGTCTTCGCGATGAACGGGGCGGCGCAAATGAAACATGAGATTCGCAAGATAAAGAAGCCACAAAGCAGGAGGGGAATAAACGATAATAAAACGGAAAACAAACCTCATCCACCCCAAGCGGTCCTGTTGCCGCACCTTCCAACGCCCCCTGTGCACTCATCCCGACATCAACCGCCAAAGCCGTCATGTACGCCAGACGTACAATCCCACCCTTCTTCCCCTCGGCCTCCCTCTCCTTCTTCGTTAGTCCTTTCGTGCTCTGCGTTGTTGGGATACCACCGTACGAATGGCAGATCAGAACTACGTCTTTGCCCTCATCGACTAGCTTCGAGACGACGGATGCGATGTGGGATGCATCGTCGTAGATGGTGGGTGGTGGACCGGGCTTCTTGCCGACGGTGACGAGGTCTACGACTGTGAGGGATAGACCGTGGGATTCGACGGGCTTGTGGAGGTTGTCGTAGAGGGGTGCTGGGGCGAATGAGCCCGGTACGAAGACAATTGCTGGTTTAGAAGACATCGTTTCGGTAGTTGATAGTGTTATTAGAATCAATCCCCCGCAAGTATGTATTCTTTGGAGTGAAAACAATGACAATGTAGATTCGACTCGAGTGGTTGCTATTGTACATTTTTCCAAATTGCTGTCCCGGGCCTACTATTTAAACACTTCCCGCCCCGTTCTCAGCCTCAAAGTCTCGCGCTCTTGTGGAGACATTACTGGGTTCAACGTCGTCGATATTCGCCATTTCTGACATGGTCAAGTCAGATGCGGGGTGCGCTTGAGGTTAGCTATCTGACAACATGCGCGGAGTGGATGTCAGAATATGTGGGGTTGGACCTAAGTACCGCGGCATATCTAGCTAGTTACGTTGTAGCTCTTCCGCCCTTTTGAATGGTTGCTTTGTTTTCACAGCTTCTCGGGTACTTATATCCTCGTCCATATTGAATCTAATCCGTTTGAGGGGATTAAACCACAATTTTGGAAAGTAATTAGCATGTATGTATGATGCTTGACATTGTAATTATCGCACTTGGATCCGCTCCCTGGTGGTTCATGGTCAGCCTGAGCACAGTAATGCACTTTACAAAGCAATTTATACAAGTGCAAAATACCGAACTCATACGAATGGCATGGTGTTGTTCAAAATCCTTTCTTATCAAATGTCCCCACTCGTCTCTGCTTGATTCACCTCAGCTCATCATCATGCCGCTACCATTACGAGGTAATTCTCACCGAGACACAACCACACTCCAAACAAATGACCGAGTCGAGGTTTTTCGTGTATTTGTTACACCTAATTTAAGCATGAGGGCGAGAAGTTGTCTCGATTGCTGTTAGAAAACGGCTACCACGAAGAGTCAAAGTACGCCAGTATGAGAAGATATCTATGGCCGCCAGCTCGAGGACCGTTATTTTCATCAAGACAGTAGTCTCTACTGGTCCTTTCTGTTTTTGCAAAAGCATTGAACAGTAACAAGTCTGACCTAATTTTTTTCCTACGGAACAGCCACGAGGTAGATATATCGCCAGATACACCAGGCCAAATCTTTGACCAAGAAGATGTTATATTGAACGTACTCACTACTCTGTTATCCGGCCGGTCCAAGCACGCAAATCCAGATTACGAAAGCACTCTCGTACTTGTCCTATCACATGGCATTGCAATACCATTGTATATTGTTCATACACTCGATAGGTAGTATCCCTTTTCTTCACAATGCACAAAGGAATCCTCCAGTATATTATTTCCTCCTCCATGGCGAATTGTTTCTTCAGGAAAAGTTTCACCCTTCATGTTACATCCTTGTTGCCACCATGCAACCCATTCACCACTGCTCTCAGGACCTAATCAAGTCTCTGAGGCCAATCTCATTGCCCAACATCGAGACCCACGATTGTGGCATTTGCTTAGAAACCTACCAAATGACTTCCCACAATCCCGACAACGACGAAGACGTTCCTACTGAGCATCCAGTGCAGCTCCCATGCTCCCACATAGTCGGTTCCGTGTGTATTTCCCGCTGGCTGGAATCCCACAACACTTGTCCGTTCTGCAGAGCAAAGCTATACGAGCTTAAATCCCCACCCACGTCTCCAGACTCCGTATTTCAAGAAGCAGCAGCAGCAGACTTTTTCAGATCGGATAACATACGCATGGGCGAGGTGGAGCTTTCCGGTGATTTCCTACAGATATTAGATGATTACGATGTCGATGATATGGACAGCGAAAGCTCCACCATATTGCACGTCGAGGACGTCTATGGTGGCGGTTCGATAAGCCCAGAGCCTACAACGACATTGTACATACAAACCTCGACCTACTACCAACCTTCGAGCCAACCACAACAACAACTCAACTTCTCATATGGCAGCTACCACAGGGGCTGCGGGAATACCTCGCCAACGGTAGAGATATCAAAATGCCAAGCCTCCCTCGAGTTGGAAGAAGCAGTGTCGTGCGCGGCAAAGCAAATGGACGATCTGATCGACATGCATGAAGAGTGGATGGACGAATATAACAACAACGAAAGACCTGGCATGTGCGATGCTGGGTCTTATGACGACGACGAGTGGATGGAAGACTACAAGCACGAGTTTGGCCATGTTGATGCTGGGCATTGGTTGCTTTGCTGAGCGGGATTTCTGAACTAGTCATGGTGTCTGGTTTTAGGAACGTGTGCTCTGATTGTTTTGGGTAGATCAAGATCTACCTACGGCGTTGGTGTTGTTGCGGCTGCTGTTAGTTTTATTGATATTGAAGAATTGATATTTTGTACTCACTTACAGTTGCTACTTACGTCACCAAGATCATTTTCTTTCCTGAAGAAACTCACCATAATACGAACACATGAACAATGTGCCTGAACTACAATAAATACACAATGTTAGCCTGACTTTACTTGCAAAGGTCTTCCCTGGAGTCTTTTGTGACCCTGTGTTTACCCTTACACACCATCATGCTTGAAACTAAACAATACAATCCAAGCCATAACACGCTGACCTATCCTTTACCTACCTTCCCCTTAATATATAAGATAAACAGGTCTATTGTTACGTTAAAGTAGCTACTTTTAGCCTGTCTAGCCTCTAATCCCCTACTTTGCTCTCTACTAGAGGCATGCACCCATTTCTATACTGCCTGTATTAACTATAATATCTAGGACGAATATATAGGACTAGTTATCTAGATATTCCTACCTACTGTTACTAACTTTACCTTCACGTTCACCTTTATGTTCACCTTCACGTTCATCTTCACCATCTTCACCATCTTCACCGTTTTGTTCACGTTTTACTACCACCAGTATCACTACTATGCTTATCTCTGTGTAAAAGAGGCGCCGCAATATCAATAGCGCCGCGATATTAATGCCGTAGGCCTGGAGTCTGGGTTTAAAGACAAGACCGTAGAGAATGAAAGAGCGGGAGAGCAGACGAGGAGAGGACATGATAGGTTCAATTTTGTGAGCGTGATGTACGTTCAGTAGGTTTCAGAGTACTGTTACTACTACCATGACGTAGGGTTTAGTATTAGGAGTGGATGGTGGGATGGATGTGTTTGAATCTGGTGATTGAGGAGGGTTGGAACGGAAGCAATAATCGATGATGTGAGGAAATGATAGATACGAATAGATTCACAATAGTATATCAGCGCGCTTTCAAAAATACATTAAATAAGAAAAAAAAGACTTTCACACCAAAAGCCGACCAGTATCATCATGATGCAACATGGAAGCGGGAGTTATGTGACATGCCTCGAACGCCAACACCTTGACAGGACCACCACCTCGGAAGAAGCTTTAGATCTTTCCCTCAAGTCCGATCTAGCTCCTTCCGTAAGCATGGTCGACCTCCTTCTTCCAGTGCTCCAATATTCCCTTACGGTTGATCTTTTGTGCAGCTGTGGTCAAACCCTGCATCAAAGTTAGCATAAAACACGATTTCGGGGGTTACGATGGGTAAAACTAACGTTCTGGGGTGTCCATTCCTCATCGGCCAAGACAACACCTTCAATAATCTCGAAAGATGCAAGACCACCCCGCTGGCCAGCGGTCTGGAGCTGCTTCAAGATGATGGAGTTGATCTTGCTATTGTGGACCAGTTCCTCCAAGTGATCTCCCTCAATACCGTTCTCTGAGGCAATCTTCTTAAGAGCAGGCTCAGCGGGGTAGATGATAGCGATAGGCTTAGATTTGTCCGAGGCTGCGTAGACGCAAATGTTTGCTACGACGGGGGCGGACCGGTAGACGGACTCCAGCTTCTCCAGCGCAATGTACTCGCCAGTGAGTGTCTTAACCAAGTTCTTCTTACGGTCAATGATCTTGATCTGACCCTTGTGGTCAAACTCTCCGATATCACCAGTCTTGAACCAGCCGTCTTCGGTGAAGGATTCCTTAGTCTCTTGTTCGAGGTCTAGATAGCCAGCGGTGATACCACCTCCGCGGATCCAGATCTCACCTTGTGGGGGCTTGTTTGTCGAGAAATAACCGGCATCGGCGAAATCAACGAGCTTAGTCTCAATGCAAGCGGGTAACTCTCCGAGAGCACTGTCGGTCCAGGAAAGGGGATCCATAAGGGCGCCCATGGCAGTAGTCTCGGTCAAACCATAACCACTGATCATGGGCGTGATTGCGAGAGAGATGAAACGCTGCGTCTCCTTCGCGATCGGTCCACCTCCATTGAGACAGATTCGCAACCTGCCTCCGGTGGCATCCTTGACTTTGTTGAATACAACAGAGTCGAGGACGCCGCTTCCTGGTAGTCCGGAGCTGAGAAGGAAGCCTTTAGCAGCAAGGGCACCCCAGAACAGGTTCTTGGTGATTGCGCCGCCGGCCTCAACCTTTCCGACAATACCTTTCTTGACCGTCTCCCAAACCTGGGGAACTCCGACGAGAACCGATGGCTTTAGCTCTCGGATATCTCCCTTACATTTACGGACGGAGGTATCGGAGAGCGTCCTGATGGTTCCATATCCCATGGTGCCTCCCCAGAAGAGGCAGGCGTTTTCGAAGACGAACTCGAGAATGTGCGCAAGCGGAAGATAGGCGAGAAGCGAATCGCCAGGACCCAAGTATGGGCCTACGATGACGTTGACACCGGCAACTGAGGAAAATGAGCATTGTATTCTTGCAATGGCATGGACAGGAGATCTTACTGGATGCGACAACATTCCTGTGCTTGATGAGTACACCCTTCGGTGTACCGGTGGAGCCGGATGTGTACATGATGCATGCTAGGTCTTCTGGCTTGGGGGGAACAGGCTCGGCTGGGTTCTCCTTGCCTAGCTTGAGCAAATCATCGAAGCTGAGCACTTTGATGTGAGGATGGGCCTGAGTGAAGGTATCGATGTCCTTTTGCTTTGGCTCGTCCTTGGTGCTGTAGATGACGACCTTGACATCTTTGGCGTCTTTGTAGGGATTGACGAGCTTGGGAAGGAGGACAGGGTCGAGGAACATGAACTTGGCCTTGGTCTGCAACATTGAGTGCTTGAGGCCCTCTTCTCCGAGAGTGTCGTATGCGGTGACAATGGCGCCAGATTGTGAGAAAGATGCTGCGCGCGCAAGTTAGTGGAGTCGCATCTTGGAAAATGAGCGCAAACGCCTTACCGTGTGCCATGGCGAGCCATTGGGAGCTGGTGCCAGCGAAGAGATGAAGCCTGTCTTGGTGCTCGAGGCCGAGGCTCTTCAGACCGGCGCCCAAGGCGAGTGCCTCTTGCTCGAACTCGACGAAGCTCTTGTATTTGTAGGAACTGAGCTCGAAGTAGGTCCATTTCTTGTCTACCTCTTGCTGTTGGCCGTCGACCATCTTCTTGATCTTCTTGGTTTCCTCATGAGTGTTGAGGATCTTGCGCGAACCGACCGCCTTAGCATTGCCGTACTTTGAGGAAGCGTAGCGCAGGACGTCATAGAGGGTCTCGACGCCCTCAGCAGGAGTGAGGACCAGACCGTCCTTTGCCTTGACATTTCGACGAGGAATGGTTTCGCCATCCTTCTTCTCTACGCCGGGAACCTCGACAGTGACGTTGCCTGATTTGTAGGAGCGGGCTTGGGGAACGAGCTTTTTGTAGTCTGTCGGCATGATGACGGAAGAAGAGTGGGGAAGGAGATGGGAGCTCAGAAGAAGGGAGATGGGAATTGCGGATATAAGTGTGAGGTAGAGTAGGAGCCGGTTAGGGTAAGCCGCCAGCGGAATCGTATGCGAGGAGAGAGAAGGGAGGAGTGAGGGAGGAAGGAGGCAGAGATGATGAGGAGGCGGAAGAGGCAGAAGTATGCGAAAGGTAGTTGTGTTATTGTATTGACGGGGACGGCAGAGGAGGGCAGTCGCGAATGTTGGGGCTGCTGCTGCGGGAAGCTTGGACGGCTTGGCAAGGATGGGCAGCTGTTTTGGGGAACAAGATGAGGAGAAGGAGGAGAACCAGCAAAGGTAGGTACCTATTGATACAGATAATAATTACCTTACTTGCCTGGTAAAGAAAAGAAACGAAGATACTCCGTATAGACGGATGATATGATGGCGGCCATAATGACGTGGACTACCCTGTGGCTGTACATACTGCATTTCCAGTTTCTTCAAATCATAACTAGGTAGTTACCTAGTTACCAGCTTACTATACGTGCAGAGAGAGACAGTACTGTGAAGACTTTCCCTACATAAGGTTCAGCTGAAATGAATCCAATAGATCTAGCTTTTGTTGAGTCCTTTCTGCCGGATGTCTGTCTTAAAATGTTATGCTCGCCTACTCATGCGCACACAAGTTGCTGTATACTGTTGTGTGTACATTCTTATTGAGGATGAAATAATAGGTTAACTCTTTTAGGGACTCGTAACTGCAAGGTATACACGCGATACGATCTATATTTTTTGATTCCAAGAAAATAACAGAGATGACATCTGATCTACAGACCTTGTCCAGCGTCCTGTAGGTTCTAGCCAGACACTCAATACGGTTTAGGTTCAGTAATTGCGACTGGGCTAGTTCGTAGCCATTATTCCACACACTCACACACACTCTCGTCTCTGTCTCTCTTTCTGTTTCACATCCATTATTCACACGCTCTGTCATTATTGTTGTGATTACTACTGGTCTACAAACTAGCATCACTGCCGCGCCGCACGCATCCGATCTCGTAGATCTACACAGCAGTACGGAGAAAACCTTACATACAACATAACTAACTACGTCTACGTATTTCTTTTTATGGTCCGAAACGTACCACAGCGTTGCCCAAGCTCCCGAAATTCTTCTCTGCTTCGGTCACCGGCATCGCCTCCACGATTGCTTTCCATTTCCAGCCGTCGTTCTTGCCGCTTCCAGCCTCTCATCCTGCTCCTTCCCCTCCCCACAAGGCTCCTTCCAAGAACCTCCAAGACCTTTGTCGCATTTCCACCAACCCTTCACGGCAATATACGTTGTGTCTCAACTCCCCTTCTCCTTCTGCTTCTCCGGCCTCTGGGTTGGTCAGATACCCAGGTAGTCGTATCATTGTTTACACCAGACATCAGACACAGACACCAATACCAACCTTAATTAGTCATTAAGATCCGGAGATAAATCATATCAAGTCAAGTCGAATCAGATCAAATCGACTTCAAACTCATCTCATCATATCGAACCAAGTTAACAACAAGAGATCAACCATCTAACCATGTCTTCCCATCCCCACAGTTCGCTTGGGCTGGAGATGCTGCAGACTATCCTTGGAGACCCTGTCACTGACCCCGAGGAAGGTAAGTTGGTTCGAATAGGCACGCATGGCTCACTATTAGCCTGCATTCACATTCACCATTTACTATTTCTTTCAAATGTCCCTCGGCTGCCCGTACCATTTCATCAATGCGATTCGTAGATGCATCATTCCTTGTCTAACTGCTGACCAAAGAACCACAGAATCTTTTCTCATCTTCTCGCAAGCCATACCATCTCAGTCTCTAGGCTTCGTCGACTCCAAGGCTCCCACCATCCAAGTCTCAGTCGCTGGTCGCGACTTGGAAATACGCCAATCACGAGGTCTGCTGACCTCGGACAGAAGTGGAGGGACCACCGGGGCTGGTAGGAGGGGGATTCTGCTTGGCTCTCTTAGGCTCGCTAACCATGACCATAGTCGTCTGGAAAGTAACGCCGCTCTTTGCGGAGTGGATTGCTTCCCCCAACTTCCTGTTCGACGCCGGCTACCTGGACTCAGCCTCTACTGCCCTTGAACTTGGCGCTGGCGTCTCGGGCATCGTCGCGCTGACACTGTCCTCCAAGATCAAACGATACATTGCCACGGATCAGGATTATGTGATCAAGATCCTGAAGCAAAACATACTGGATAATCTACCGGTCGCACCCTCGGATTCAAAGGGCTCCCAGAAGAGGGCAAGGCCCAGGACCAAGACCCCCCAGGCCAAACAACAGACTTCATCACCAAGAGTCGATACGCTCGAGTTGGACTGGGAAATGGACTCTATGTCATCGTTGCCACACCTCCTGGGCGAGCAAGACAATCGCCTGGACTTGGTCATTGCCTGCGATTGCATCTACAACGAGGCCTTGATTGAACCGTTCAATAGTACCTGCGCACAGCTTTGTCGACTTGGATCCGATATGAACCCGGACAAACCCACTCTCTGTGTGGTTGCTCAACAGCTGAGGTCGCCTGACGTGTTCGAATCGTGGGCCACGAATTTTCATTCATTATTCCACGTGTGGCGTGTCCCAGACAAGTTGCTGACGCCGCCACTGAGGGAGGACACGGGTTTCGTTGTTCACATAGGTCTTTTGCGCTGACATTCTGCTACCCGGAAGTCCTGTGATACTTTACGCCAGACATTGTCGGGCGACTTGCAGTATCAGGAACCCAGTTCACGATCTGATAGGGAATATGCAACAAGGGATCCATTGTTTCGGACGCATGCCCTATTATGACAAGACTATCTACAGATTCCATAATCCTCACTACTCACGAAGGGAAGAAGTCGAGGGGATAGCCGAGCACGTCACATTGCTCAAGCTCTCGAAAGCCTTCATTTCTGACATCCTTGTCAAGGATCCTAAGCGTCGATGCTCCGGGCTGAACGGGCAACCAGGGATCCGTCCGCTCTATGGCAGATGAGGTATTCAAGAACCCTCGTGCACGCAAAAAGCCCATATTCGGATTTGGATCCCCCCCTCTTGCAAATGCTGTCCATGTATCGACAATGTATTGTGAAAAGGGAATGTCGTCTTCATCTCGGGGAACCCGATTCTGGCGAATAAGCGTCCCGAAGACGTAATAGAGCTCACCGCTATGGCATTTGAAATACGGTTGACGGACATCACCAAAAGGCCTCGATGCGGAGACAGGCGCCTCACAAGTTGGAGGATTTGGGCTCCATTCTGCGATCTGGTACGCTCGGTCGAATTCGTATGCATACGTACCCTGGAAGATCTGGTTCCCGGCTCCAACAGAGGCTGTTGATTGCCCCAAGCACCGAAACATAGCGTCCGTTGCAACCCGTGAAGTCAGATTGAAGATATTTATCGTGGTGTTGCCAGCTTGCACCAACGGGAACTTGCCCGACCTCAAAATACTCGATGCATCAAAGCCTTGCTCTGTAAGTGCTTGAGATGCGTTGGAGCTCGTGGAGAATTTGGAGAATGGTGCACCATCATCCCTCATCACTCCTGTCATCAGCGCGACTTTCTTCCTCGCAGCTGTATCGCCCAAGGGTAACTCCTTCTCCGGCAAATATGACCCGTCTATCACAGGATACCTGGAACAATTTAGACTGAGCTAGATTCACTGACACGATGAGGGCTTACCGTGCTACAGTCCCAGACCAACTGCCATTACGCAATCCTACCAACTTCAATGGATCCTGCTCCCGTAGACAAGCGAGCTGTGCGGTGTTGTCGGCTTGGCTACACCCAATCTCCGTCAAAATGGCTCTTGTTCTATCCGTGGCCTCTTGCAGAGTCAAGTATCGTGTAAAGCTAGATGCATACTGCGCTCCCCCAGGATTGCTCTGCATGATTGCCCTGGAAAACTTACCATCCGCCTGTGGTGATGCGAGTAGTGCTCGAACGGATGCTGCCCCTGCACTTTGTCCAAAGACAGTTATCCTATCTTTGTCACCACCAAAATCTTCAATGTGGGCGCGAAGCCAATCGAGGGCCGTATTCTGGTCAGCAAGTCCGTAATTTCCCGTCAGACCTGTGCCATCCAAAGCGAGGAAGCCAAGGGTTGAGAGGCGATAATTGATTGTTACGACAACAACGTCGCCCCTGGATGCCATATTACCGCCGTCAAAAGTTGTGTCAGTCCCTGATCCTCCCGTGAAACCGCCGCCATGTATCCAAACCATCACTGCCTTTCTTTTCGTACCTTTGCTGCTAGGTAAGTACGGAGTCCAGATGTTCAAGTTCAGACAATCTTCACTGCAGAACAAATTGCCATTGCACCCAGCCTGGACACAGGACGGACCATAGGACAGTGCCGAAATATTTCCACTCAGAGGCGAGTACCTGGAATGCGTAAATCTTTCTGGTTGTGGGGCGTATCTGATGCCCTGGAAGCGGAACGAAAGTCTATCACGATATCCTACAACACTACCATTCCTTGACCTCACAACTATCTGCCATTTGGGATCTGTATCGGCTCCCGATTTTGTACTCAATGTAGCAGACTGGGAGCACAAGGCGGGTAGACGCGCATCACAGTTGACCTTCTGGACTTGACCCTCTGCGTCAATTGCCTCGCATCGTACAGGGCTGTCCACCCAGAATATCTCAGACCGGTTCGCGCGGCCGCCTTGGGCAAGGTAACGTAGGAAGGATAGATCGGAAGATGGACCTGGTAGTGCCCAAAGGGTCTCTCCCAGCTCCGCGCAGCTGGACCGCGATTGTTTGTACGTTTGTTCTTTTCCTAGGACGATTGCCGCGGCTTGTCGAGTGCTCGAATCACCATAGAGGTCGTTGTGGGTAATTATTGCCAAATCCGACCCAATAGATTGAGGCCCAGGAAGACTCGTTGCACTTCGGACGAAAGAAATGAATGCGAGACTGACAATACGAGTGGAAAATGCCATGCTGGAATGCATGTGCGGAGAGTAGACGTCAAAAAAAGAGGCTGCAACATTGTGGGTAGGCAATCGCACCATATACACTACCTTTACGAGCAGGGGCGGTAGAACTATTATTCGCTACTCCGGGGGAAATGATATTGATCGGACAGCAGGTTAATATGCTGGAGTTTCGATTGCAGGAAGAATTACAGAGTGTGAGGAGCTAACGGAGGATTGGGACGCAGACCCGACGCATGTTTGATGGTTCGGTACCTGCGGACGACAGGGCTACTCCAACGATTGTAGATGAGAGATGGCATTTTCACAATTTGCGAGATCGCGAGGCATGGAGCGCACAACACGATTGAATGAGCTGGTTTGAGGAAGATATTGAAACTTCATCGGGCCATGCACCAAACGGGGTCGGAGGTGGAGAGACTGACTGCTCGGGACACACTGCGACACGACCGTTGCGATCTGAGGGGTAGATCGACATGGTTGGCGAACCCGAGGGCGCGACGATCATGTTCTCGAGGGGACAGACAACAGTTGCTTTAATGAGTGCTCGCGCAGAGTATGCAGTTACGATAGTCAATAACAGGAAAGAAAGGATGGAGAAAAGGGGTTTGTGAACAAACGATGAGAGCCATGAGATAAGAATGATCTCAATTACGCTATGCCCGATGCAACGGGAGCGAAATACGGGCGTCGTTCGGTTGGGTGGGACATTCTTGGATGTCAATATTAGTGCTCGGTCTGAAAGGCGGATTGCTTGGTGAAATGGGGGGGCGAAGTGTGTCCATGCATGCACTGTGCAGGCAGGCAGGCAGACGGGGTATCTTTTCACAGGCTGGTCTGCTTCCTGGTCGAGGAGAGGAGGGATGTTGGAAGGCGAACCGACAGTGCCAACAATCGTGGTGCTTCCCTCTCGCCTCCTCTTCGTCCTAACTGTTTCCAACAGTGCGAGTACGCTTTTCGGGACGATATGTCCCTTCGCTTTTCCTCTGGAGGACCGTTGCTGCTCTAGTCACTGGCGAGGAATGGGACCGTCGGGATACAAGTATCATCTTATCTCGAGTGGTCCTGACGTGAGCATCTGCTAGTATTGCGTCGTCGACGGGATACCCTGTTGGACAAGGGATAAGAGGAGGAGGAGTCGAGAATGGAGAAGATAACTACGACGCGCGTTTGGAAGAGAAAGGAAGTAGGTGGCCGGTAGTGCAAGGCCGTCTACCTACAGATACGCTGACGACCGTGACTTATCCTACTACGGCCATCCTGGACTAATAATATCTACCCTAAGTGAAGTCATACTTACAGCACAAGGAGAGGGAGAGCCGGAAAGGACAGCTGGGACTCTGGGAACTCGACGGGGATGGGGGAATGGACGTTGATTGGGTGGAAAGAGAAAAAGAGCGCGCTGCATATTTTTGTGACCAGCTTTGACTCTTTGAGCCCAAAAAGCGGCCCCCTCTCTTCTTTTTCCCACTCTTGCCGACTATTTTCGCACCCGTTTCCTTTTTCCCTTCTAAGTTCTGCCCACCCTTCCCTTCCCTTCCTCTCCGTCTCCTCTCCCGTGCCTCTCATATCCACCCTATTCCGTCCTGCCATCCCCTCCCATCCCATCCATCACCTTCCCACCCTCCCCCTGGTATCGGAGCGCCGCCGCCGCCGAAGGGACCAATAGGGTGCTTAAGGTTCTGCCTGGGACCCGTTCCACTTGCAGAGTTGCACTCTCCTCCAACTCGACCAGTCATAGTTGACACAACGCAACCAAGGTTGAGCCGTCGGTCGCGTCACGAAAACTACACCATAACATGGACTATCCTACACTCCTCATAGACTCGGAATAGAGGAGAGTGAGGGAGAGAGAGGATAGGGGAGAGAGAGGGAGAGACGCAGGAGTTCATTCTTCATCTCTCGGGGAAGACTACTGACAGAGTCACCAAATAACCAACCAACCAACTCTTCTGCTTGCTCAACCACCTAGTCTAGTCCTGATCTAGTCTCTATTTGGCTTTTCCACTCCGTTTCACCCTAACCATGCCATCCATCCATCCATCCAACATCGATGATGTCTGTCTGTCCATTGTTCCCCTCTAACAAACTCTGGGTTCGCCCTCTTTCTCACCCACGCTCTGCACGCACACGCTCATGCTCACGCTCACGCTCAATAAAATGCCCGCTCGCTGCGCCCGCGCGATGCACTGCACCGTACCGCACTGCACGCACAATCCCCGTCCATTCGCACATCGCGCAGTGCCTCTCCGGTCACCCACTTCAGAATGACGGTCTGCTGCCTAATATGTCCTTTCTGACAAGTGATGCACTCGTCTATGACCGCTTTGAAATATTGCGCACGCATGGTCAGAGAGCCATCACTCCAATTTTCCCATCACCAGCACACATGCATACAATCAAACGGACTCACGAAAATGCGACAACACCGCCTTCTATTCTGTCCCAGATTATTTTAACGACTGGCTGACCTCTTTCAGCCCATATGTGCAAAGAACAGGCACGGCAAGTAGTCCGCCGCTGCTCTGGGACGATTATGTTGATGTAGTTTTGTGCGGAGTTCTGTATGTACAAACCTGCTACTACTAGGAGAGGAGTCAGTATTCTTCGCTCCACGATCTCTCCTATGCTCTTATTCCCTTGCCTATCTCTGTCACTACCCTCTCTATCTCTATCTTCATCTCCATCCATGTCTCTAAACTCTTCCTTCGAGATTCTTCTTCTCACTCGATGACTCGTCCCCAACATGTCCGAGTGCTAGGTACGAGTACTCCGAGTACTGAACTGCTACTGCCACTGCTACTGCTGCTACTAAGAATGAACCCGCCTGGTGGACTTGCCTTGGCCATTGGCGGTCCGAGCTCACGCGCGCTTACCACATCTAGATTAGATCGCTTCTCGCTCACTCGTTCGCTCTCTCTTTGGCTGGTTGGCTGGCTTGTCTTCTCTCTCTCTCTCTCAGTCTCTCTCTCTCTCTGTCGCTTTGGGAGAGTAGGTGCCTCTCGTTCTTTCCCTCACTAAACTGCCTCTTCTTCTTCTACTACCACTACTCTTTCCCTCCTCCTCTCAATCCACTCTCCACGACGCTCACCCCTCAACACAACTACGATCGCCTCACGCCATTATCGACTACATCTTATCACCTCCTTACAACGATCACTCCCTTTCACTGTGACATCGCTCGCCGTTGAAGACCGCGATCCTCCCTTGTTTGTTGGGGAGCCCTTTCACGCCTCATCACCACCCTCCCCCTCTCGTCTTCCACGAGCGCGCTGCATGGCCACACATACAAATCACCTTTAAAACCATAATTATACTCCTAACCACGCCGTTCTGTTCGTTTCTAGACTTCCCTCGTCTCGTCACGACCGCTCCTTCCGACGCTACCCACCTCGCGATCCGCCACGAAAGCCTTTGCTCCCTTGTCAGCAACGCCTCTGAACGCTCGAACTCGACCCAGAACGACATCGGATCGGTTTCCAAGGGGTGTCCATCTCGTTACGCGTCGGCATCGTCCGCTCGGTCTTGGTCGTTCGCCCAACTGGCGTCATGCGATCCATAGCACCTCGAGCCTGAGCCCACCTATCCTGCGATCACCACCCTCCATCTCACTTGCGAAAGGCGGATTATGACTGAAGTCTCGTCCGTCAAGGCGCATGCTGACCTTCAGCCCGCTCCCGCCCTCTACGGTGGGCCCTCACCGATCCCCTACACCAACGGCTCATCTGCGCTAGACGGTACCGTCGAAGAGGAAGAGTCTTCGGTCATCAAATGCATCTGCGGCTACTCGGACGACGATGGCAACACCGTACTCTGTGAAAAGTGTGATTCGTGGCAGCACATTGTGTGCTACTACGTAACGGCACAGAACGTTCCAGACATCCACGAGTGCGTTGACTGCCTGCCACGAACCGTCGATTCCAAAGGCGCCGCCGACAAGCAGCGACAACGCCGCGAGCTCCAGAACAGTATCGGAGAGCGTAAGGTGAAGCCGAAGACTGCCACAAAGAACCACAAGAAGAGGGCAAAAGACCCGCTAGGATCCGTCCAGCCAAACGGCTGGGCAGTCCATTCGAACAATGACCTGCACTACAACCCTGAGCGCAAAAGCGGAAGCCCTCGAGACCAACCACCTCCCAACAAAAGACCCAAAACCAGTCATCGAACCTCTGGTTCTGTCTCCGGTGTCCTAAGTCAGGCGCCTGCTCTTGCACCGGGGTCACGCAAGCGTGCCAGTTCAACGATGCACAACGGACACAGTCCAGTAAAGTCACCTCCCCTCGCGGATGGTCCACTGGAGGAGTTCTCGCCCGAGTTCATGAACCTGTACCGTCAGGCTGAACCGGCCTCGGCTGACTCGAACTCTTACACGGATATCGGCGTTGCAAACGACATCTCGCTGTGGCTCAACGACCGTGAGGCACTCGCCGAAGCAACCGGTGGGCTACACCCAGGCGATGTTTTCCAACGTATCGACCAGACAATCGAGGATCTGGAAGCCCTCGCACCGATAATAAACAAGCAAAAGGATGATGATTCTCGAATCATGGTACATGGCGCCCACCCACAGTGGCAGTTCCTCACGGTGGAGACTTTCGTACCCCAGCAAGCCTTTATCGGCGAGGTAAAGGGCCGCATCGGACGGAAAGAGGACTACTTCTCAGAACCTGCAAACCGATGGGACCTCCTTCGCCATCCCGAACCTTTCGTTTTCTTCACACCCCGATTACCCCTCTACATCGACACGAGACACGAAGGCACAATACTACGCTATGTGAGGAGAAGTTGCAACCCGAACATTGAAATGAAGATACTCACCCAAGGGCCTGAGAGTGGTTATCACTTCTGCCTGATAGCCATGCACGACATCGAGCCAGACGAAGAGCTCACAATTGGTTGGGAGATCGATACAGAGATCCGACAAAGGTTAGAAAATGCCGTCAGCAACGGCGACATACGGAAGGAAGGATTCAAGAAGATCGAGCCTTGGGTAGCCAACGTGCTTTCCAATTTTGGAGGGTGCGCATGCAGACGAGGGCCTGAGTGTCTCCTGCAGCGAGCCCGTCGTCCAAATAACCCTAACGGTGACCCCTTGCAGCCTCCGAAATCCACCAAAGGCAGGAAGTCAAAGAAGACGCAAGTTTCTCCTCTGAGTACAGGACACGCAACAAACAGCCGCGCAGGCAGCGAGGCTTTCAATCGTGACAATGGTGACGATGAGAACGCGGACGGTCGCTCGACATCTGGTTCTCACAAGTCGAGCAGTCGGGACATCACTCCAGCAACTCATTTGTCAGTGGATGGAGGGGATTCGAAGATGTCGGATCGGGAGAGACGGAAACTCCAACAGCAAGAGCGGTTGTTCGAGCAGTTGGAGTATGATGAGCAGCACAAGAGCAAGCGAGGAAAACGAAACAGCGCTGGCTCGGCTCTCAACACACCAAGCCTCTCCTCTTCCGTAAGGCGCAAACAACGAGCTCCCAATCCTGAAACTGACCAAGACCAACAGAAACAACTCGGGCCTTCGGAGCCTTCGCCTTCCGCACGAACCTCCCGGGACTCCCACAGCGGCAACCGCAAAACGTCTGGCAGCTCGGTCAAGACCAATGGACGGACGGTGTCTAAGCCAAAACCTGTCTACGTGGACTGCTCTACCCAGACAGACGGCGATCCCGCGCCTACAGTAGCAGACAAGGCACCTACTGCTACTAAGCAGAGGCTCATCAAGCGACCTGTCTCCTTCAAGCACAAGCTCCTGCAACAGGCCACTGCAGACCGCGAGCAACGAGAGCGTTCCGCGTCCGTCAAGATGGAATCACGATCTCCAACACTCAAAGACGTCTCGTCTTGTAAAGCATCGCCTGTTCGCCCCGTCGCTGATGTTGGAGAGCCCACTGTTACGGACGCTTCTACAGACGTGCCAGCTGCGCCAAAGGAATCAACTCCACTGGCGGAATCCAATCCACCCAAAGAAGAACCATCTGCCCAAGAGGCAGACGTTGACATGAAGGATGCAGATACAGCAACAACCCCCGCGCCGCCATCTCCGAAAATCGAAGAGATGCCTGATGCGCCAATCCTGGACGCTGCATCCGACATTTCGCATCCACCCGCCCAACCACCACCTCCTCCATGGCCCAAAGAGGCCAGCCCTTCTCCAGCTCCGTCAGCGCAGTCTGCACATGCCACAGCGGAACCCCCCAGCGAGGGCGATGTAAAACCAGAAGCACTCGAGATCCGACTCCCATCACCCGATCCCAGCAATCCGGCGGCGCCGTTGAGTGCCATCACTCCAGGTTCCGCTCTTGCGCAGTCGCCTTCCGGACTGCCGTCCGCACCATCACCGTTCTCTCCTTCGGTCTCGAATGCTGTTAACCCGACGCCAGCTAGGAAGAAACTCAGCCTCAGTGACTACACCAACAGAAGGGCCAAGCTGGCGCAGACACAGTCAACGGGTACGAGCGCAACACCCCCGCTTGCACAGTCTCAGTCCATGACATCTCCTACTTTGTCTACAGCAAGTCTTCCAACCACTGGCTCGCCATCACGGAAGAGTCCCGAACCTGTCGCCCTGTCCACTGTCTCCGAGGAGCCGAATCCGACGCCTACAACTACCTAAAAAGACCAAGATACCCACTCTTCTTCCTTCTGTCACCTCTTCTTTCGTGGACACTGGCTCCTCAGCTGGGGTGCTGAGCGCCCTATCCAACAGCTTTCCTTTCCGTGGATTTCCACTGTACATTATCTGGTCGAGTTATAGCCGTTCCCTTCCAGTTCTTTTCTACTACTCTCTTCTCTTCTCTTCTTGAATCTGATGTTTGAAGATAGTTATGGTTTTATGTTGGGCCACACAGTGGGGGAACGCCTTCTCACGCGCTTCGATTACGCTCGGACTGTCCGCACTTAGTCTTTTTCGGCCAGTCATTTCATTATCTGGCTGCATGGCCAAGGATCTACACATCCTTTTTCTCTTCCAAAAAGGGTTCAGTGGGGGCGGCGTTGATGCGTACCTAGGCATGGGCTTTTTTTTTCCCTCTTTTTTTTTCTCTTCTGGGATTCAAAATTCAAAAGAGGGGGCGCGCGCGGTGGGGGGCACATTTGTGTACCGTTGCTTGAGTGTCAAGTGTTGGCGCTCGCGACTTTTAAAGCTCTACTTTGCTTTTCTCATTCTATTGTTGTTTTTGGATGGATGGATGGATGGGGCATGGAACGAACGACCGAACGAATCGAACGACAAAAAGGATTCGGGTTCCCCCGTTGTTGTGTTGATCTTGGTCAATGGCCCGCCCGTCCGCCTGCCGGGCGGAAGGGGGGGTTACACACTACTTGAAGAAGGATTATTATACTGCTGTGTGAAACGCTTGCAAAACTCCTCTCGAAAGCGGGACAATATGCGAATGGAATAAATTAAAAAAGATACCTCGATTAATTTCCAAAAACAACAACAAGAACGGCTTTCTATTGGATGAAGTAATGTGATGTGACGAAGTGTGGTTTTTGCATGATTGATCGAGTTACTTGCTTGTCACCTTGTTTTAGTCTCTTGTGTGTGCGTGTGTGTTGACTATCTAGTATTTCGAAAAGATACATCGCCGCGAATATATACGGATATCAATGAAACACAAGGAAGGGATCACTCATTTCGAACCAAGCCATATCATGATGGGGGAGGGGAATAGATATATATATGATCAGCTCAAACCCATGGCAGTGCCTTTTCCTTCGTTCCGTTCTCCATTGCTATTTCTATCAGTATATGCATTGCACCTCCTCCTCGATGTACCAAAAACACAACGGACACAAAAGCCACAGAGGTAAAAGCAAAAACCCCGTCCCTCCAGCAGACGCCTTCAATCGTAATGAACATAACCCAAACTCGATGATTCACGAATCAATACCTCGCCTTCTCATCCGCCGTGACATGCTCCTGCCCGACGGCCGTGCCGTCCAACTCAATTGGCGAGGACGAGGTATGCTCGTAGTGGCGGTGACGCCGCAGAGTCCACGACGACGAAGACGACGTCTTCTCTCCGTCCTTGTCTTTACTACTGCTATCATTCTTTTCGTTCCCACAAGCGTCAACATCGCTGGCGTACACAATACCCTCCCCGCCATGCGTCCTCCCGTACGTCCCCGTCTCAGCGCTGAAATCAAAGGTCCCGCCCACGGAGCGGGGACTCGCTGCCCTGCTTTCTTCTCTCTCCTCCTCGTCGTCGGATGTGTTGGCGGGATGGTGGTGGCCGCGGCGTGTAGGGTTGCCCGCGCCGCCGAACTGCTCTCTGAACTGCGAATTTCGGAGTGCAAGGTGCTGCTGTTGTGCCGCCGTTGAGGTTGAGGTTGAGGTTCCCAGGGGTAGAGATAGCGATAGCGGGTTCATCGTTGCGTTGGAGGTGGTGGTTATGGGGCTTGTGGCGTGGGACCAGCCTAGGGATCTTTTGCTCTTGAGTTTCCTGGTGATGGCGCTTGTGTTGGGGTTGCTTGTGGTTTCGCGCATCGGTGGTGGCGGTAGTGGTGGAGGTGGTGGGGAATATGCGTTTATGTTTGGATTCCATTGATGGGAGGTGGTGGGAGGGGTGTGCAAGTCGTACGCTGGCGGCTTCGTCTGAGGAGGCGATGGCATCCCCGTTGATGCTACTGCTGCCGCAGAAGAAGATGACGTTGTCTGGAAGATATCAAATAGCGTTGGACTGGGGGGCGTTGTACGCCGCGCGACGGTCGACGCCTTGCGGTGGATCTCCTCCTTCAGCGTCTTCGAACGTGCGATGTAGAACGTCAGCAAGGCGGCCAGTGCGGCGACGAATATTGCTGCTATGGAGATCCCTGCGATCGTGCCGGGGCTGAGATGGAGTTTGGTGTGCCCTCCTCCTGCTGGGTTGGGAAGGATAGATGAAGTGGCGGCGGGAAACTCTGGGGGAAACGGCTCGCCGGGTTGTAGGACGAATGATGCGTTGTTTGCGAGTTCGTGTTGGACTGAGACAGGTGTCGAGGCGTTCTGAGAGGGTGGGTGTCAGAGTGTGTGCGCTCATATCTCATCTGAAAGGCGCTATTGATGAATCATGGTCTGGGGTTTCAACTTACGGGGTTTATGGCTCCGACCATGCTGTACTCGTCACAGCTTCCTGGCGCACTGCAATAATAGAATATGGGTTCCGTGTCGTTGACCCTGACGTGAAATTTCGGTGGCTGTACGTAATGAATCAGTACCTGCAGGTTGGATTTCGAAAGATGATCTGGAGGTTGAAAACAGGGAATGCTACTTACATTATCTAGGACCTCACTAATGACCTTGAAGCCGCTGAAGAACCCGACACGCCCTTCGCCGGTCATCTCGTAGGGTATGCAAGCGAATCCAAATTCCGACCTCACGACAGAGTGGTTCTGGGGGTAGAACGAGAATTCGATGATCTATACGGAGACTATCAGCATTGCCTGGCCTACTTATGCAGGAATCGCTGGAACGAATGGCTGTAGCTTACTTACATCTCCAACATCGGCTTTGGTAGAATCCGGAATGAATTTGTGGTCGAAGCCGACCTTGACAGTATGCGTCTTTGCGGGACGACTGGAGTTTGCCGCGGGCGGGACATGGCTACTGGCAGCCGGAGTCGTTGTTACAGAGACTTGTCCAACGCTCCGGGATGGGAACACTGAGACAGCAGGTGGGAAGGGCGTCGATGCCGGTGAAGATGGCGGCACATTTTGGGCATCCGAATACGGGAGAGTTGTCAGCCATAGGAGGAGCGCTGGGATGACGGATGGGAAGTGGATGTTCAAGGCTCGGGTGCGAGTTGTCCACATTTTCGTTGTGACCATTTCATTGCATAGAGCAAGTGAGGTCAGTCGTGCCTATGTTCTGTAGTGATCGGGGTCAAGAACGAGGGAGGGAGAAGGTCAAAAGGTATATGCAAAGCATAGTTCCAGAAATATCATTGGTGACAAAGGTGTCAACGCTCCCCACATCAGAGAGCAGTCCATCCTTTATTCCTAGTGGCTGATAGCGGTGCGAGGTATTGGATATTCGAGGATCAAGACCTTAGCTATTCTTTATTATTAGTAGAACCGAGGAGCCAATGGAGTAACAAAGAATAGGGCGCAATTCGAGTATCGATAAGTAGGATGATCAAAGGTACAACAAAGGGGCTCTTCTCTGAATCACAGTCTGCCATCACGGTGGCGTAGAGGCAAAGGTACAAAACTGTCCGAATGTGGCCAAAGAGTTGGTGTATGGAAGTTGATCCAAATTGGAACATGTGCTCTGTCACTGCTGGCGTCATTTCTCTGCCAAGGGATTGTACAGAGGGTTGGCACGCCGGGCTGGCCCACTGCTAGTATTTTATGTCCACAGCAGTGCCTTCGCGAGGTTTGTCGCGAGCATTAAGATAGTTTACTGGCTACAGTACACTATTAGATAGACACTTTCGGTATAGAACATACATGAAATCAGCAGGTGGCCAGCCCGACGTGCCAACCCTCTGTACATTCGGGCCGGACAGGGGAGTAAAGTCTACGCGAACGGCCTGACGTATCATTGATCGTTGACTGGCATCTTCGATCCATGGACGGGAGCGCGGGTCTTGTGGCCGGGCCAATGATTGCTGCTGCAGGAAGTTCATCAGAAAATGAATACACTGACACTAATTTCTTAGTCAACATGCTTTATTGACATTGTGATCGTGAAAACCTAATATTGAATTGTCCTACGATGTTTAACGCTAGATTTTTGCATCTGTGGAATCATCAGCCCTACAGAGATAGAAATGGCATGCGAAATGCCTAGATATTGAACGGATGTTCGAAAATTTGAGAGAACGAAGTAGAGCATTTGCTCATCTGGACTGGTAGCCCATAGCACTGTGGATGATACCTAATATTCTTTTTTCTTCCACAGACTTATTGATTCGTCCAGTGAATCGACGTTTTCAGTTCAGACCAGGGTCGCCAAATGGATCATTGCTGGACGAACTGCCGGATCCAGAGACATATCCAGAAGGTGGTCCAGAGAGCTTCTGGGCCTGCTCCGGGTCCCAGATAGGGAATCCGTCAGGAGGTTGGCTTTCGCCCAACGGGCTGCCTTTGGCGTATCCAGCAAGGTTGCCATTGATGCCGGTAAGAGCCCAAGCGAAGACGGCCACATCACGGATAGCCTGCATGAATCCGCTCTGGAAGGCAGGCGAAGGACCTGCTTGCGCCATTGCCGGATGCTGAGCGCCAAGTGGATATGGTAGATGGTGAGGGAGCGCTGGCTCGAATATGGGCTCGTGAGCCCAAGGAGCAGCATAGACTCCGTTGGGGTACGATGGTTGAGCATTTGGCATTGCTGCCGTTGGTATGCTTGGGCGAGCGCGGCGGAGACACACGACCAACCCATCCGAGGTACACGAGACCACTGCTTCCAGCTCAATAGGCTCGTCGAGGGCTTCCGAGTTTGGCGAGGCACCGCTTGTGGATGATGCCAATGATCTACTGTCGGATTGGTGCAACGAGCTGGTCTGTCCCGATCCCGTACGGTGGCCCGAACTATTACCATTCGAGCCACTTGATGGGTTGGAAAGGCCGTTGCTGGAGGATTCTGCGCCAGAAGTGGATTGACGTCCGACCCCAGCCTCTGATTCATCGTCGGAGGTGGTGACGTCTGTCATGGTCTCATCCTCGCTCTCGCCAGACGTGGCATCGTCGGCAGGCGGATCGTGCTGGCGAGGATCACGGAACCAGAAGCGCAGATAGGCGATACTATCATTACCCTTTGCAGATTCCAGGCATCGCACTGCGTCGGCAAGGCAGTTCTCTTGGATGCAATAGTAGAAGCTACGGCCCTTCATGGCCTCGCTAGAAATGCCTAGGATCTGCTCGATGCCGCTGGTGGCATACATGACGGTTAACGACCGAGTAAAACGATTTAAGAACAAAGCAGCGCGCGGTTCGTGCGTCTGCTCCTCATCACCCAGAGCGAACTTGCTGGACAGATGCGACAACATATGATAACGGGGATCTTTGGGAGAAGACGCGAACATGCGTCGTACCAGGGGGGCCTCTACGGCTCGCTCTGATCAGATGGTCAGCATGTTACGGGAGTGAAGAGAAGCTCCATGGTCAACGTACTTTGGCTCTCCATGCCGTGGCGGTAGATACTAGTACAGCAAACCATGACATCGTAGACAACGGAAAAACAGCACTCGCAGCCTACATAGTCACCCTGGCGGTTCCTAATGCGGGCATACGCAAGAACAGCAGCCTTGTCGAGACGAACACCACGGTCGTGTTTTGCCTTTGCAAAAGGGACCTCATCTGGATGGAACCATTCCCAGACTGACTGGTTGACGACCTCATCGGGAGTGTGCCCGAGAATATCAACGATTGAGTCGGAGGAGTAGAGGATGCGAGCATCCGGGGACAGGTCTGTAGTTGTGAGCACAATGGTAGCAAGGCGGGGCGTAGAAGGATTTACCGTGAATGGTGATGAACGTGGTATCCATTTGGTGAGATTGACAAATTGATTGATATTAGATTGGAGTGAATGGAGAATATGAAGTCCTTGTTGGGCCCACGGTCGTCCAGCGTATCGAATCTAATAATTCGTGGTGGACTAGCCGAGAGATTGAAAGGAAGGGTGAGAGGTGGAGAGAGAGGGAGGAGGAAGAAGGCAAGGTGGTTATGAGATGTGCCTCGACCGGGCTAGGCAATGGAGATTTGAGGCAATGCTTGGATGAGAGTTTGATAACAGGGCGAGAAGCGAGGTTTAATTGAGGGAATAATTAGCGGAGGAGAGAGGCAGAGGCTGTAGTGCACAGAGTAACACACGAGACAACGGCGGGTCCAGTGCAATGGAGCGTTGTAACGCACGCGCGGCGCTATAGGAGGAGTAGGTCTAGGGTGACATGTAGGGCATGGGGAACGGATGGCGGGAACGGTAAGGATTAACTGTAGGATGGGTTGGACGCGGGTAGCAAGAAATAGAGGCGCAATGGGAATGGGGAGCAAGGTTGGATGGAGGTGGTGGGTGGATGTGGGATGAAAGTTCCCCCGGGTATAGTAGACGCAGGCTATGGCGTCACAGGGTAGAAGAATTTGAGACCGGGTTTGGTTCGGTAGGTTTTTATGGTATCTCCAGTCTCTGAGTATGGAGATGAGGTACTCCGTAGACAGGGTGGATCTACGAGGTAATAAGCGAGATTCCAATCTTTCTTCTTCGGAGGTCGAGGTGGAAAGAAATTGGCATCATGAATGGAGAAAGGAAGTGGACGTCTATGGGCATAGAGAGGAGAATACCTAGTGATTATGTTGGGACTTGATAGAGATGTTAACTATTGTAGAAGCACGATTACTGTAATAAGTAGGTAATTGATTAAGTAAGGAGTACAAAGTAGCCAGCCACGGTCCTGTAAGGTATGATAGGTAAGTTAAGAAGGATTGTGACTGGTGGGCGGCAGCCTTTGTTAGTAGAAAGTTAGTATCAAACTAGTAACACAAGACAGGACAGTATTGAACACTCCGTACGTGCGTAGGTGGTGAACATAGGATTGACCCCATTGTAAAGAGGCGCAATTGGACACGCGAGGTTGTTAGCTGAGGTTCGTATGGAGTACAATGGATGTGGTTGTGTCTACTCTGTACATGGCATGGCCTGGCTATGTGTCTGTGCGTGCGGGTACGGGTGCATGGGCAGTATACAGTAGCAGGGTAAGGGTTGACCGTCGTATGCAACATGCAGCATGCAGTATGCAGTGTACAGGGCATAAGGTGCAGGATGCATGATGCACAGCACGCAACTCCAGCAAGAGAGAATAGGAACCAAGAAAAAAAGAAGGAGAACGTGAAGGAAGAAGGAAGAAAAGCGAAGGAGAACATGGCAGCGAGGCGAGGATGCGCTGTGCAATGCATAGACCTCATACCTATGTTGTTAGTCTACTAATGATTATTCTAAGTGCCACCAAATGAACTTCAATTCGCACTCCTATTGCAGTCTCTTCTACTCCGTACTCCGTATCATTGGGAAGATTCATCATCAATGGTTGAGGCAAAGCGGGGTGTGTCTCTTGAGATCGTCGATCCTTAGACAGTAGAACTCAAGCCAAGTGACTTGTAAAATAATTTCTTTTCATGAGCGTTCACGCTAGCATAACCAAAGGACGAGCAACAACAATGTTGGAGGCTGCAACGCTGCACGTGCAACGCCGGCGAGTCAAACAGTCACCGGAATGATCTCGATGGGGCGTATGGCTTTCATGGGAGCCTTGAAGCGACCGGCGCAATGCAGTGAAGAAGCGGTATACCAGGATTCAATGCCAGAGCTTTGCCAATGGAAGGGCAGGGCAGGGAAGACAAAAACCTGTGATAAAGCGCAACAGGACGACGACAAGGGACAAAGAAGTCATTCTGCGTCCTGAATGGGAGGCAGCAACCAGTAGGATGGCACGAGACAAGTGTGGTGGCCACTCAATAAGAGAAGGTACAGCACCCGCTGTGATGTTGCAAGGTCAATGTGATACGGAATATGATGAGTTGCAACTTAGTGGTGAGTTCTCATGGACTTGTCAACCTTGTCTGTGACCATTAATCTGCAACTTGCAATTTGTACCTGGTAACAACTTACAAGCAGACAGGTAACTTCCTCCTACGAGCATTCGTCGCCTTCCAATGTAATCGCACAATGTGGTGATACTGCTCCTTAGGTATTGCGAGAAGGAGTAAGGAGTGTGACGTAGCAGGTATCCAACATATCCATTATTGTACGGAGTAGAATTTCAGGTCCTTCTTGCATACCTAGGTAGGTGCTCTATGGCAACAACCCCTCAACCCAGACCGTTCTGATTTCGACTTATTCTCAACAACATCAGTACTAGGTATTGGAATTGATAAAGGAAAAAGAAAGAAAATGATGTGCACTACTCCGCAGACGGAACAGGTTTGCACCGAGAAGAACTATAACAAAACCCGTAACACGTGCCGAGTAACCCAGCGGCCGATCCTTGCTCTACAACATGTTCCTGTAGGCTGTAGTTGATAGTTAGTTACTCCAATAGATATTACCTACACACTCTCTTTCTCTCCCAACCTTGCACCCTTTTGCTGCACCTCTCATGCACCTCACCTATCCTTTGGTTGGGCTCGCCTGCTCGCCTCTCTCGGTTGCCTATTATTGTACCAGTACGCCAACTCTACCCTTACGCAATTCCGACTCGCCTGACTTGTCAGGGCATCAGCTCCGTTCCCGTATTTAGGTTCCTCCAGAGTCTCCCACCACCCTGCTTTCTTTGATCCATGTCCCTGCTTAGAACCCGTGCCGCCGCCCTGTCACCGTCTTCCTGCATGGCCTTAGCCCTTAAGCAGTAGCAGGTTAGGCGCAACGCGAGTCGAACTGCTATCCTAATGCTTTGGTCATTGGCTACCTTTCTGCATCAACCAGAGGATCGGATAGCGGGGGGATCCTCGTCTGTAGCATTAAGTACGACCTGTCGTCGCAAAATCACATACTCCCAAGAACAATGACAGGTCATTAGAACCTGGACTTCAAGCTTCAAGTGTCTTCTGGCCTACAACGACTGTTGTGAGGGCTCATTGTAGAATAGTTGCCAGCGAAAGGATAGAGCGGTCCTACGCTATGGATTAAGACTGCTATCCGGAACACTGCGTAGAAAGCAAACAGAACGAAGGGTGACAGGGCAAGAAATGACAACGGATTTCTCCATACCGGAGAGGATATGTCTTTAAGTTACGCCTTTGGTGCTGTGGATTCCAACCACAAGTGCTCGAATTGGAGTATCAAGAACCTGATTCCCAACTTTTTCTACGGGTCACACAGCCGGATGGTGGCGTTTCGATGTCCCGAAGCGTTTGTGTTGTAATAATGCGGATACGCCTTGTCCCTCATGAGCGAGGACCGTATGTATGCACATGTATGGCCATGTAATGTCATCGTCGATTTCGATTGCACGCAAACAAAGTTGTTAGCCAAGGTGCTACGCTAGTAACCGTCGCCAAGCGCCTCTTTCGTCCCCCACACGCTTTGCTCTTCCTCTCTCCTAGTAACTTGCCTACACAGCAAGCAACCACCAACCGCCACCCTTCCCTAACTTCCTACCCTACCTTGCACCTCGTACCCATTCATCTTCACTCATCCATCCACTCAACCCACTTGTACATTATACTTCGTACACCATCTCATATCAGAATACTCCCTTTGACCCTCGTATTTCCTTCCATCTGCAGGAGCATGAGCTGCAATCATATTTTAGACTCTCTCGTTGGGCACTGCACCCCTGCGCATCTCGACCCTGATGCTTCTGCTTCACCACAATTCACCCAATCTCGTGCTTAGGTAGTCTCCATTCACCATCACTGTCACCATACTCCGTCTTGCATTGGTGCCGCCCCTCGCTTCCTCTGATTCCGAATACCGGCATACCGAACTATCGATCCTATCCTACCCCATCCTGAGTCTACTGGCTTTCCTGCAATGTCGAGCACGCATCACCGCCGTGACCTCCCTACTCTCTTTACGACCCTGAGGCTCAATGCACAGGTATGAAACTAACTTACGCTGAATGGTCTTGATTACTTTATGGTTTAATCTCGGGGCTAACGACGTATCCCACCCATTCATTAGGCTGATGAAGCTAGTGAGTGATTCTCCACTCTTCCTTCGTCCTCCATGCATCGTAACTAATGTCTCTACCAGCTACCTGGTACGATATCAAGTTTTGTCCGTACACGCAGTCAGGAAAGCCACCCGTCTTTGCCGTGACTGGCGCTTCCAATGTGAGTAGTCAAAGGTGTACTACAGTGCAACAACCGCGACCCATAATTCCCCCCATCTCCTTCCTATGGACTGACAGGCCTAGACTGTCATCTGCCGGTGTATACCTTCCGAGGATGACGCCATTGAGGTCTTGAGGTGGTTTCAAGATGAAGACCACCAAGAAATTGGAGTTGATGTGGGATTCGGCTTGAACAGTCTCGCTTGGTCACGTGTCAAAAATGGTGATCCACTGGTTTGTGTTGCTGGATCAGATCCTCGAATAAAGATTCTCAATGTGGTTACCGGTGAGATTGTGATGGTAAACATGTCCTCTCACCAGAAGTCTTACAGCGTTGCACTGACGTATGAATACAGACTCTCGCAGGACATGGCGGTGTAGGTTGACACCTTGAAATCTTCTCCGCACCCAGATTGGCTGATGTCGTTTCTCCCTTCCAGGCAATCCAAGACCTCGCAGTTTGTCCCACGGATCCATATGTTCTAGCTTCTGCCTCAGATGACCAGGGCATACGCATTTGGAGCCTAGATCCCGCGCACGAGAAGCAGCGCTGCGCTGCAATATTGCACGGAGAGGGTCACCAGGAGAGCGTATTGGCACTCGTAAGTGCCTGAGCTCTTTGGCAATAGATTACGGTCTGAATCGTTCCAGGGGTTTCACCGCAATGGAAAATGGCTGTTGTCGGGGGGTTTGGACGCCCGTGTGAATTTGGTGACACCCATCTCTCATCCCCTTGCTGTGCAATCCACCTAATGAGCTGCAGTGGCATATTCCTGCGGTCCAAAAGGGCGGCAGCTTATCCGATAGGACGCCCGTCATTCACTATCCGCACTTTTCTTCCACGGAGATACATACCGATTACATCGACTGGTAAGCCCCCGCCATCCCCAAGCTGTCGCCCGGCGCTTTCTGCTTCAGATCGAGCAAAGCTGAAACTGGTCCAGTATTCAGTTCTACGGCGACCTCATTCTGTCTAGGGCAGCTCGTGGCGGACAAATCATCTTGTGGCGCATCGATAACTTCGATGGTGCAGACCTTTCAGCGCCGCCTGCAGCCCCAGTCCCATTGGAAGCAACCTCCTTCGAGAATGAGGAAGTCCGATTACCCACCGACTGGACCTTGAAGACGAGGTCTGCCTGGGACGGCCGCTTCCAGCGCCTGCTAGCCTTCGGGCTACCCAATGTCGGTGACGAGTACTATCTCCGCTTCAGCCTCTTCCACGGGCTGGGCCAACCGCCGATCCTCGCAGCAGGAAACGTCGGCAAAAGCACCGTCTTCTTCTGGGACCTCCAGGCCCTGGAGGACGCAGGTGTCGGCGATGCGCTCTCCCTCGCCGATTCTGATCCATCGAAAGTCCTCGACAAGACGTGGGCGCTGAGGAACCAAGACCGAGCTGCAAGTGAGGCCTCATCTTCTTCATCGGTCACCGCTTCTGTCGCCGCGAGCGAAGTGGAGAGCGGGAGAAGCACGCCCGTGACCGGCATCAGCGGTCCCCGACCCGTTGGTCGGCCTCCCGGACGACGCAAGAAGAAGGTAAAGAAGGCAAAAGAGGTCACAGTGCAGAAGGGAATTGGAGACCCTTTTCATCCCATCAAAGCTCATAAGAGCGTCGTGGTGCCAAAATATGCGTTCACGGTGCGCCAGGTTGCGTGGAGTCCATGCGGGGACTGGTGCATAGCGACCGGGGATAAAGGGGTGATTGCAATTTTCAGAAGATGAACTTAACGCAGGTAAATAGGTTGGTTCATCGAGATCGTAAAGACGTTATCGAACCGTGGAGTTGATTGCCAAATTTACTGATATAGGGGGCGCAAAGTTTGATTTGAACAGGCTTCAATTCTTATGCTAGAGCAGTGACAAGAGGAATTGTTCAATGCCCTCTTTTCGAAAATGCGTGTGGATCCCGTTCTCGCCTTTACATCAAGACATGTATATGCTTGAGCGATGGGTGAAGAGTCTTTAACCAACTGCTCAACTTAACGACAGTGGGGGGTATATACTCGAATAACTGTACAACAGAAATATAAGAAAAAAATCCCAACATGCATACAACACCTGGACCGCGGATGTCCAATCGAACCCCCTTTTTTGGTTTCCTCCCATCCCTCCACGTCTCTGCCCACGACATGTTTTTATCGGAATCGCAACTTCGTTATCGTTCATTTTTGTGCCAAGTTCAATCGTACAATCATGCCTTCCCAGCCGGCGCAACCTCGATGCTATCGTTGCCATAGTCCTCGCTCGACTCCTTGTTCTGGCCCTTCCGGATCCTCTCCCATTCTTCCTGGTCCTTCGCTGCGTCCGCTTCGTTCGCAGTGAGCTCGGGGATCTCCTCGTCTTCGATCTCCTCGGGTAGGAGGAGGTTGAGGATGACGGTGACGAGGGCAACGATGGCGAATCCGGTTTCCATGATGAGCTCGATGGCATTGTAGAAGCCGAGGAGGGCGCGGTTAGGTCCGGAGTACGTGAAGACGAAGGAGAACCAGCTGCGGAGGAAGTCAGAATTTTGTTACTGGGAATGCGAAGAAACGAGGGAGAAAAGGATAGGATGAGAACTTACTTAGGAACCATGGTGGCGCCGAAACCGAGCGCGAACCCAGCGGTCAGGATGAAGCGGTTCCGCCTCGTGAATGGCATCGTGGAAATGATCCTGATACCGGACACCGTGACGGCGGAGAAGAGGAAGGTCGTCATGCCACCGAGCACGGAGCTGGGGATGGCGACCAGAGCGGCAGCGAACTTGGCGAAGATACCCATGATGATGAGCCAGAAACAGCAGGCATATCCAGCCTTGCGGTTGGCGCAGCGCGTGAGCGCGATGACGCCGTTGTTCTGTGCGAATGTGGACATCGGGGTGATGGTGCAGAGGCCAGCGAGGATGCCATTGAGACCGTCAGCGAGCACGCCTCCCTGGATGCGAGAGTCGAACAGCTCGCCATCGACTTCTAGACGCGACACGTCGCACGTTGCTGTGATATCGCCGATGGCCTCCATGGCGAGGACCATGTAGACTGCTAATAACGGTAACACTATCGGCCCATACACGCTAAGCTTGAAGGTGTGCACCCAGATGAAGGAGGCGGCGGGCGAAGCATCGATGGTGCTCTTGTCGAAGTATCCAGTTGCACCCGCAATGATGCAGCCAACCAGCAGACCAATGACCACAGCCGTAGACTTCATGATAGGAGATCCGAAGCGCTCGCAGAGGATGATGGTGATGAAGACGGAGAATCCGAGGCCGATGAACTCAGCAGAACCCCATGGCAACGGTCGCGGCGCATTGATATTGGGGCACAATCGGAAGAGACCAGTCGCGGGCATGGACTTGCAGTCCCCCGAGCCACCCGCCCAGTTCTGGAACCCGGACTGAATGAGCTTGACGCCGATCAGCATGACGGTCGGTCCAGTGACGAGCGGCGGGAAGATGCGCTTGAGGATCCGGGGAGGCGTGAAGGCCATCAGGATTTCGAGAAGCGCGCAGATGCACTGCGTTCCCAGGATCGCGCCGTAGCCGTCCGGGCATGGGAGTTTGGTTCCATTCGCTGCCGTGGGGCAGAATCCCGTTGCGTACATCTGGCTGAGGGCGCCGGTGGCTACGGGGATGGTCGCAAATGACGTGCCGACGACGCTGATGAGTCCGGTGCCGATGTAGTACGGCGTCTTGTAGATGTGGAAGCGGGTGATCTGGATGGAAGACAGGATACCGCACACGATCAACGACGTCGACACGAGGTACTTCTGGAGCTCTGGGGTGAGGTTCGCCGCGTTGGCGAGGATGATGGGCGGCGTGATGACGCCGGCCAACATTGCAAGTGCGTGCTGGAAGCCCAAGAGCAATGCCAGGAAAACGGGCATGCGGTCGTTCAGACCGAAGAACGGAGCTGCTCGCCGCTCCTTCTTCAGGAACGGGAGGTTGGGCTTGAAAAGAAATGCGTAGTCGTAGTTTCCAATGAGTCCTTCCCTAGAAGTGCATTGCAATCAGCTTTTGGACGGATTTACAAATTGTATACGAAGATTCTTCAGAATATGAGTTCGAGCAATCGTACGAGCGAGCTTCTTCAATGATTTTTTCTCCCTTCTTATTCAGTCACATCTCAACGTACCTCGTACTAAACGCCTTCGCGAGACGTCTGCATTTCTCTCCAAAGCTGCGCTTGGGCGCGTGGTCAGGACCGATTCGATCTGGATATTCGGCCATTGCGATTGTGTGAGTTCTTGCAAAAAAGTCCTTATTCTCGGTTCTTTTTCTCGTATAATATCACTTTTTTGAGAAAGGGTTTTGTGGAACCTATGGAGAAATGTGAAATTGGTGAGATCCTCTCAATGGTGGTCGTTCATCAGTCAATTGGGTTCGGTTTGGTGGGGATTATCAGAACTTTTGACGGTGGTGGCGGGGAGGTGTGGATGTCCTCGCTGTTGACTCTCAATGACTTCCCGACGATGTGTTGGAGATAGTCGAGACGGATGGTTTCCAATTGCCCGTCAGGTATGGGTATGAACGATTATTCCCTTGCGATTTGTGGGAGAGCAGCTGCTATGGATCGAGGAGCTTTGGTATATATAAGTCGCGGGGAGTAGTAATAGTTAGATCCTAGAGGAGGATTGGAGGTCGCGTGCCGCGCTAGTTCAAGGTCGATTCGCCTTTGTGGTGGCTGTTTGGGAAACGATGCAGATACTGCGGGGAAAGCAGCAGATTGGGGAGGAAAAAGGAAATAAGAAGGAAATACGCGGGATCGGTCAGCCTTTTTATCAACGATGGGGATTGTCGATTTTTGTCGATCGTTGGAATTGGATGGATGGGTGATGGGTGATGGGGCTTATTTAATGGAGTAGGATTGGATTGCTCGATGGTCGATGGGGAGGGTATCGGGATTGGACTGTGTGGAAAGAAGTATTTTATATATCATGTCACAACAACTACACAAGCCATCATCCATCGTAGATAAGCAAGAGAGAGTGTGCGAAAAAATGCCATCGTCGGTTTCGGTTGTCGCCTTTTTTCTCCCCCCTTCCTTCACGATGTAGTGGTCTCATCGTCGGGTCCCTCCAATCTGCATAGTTACAACTAGTGCCTGGGTATCAGATACAGACACAAGGCGAGACCAAAACAATATCGCGCTTACTAGCTCGTCCAAGCAATTGGAAGAAAATAGTCAACCATGTGAGAGTCAGTGTATGGGAGAATGAATGCCGAGATCGCAGACGCCACGAGGCAACAACACACACAATTGTGTATGGAGATGCCCGATGAGAGGCCTTTTTCGCAGAGATAGATACGCAGCATTGTCGCTATCCGCCGCCGTCGCCGGAGGACGCCTTGCGAATTCGCTATTGATTTCCCTCTCCCGTCATCCGCATCCGCAAACCGCATATGCACAAGAGTACACAGTGTAGGGGTGAATTATTATTGGGGGTTTTATATCAGCTAAAAGCTTAACGTAGAGGTCGCAGAGATAAGGGAGAGATGATATGCTTTCCTGTGATGTGATTGGTCCGAGATGGGAGAGTCGACGAATCACGGCAAGGCGGTGGTCTCCGATGGGGGATCTGGGGCTGGGGTTGAATGGGTTGACATCCCACATGTTGTCGTCGGGAGATCTGTAGGGTAGCCTATCTATCCATGTATGAACATATGTTACCTTGTAGGTATCTATTGATGTACACAGTATGGTTTCATGCAAGTTCGCTGCACGAGGGCCTCGTCGTCCAACCGAGTGGTTCGTAGCCACACTTTCGAGATCCCGCTGGCCGGCGATGTCCTTCCAGGATGGACTTGCGCCAACGCCAGTGGGAAGCGGTGCTGTGCGAGGAGAACAGGCGGAGATGTGTTTCCAGGCCCCAGTAATTGATCTGCTATCTATAAGCAAAGCATCTACCGAGTAGATGACGATGTAGATGACTTCTAGAACTTTGATCTTTTTTTCCCTTACTTTTTTCTTCGTTCTGATGGTTTGGATGTCGATGTGAGGATTCTCCTCAAGGAATTCGCAGAGTGTTGATGTCAGGCTTCCTGCGAGTATGATATCTCGAGGGAACGATGAATATCCAGATATCCTTTGGGACATTGGATTCTCACATCATACCACACCATGCCACGAGTGAGGCTATCCAACATCTCAATACAAAACACTACATCCACAAAGGCGTAAACCAGAAAAGTCGTCAGATCGTTATCAAGCACCTCCCTACCTTCCACGCGAAACTTACCTCCCCTTCTCTCGCGCTCTCTCCTGTCGTCTTTTCAGATCCCCAGTATACTCGACTCATGATAGTAACGCGTTATCACAATGAGGCAGTTACTCAAAGCGTCAACACGAGCGTGGGGTTAGTACATACGTAGTTCGACAATGGCGAGATGATCAGAACCCTCTTCTTCTCATTACTTCGATACGCGACAGGAGAGGAGGAGGGGAGGATGGAAGAACTAAGGTTATCTATGTGGATGATTGACGATGCTATGGTCGCGTATCATATTCCCCCGTGAGCTGGTGGCGTGATCGCGTGGTTGGTTGTGATAAGGATTTCGACCTTGGGGGATGGGATCAAAATGGCTTGATGGGCGTTGCTTTGACGATGGTAAGTGTGTGAGTGCAATTGATGTATGCTTTTGCAGCACTCGGCTGCATGTTTGATCGAAGGACAAGTACAATTGCTGGTCGCCTCTGACTAGGGGTTATATGGTTGGTGATGTTTCGTCCTGCTGTCTCGATCAATGATGCAGAAGCCGCGGATCAGGTTGGAAATAGGGATTGTGATGTGATATGCAATCATCGAGACAGCTAACATGATAGCCAATTGCGTGAGAATCCCGGGCTACTTCACACTGTTCGTCGAAGTGGGCGTTCTTATGATGTCGAAGGCTGGAGCATCGAATCGAGTATCTGCGACGAGATAAGATAAGAGGTCGACAAAGGAGGCGTCACTATATCCCACAAATGTTCCCAGCATACAGATGATTGTCTGTTAATGCGAGCGTCCAAATGATACTTGATGTCTAAAGCGCTCGCTAAAGCAATGTTAATCAATCTATGGATGCCATGAGGAAGACATGCACCATGATTGGGACATGGGTGTTCCCCAGATTCGGGTCGTATATTGAGCGTCTAAGTAGGGAAATGGTATGGCCAACTGTGGGGGAACTGGGTCAATATAGTCTGAGTATGGTGTATCTCGTTCAAGCGTGTGTGATGTCAGAAGGAATCAGCACTCCTATCGCTTTTGATGCAACTAGATGGTGATATGGTTCATAAGTATGGGTGCTTGTTCGAACAGACACTCACTTTGGTTTGCTGCTACGCACCAAGACTCGTCAGAATGGCAAGACGCACACACACGTCACGGAATGCTGCATACTATATTAAGAACGTAGATAGTAGACCGTATGTGCTTACATATTGTAAACAATCAGATAGGTAGATCTATGTTCTGGGTAGATGATTAGGAAGCTTGCCTACAATAGGCAAGGCGGGAGCGACGGCAAGTATGCATGAACGACGTCCAGCCTACTTCCAGTTACAGTAATTCACGTCCATTGACGATTGGCAATGACATATGTTTCACGGGTCCGAGGAATGCTTCATGCTTGCCTGGCATCTGAGGAGCCACATGTTAAGCTACTCGTAGGTAGAGATCGGTTGCAATCGAGCCTGATCAGGGTATTGCATTGCGTCCTCGCGAATGATGATGTGAGTGCCGAGGTAGGTATTCGTAGATATTGTGATAGATGCCATTGTTGGGTGTCAGAAATTAGCTGCTGAAATATCTTGGTTGTTGGATCACCGATAGGATGGTTGTTGGTGTCAATGACGGCAGCGAGAGGGGTTATGCAGTTGTTGATATCTGGCAGTTCAGCAAGATAGATAGGCAAATGCTAATCTACCAATACATTTGGGTATTCATATGACAAGATGATGCGACGGAATAGGATAGGTGGACGGAACTGTTGAACGGCAGTGTCGGAGAGATGAAGGGGAGGTATGGGGAGGTTGATTGTTATGATTGATTGTATCGATTCTGATTGACTATCGTAACGATAATCAAGTGTGTGATTTGATTGATTGATTGATTGATTGATCAATTCAATTGCTGCTGCTGGATGGGCTGGACTCTGCCTGTTTGTCGGACAGTCGGAGAGAAGAGAGTAATCAGAGTGTGCAGGCAAGTTTGAGGTGACAGGGTGGCCAAGAGAGACTATCCCGAATGAGGAGAGCTTGCGAGGCTAGCCTTTATTGGTTAGCAGCACAGTCCCTTCTGGAGGGTTCGTGGCAGACATTTTCTTTACAACCAAGGCCTGTTCATACGAGTAACTACTGTTAGGCTAGGACACAACGAATCTACTCCTGTAACAATTGTTTCTACGGAGTTTACCCTCGTTTATGGAAAAAACCATCCTCGCTGGTGAGAGGCTGGGGTTTGCACCAAATTCGCATCAATCGCAAGCTGCTCTCTTCTCGACACAAGTGTGATGCGAATTGTGGAGAAGATCTGACTCTTAGACTTCCCTTTCCGATGTCTTTCTTCTTCCATGGGCACACGGCACCGAGGTAAATCCAAAAGAATGAATCAATTGTGATTTGATGGGCATTTCATCTGTATCACGCCACCATTCACCACGGGAAGGAGGGGTTCGTTCGTTTGTATCGACTTGAATTGAATAGCAAATGCAGGTGCTTGTCTTTGCGTCACCGCACCGACATGATCGAGGGAAGGGAAGTATGGAGTAGATTCTGGGGAGTTCGTTGCCGAGACCTTCTCGGAGCAGACCGCCTTTTCGGGGTAGAATCCTGGAAGCTTTTGGTTGGATCCGTATCGCTCGCCATAGGGCTGGCTGCCTCCTCTTGTTTGTCTCTACTTCTGAAGAACGAGCACCTAAAGTACCCTTTTCGTGCAGGCAATTGTCGCTGGAACTGTGTCTGTCATGGTGCAGGAGATGCCAACACAAGGTGTATGGCTAGACCTCACAAGCTGCATTCAATTATGTGGAATCGTTTGACTGTGGAAGCTGTCGGACTGTTCTCGACGTGATCAACGGTCCCTGGAATTGTAGATCCCTCCAATTCTACCGTCGTAATTTTCCCCAGGTGATACAAACAGTTACGGATTATGATACGCCACCCGGTGCCGATAGAGGGCAAAGTGGCGAATGGTAAGAGTCGTGCTAGATGTCATTACGAAATGATGGGCAGCGCAATGGACACATCTGGTCGATAGTTACTGACAAAGTGAAAAAGTCGCTCGTATTGTTACTGTGCTGCTGCGTAGGAATGCATTATGCAAGGTCCCGGTCCATTTTCTCCCTACGGCTGTTAGTGAATTTTTCTTACCATTTTAGCCCCCGGTGATTCGTAGCAGTGAATGGTGGTTGGTGGTTGTTCTTTTCCATTCTTGTTGGGGGGAGGGGATTCAACACTTCACATCGCTCCGACTTGCTACGCTACGCTCTACTGAGCCCCGGCTCACTCTCCCGGGCGGACCCTCACCTCAACCTAAACGAACTTTGCTACTTCCATTCCACCGCCTTACCCAGCGCTACCCTACCTACTCATACTATTTCGTTGATACACTAGCCACTCCAGGTAGAACTTGCGGGAAGTACGTGTATTTTATTTATCTTTATTATCTTCCCTCGCCCGCCACTTCTACCTCCCTTCTTCTCTTCTTTTCCCCTCACGACTTCACTCCCATTTCCCTCTTCCTCCCTCACCTAATTCATTGCTCGAATTTCTTCGAGTGTGGTGCTGCCACCTGCGTTCGTTCAACGGTGTGGTTGAAGAGTCCCCTGTGAGGCTTGCTGGGAATTTCGACTATCGAGGGCCCTCGCCTCCTTCCTCACCCCATCGTCCCTCGGAAACCTCCAGCTCCTCCAATTTCCTTCGCTATCTCCTAGATTCTACTACATTTTCTACGAATCGCCATGCCGTCCCACCAAGCCGTCGCCGGCGACCTCGCCGTGGACCCTCAGTTCGTCTCCGAGCCTGCTGAGACCAAGAAAGTCCACATCACCGATACCCCGATCACAAAGAGCAACTGGTACAAGCACGTCGACTGGCTCAACGTACGTATTCACTACTCGCTCCCCATTCAATGTTTGGACATTTCGCTGATAACTGTTCTAGTGCTTCTTCATCCTCGGTATACCCGCCCTGGGCTGCGTTGCCGCCTTCTGGACCCCGTTGCAGTGGAAGACCGCCCTCTGGGCAGTCATCTACTACTTCTGGACCGGTCTTGGAATCACCGCCGGATACCATCGTCTCTGGGCCCACAAGTCCTACAGCGCCCGCTTGCCATTGCAGATCTTCCTCGCCGCTGTTGGCGGAGGTGCCGTCGAGGGCTCCATCCGATGGTGGTCTCGTGGACATCGTGCCCATCACCGCTACACCGATACCAACAAGGACCCCTACTCCGTTCGCAAGGGACTTCTCTACAGCCATCTTGGATGGATGGTCATGAAGCAGAACCCCAAGCGCATCGGCCGTAGCGACATCACCGACTTGAACGAGGACCCCGTCGTCATCTGGCAACACAAGCACTACCTCGAGGTCGTTGCCTTCATGGGCTTGATCTTCCCTACTCTCGTTGCTGGCCTCCTGTGGGGAGACTTCCAGGGTGGATTCATCTACGCCGGTATCCTCCGTATCTTCTTCGTCCAGCAGGCTACCTTCTGCGTCAACTCCCTGGCCCATTGGCTCGGAGACCAGCCCTTCGATGACCGTAACAGCCCCAGGGATCACGTCATCACTGCTCTTGTCACTCTCGGTGAGGGCTACCACAACTTCCATCACGAGTTCCCCTCCGACTACCGTAACGCCATCGAGTGGCACCAGTACGACCCCACCAAGTGGTGCATCTGGGTGTGGTCGAAGCTCGGCCTTGCCTACGGCTTGAAGCAGTTCCGTGCCAACGAGATTGAGAAGGGCCGTGTCCAGCAATTGCAGAAGAAGCTTGACCAGAAGCGCTCCCAGCTTGACTGGGGTGTTCCTCTCGAGCAGCTCCCCGTCATTGAGTGGGATGACTTCGTCGAGCAGTCTAACAACGGCCGTGGTCTTGTCTGTATCGCCGGAATCGTACACGACGTCACCGAGTTCATCAACGAGCACCCCGGAGGCCGCGCCCTCATCAAGAGCGGCCTCGGCAAGGATGCCACCGCCATGTTCAACGGAGGTGTCTACTTCCACTCCAACGCTGCTCACAACTTGCTCTCCACCATGCGTGTCGGTCTCATCCGCGGTGGATGCGAGGTCGAGATCTGGAAGCGTGCCCAGAAGGAGAACAAGGACGCCCAATACTCAAAGGATGAATTTGGCAACCCAATCATCCGTGCTGGCAACCAGGTTACCAAGATCCAGCAACCAATTGTCAGCGCGAGTGCGGCATAAGATGTTTCCATTATGATTATTTTCATCAGTTTTGAGCGAGTCTTTGGCGTCTGAAAAAAATGGCATTTCAGCCACGGTGGTGTGCTTTTCCCTCTACAAACATTCATTCCCGGGCGCTTTGGGTTCAAAGGCTCGGTTTTAGACGGCGTAAATCGTATTGTAACTCGACTTACACTCGCAGCCTATATAGTTATATGCCAGTTGAGCTCTGAATCAAAACAATTTGTGGATGGGCTCAATGCAAAATGATATCCAATAACGAAGTCACATCAACTTTCTCATTCACTTAAATCATATATCGCACCTTGCACTGTGACTTTTTTTAATTGGAGTGACAATATGTACAAATAGGCTGGCACCATTGGTGGTCCGTTCCTGCCATAACGAGTAGGCAACAAGCTATGGTAAAGCTGCCTACCCTACTGAAGCTCTTTCCTAACCTGACATCAACTTCAATTCCACGTCAACATCCCAACTCCCACCACTAAATGATTCAAGACACTACAGCATCATTGTGACTGAGCGGGATCACTCCCAAAGACTTTTCGAATCATGGTTCACGAAGGTCCTCCCCGCAAGCGGCAACGCTTGGACTTAGACTCAGACTCAGAACAACAGCCCATGGTCAAGGACAACGTTAATGGCCCAAACAAAGACAGTGCAACGAACGACCAGAGCAAAAAAGCGGTGGATAACAGCCTGCATAGATCCATTAGCCCTCCCAGGTCACGTCGCGTCAGATCCGAGGCTCCAGACGCGCCGGCCAAAGACACTTCGAACGCTGCGGTATTAGAAGACCAAGAGGATCCACAGCCTTTGGTGTCTTCACAAACATCAGTCCCGTTGGCGGAAGCTAAGCCGTTGATCGAAGAAAAGAACAACTCGGTCGTGAAAGATTCACAGTTGATACCATCGCCTGTCCAGCTTACCAAGATTGGTGACCTTGCGCCCCATCAAAATGTCGACACGGTCACTCTACACGACATTCTCGGCGACCCGAAGCTAATAGAATGTTGGAACTTCAATTATTTGTTCGACGTCGATTTTGTGCTTAGGCATTTCGATCCTCGGGTGCGGAATCTCATCCAGCTCAAGATTATCCATGGGTTCTGGAGGAGAGACGATGATAGGAGGCATCGTCTTTACCAAGCTTCAGAGCGTCACCCCAACGTTGAACTCACCAGTGCATATATGCCAGACCCATTTGGCACACATCACTGCAAGATGTTGATTCTGTTCCGAAATGACGGCCAGGCCCAGGTCGTGATCCACACAGCCAACATGATATCTCGAGATTGGGCGAATATGACACAAGCTGTATGGAGATCGCCGCTCCTTCCATTGCTTTCGAATGAAAGCGGAGCTTCTCTAGACAATCAGTCGCAGCTTGAGATCGGGAGTGGTGAGCGCTTCAAATCTGATTTGCTTCGTTATCTTGGTGCGTACGAGAATAGGTTGAAAGAGTTGAGGTCGAAGTTGCAAGAATATGACTTTTCATCCATTCGAGCAGCCTTTATTGCATCTACTCCTTCCCGTGGAAAGCCAGAATCGGCAAGCCCAGCAACTCAAACCTCATGGGGCTGGCCTGGAGTTCGGGAGATTCTGTCCACTATTCCAGTAATGACGAAGTCCGCCTCATCGAAGGACACTAACAACACTCCCACGCCGAATTTGGTTGTTCAGGTGTCGTCGATAGCAACCCTTGGGCAGGCTCCAACATGGCTGGATAATTTTCGCGACGTCCTCTCCACGTCTCCAAACCCGCCGAAGGTTGCCTCGTTCTCGAACGCAGCGAAGGCAGGCTCTCATGCCAAACCCAAGTTCAACATAATCTTTCCCACTGCTGAGGAGATACGCCGCTCTCTTGATGGGTACGGGTCTGGTGCTTCGATCCACACAAAGATTCAAAGCAAAGCCCAACAGAAGCAGCTGGAATACCTTCGCCCGCTCTTCTGCCATTGGAACAATTTCAACGAATTTTCGCAATCCTCGGCTATTTCCCAACCGCAGTCATTGTCAGAAGTGAGGCGAGCAGAGCGTGGGTATGCCGCCCCTCATATCAAAACATACGTAAGGTTTCACGATGAAAGCCAGCAAAAGATCGATTGGGCAATGGTTACGTCTGCGAATCTGTCCAAGCAAGCGTGGGGCGATATCACCAACAAGAAAGGGGAGGTGTGGATCCAGAGTTGGGAAACTGGGGTTATTGTATGGCCAGCACTATTCGGCACCCCCGATAGTCCATGCACGTCAATGATTCCAGTATTTGGGAAGGATACTCCAGAGGTGGAGAGTGTGGAGTCACCCGACCTGATGCAACCTCCTGGACAATCTGAAGATCCTAAACGTGAGAATAGCCAGGACTTAAAGAAGGAGACCCAAGAAGCGAAGCAGTCTTGTGTGGGGTTCAGAATGCCTTACGATCTCCCGCTCAAACATTATGGGGAGTCAGAAGAGCCGTGGTGTGCAACTTCGGCATACACTGAGCCTGATTGGAAAGATCAGGTTTGGAATGGATACTGAACGCTAGACTTATAGCTAGGGGTGATGGCCCGTAAAACATCATGCAGGCAATTGTTGGCTGTATTTGCACTAAGGAATATGTGGATTGAGATTATCAAGCGGTATGTTTGATCAAGATAATCAAAACATCAAGAATATGTCTAGACATTGTCTTCCTGCATTACCAAGAAGACCTGAACGCACTGCTGCATGTAGAACTATCAAGACGCATTTCCTCATCTCAACAATCCAACTACCCGCTTATGCATTGCCTTGAACATCGTGATTCGAACATGCCTGAACTCTGCCTTCCAGCTCTAATCCTTGTGCTTTCCCGCCTCCTGAATACCGATTCAGATGTTTCGTCTCCTCTAAGAGCCGTACTGGGCGATCAGCTTCTCGGCCAACTCGATGTAGTTCTTCTCGGCCTGCTCGGGGGTAACGCCCTCGTCGACGAACTTCTGCCACCTCTCGCGGGTCTTCTTGCCCTGTCATCCCCCAAGGTCGTTAGCATTTCGCATTCACTTTTCCTCCCAAACGAATGGGAGAGGGGTAGGGAGAAAAGGGGTGGGTATAAACTTACCTTGATGTCGAACATGCCGGGCTTAGGCTGGGACTCGATGTCCTTTCCCTCGACGATCTTGGCCCATCCGTACAACTATTTCCCACCGCCAATACTCGTTAGCTTTCCTTCTTCTTATGCCAGGCAGGAATTTTTTTGCCGGCGGGTGGGTTTAGGGGGAATGGGAAGGGATAGGGAAAGGGGGAGAGAGAGCTTACGTCGAGCTGCTCGTCGTTGGAGGGACCGCTCTTGATCTCCCGGGTCTTGGCGTAGACTTCTTGGTACTTTGCGCTTGGCATTTTGGCGATGAAATTATCTCGAAAGCTTGAGATGGGGTATAAAGAAGAGGTTGTGGTGGTTGTGGTGGTTGATTGGAGTTGTTGAGGTGAGGTGTTTTGCTGGGAGAAGAGAGTAGATGATGGCGGGGTGCGTTGCTAAATGCGGGGCTACGTCACTTTTTAGTGTGTTAGGTTCAGGGCAGGGTGAGGTAGGGGTGTTTGGATCAGCTGGTGAATGAATGTCACGCTTTGCGGTTGTAGCCGGTGGCTTTTTCTTGAATTGGTTAAGGGGAGATTCATTTCTAGCTAGCTATGATTTTGTCTGCGAAGGGTGATGGGTATCTTGGTTGGAGGTGTCTAGCTGGGGTTGCGTTGGGGAGCGGAGCTTGGGGGGATATTGGTAGGTAGGTACAAGTCGTGCCGAGCTGGAGAGAGGTAGATTCCATGTGAAAGTCGATGTGTAGATGCTCGTGCCGGCTTCTGGTTGTTGTCTATTCAAGATATCTGTCCTCTAGTCTGTCGTGAGAATTGCTCCGTATTGCCTCATGTGAGGTATAAGCCCAAAGACTTTGAGAGTGGTTTTTCGGGAGATCTCAACCTATTTCGAGTTGATTTGGGAACCTTTTCACGCCGGTATCCTCGGTAGTCTCTCATCGACCAGCGCTCGTGATCGTCCATGATCGCCCAGGTAGATTTTGTGTATGCCGTACTCGACGGACGAAAGTGCCCCCCTTCTTTGTGATCGTACTTTTAGAAGTATTGTACAGCCCAGACGCTTCTTCTTTTTGGGCCATACACCGTGCGGATCTGTTACACGATTGCTCCTGATGCCTGCAGGAGCTCCATTACTGTTCTTGTCCAGTCGAAGACTGATCGAGGTCTGTGTCTCTCTTCCTCTCCTTGCCTCCTCCCGCGGCATGCCTCATTTCAGTTTGACAGTGTCCGTTGTCTTCTCTACTATGGGTATATATTCCGCTAGGCGATTTGGGTCCCTCATGATCGCTAGCACATCCTCCTTGGTGCCTGCGAGAGTCTTCCTCACTACCTCGTACTTCTCCTCCCTCGCAGTGTATTCTCTTATGACTTCTCCCGTAGCGAATTCTACGAAAACCCGGGTATCCCGTATCCGGAAGACAACGTCGTCCAGTCTCATAAAGAACCGCGACAGTAGTAGCAGTCTCGCAGGCATGACTCTGATCTTGCACGACAGCATCGCGATGCCATTGTCGGCAAGCTCGTCCTCGTAAAGCACTACATCATCGAAGAAAAGGATCGGGTCGGGTCGCTTGAGTAGCTCGAGCGGTATGGGCTTCGTGGTCGGCTCGAGTTTGGGGGTATCGGGCGTCGAGCCTTTGTAATCCGTGCTGTAGGACCAGTCGAAAGGCTTGACGACTTCCTTGATGTCTTCGAATTGCTTTTGCCTGGCTCGCGGTCAGAAGGCAACCATTGTAGCAAACGACTAGATATATCTATGGAAGAAACTGGGAGAGGCTGTTCCATGTCGGGCTGGCCCTACCGATTCTGCTGCCACTCTTTGGAGTACGACACCTTCAGCATCGAATCGCCAGTCTTGTCTACGCGATCAAGCGCATCGAATGCGTTGAATTCTATGCGCCAGCCACTTGCAACATGATCAACTCGCGCAAAATTATCCCCGAATATCATCTCTGGCGGTGTAATCCCCAGCTGTTTAGTCATTTCCTCTATTGGTGCAGCCTTCAGGATAGGTAGCTTCTGCGTCGTGATCTTGAATCCATTCTGGGTGATGGAGTTCTCTGCCTCGTGGCCCGGTGCGCGCGTGTCTACGGGTGCGCCGTTGCGGAATGACATTTTCGCCGCGATCTCGAGGTCTTTACAGTAACTCGAGGGGTTTGTGACAAGGAAAGTATTCGAGGTCGTACGCAGCTTCTTGCTCGAATATGTGATGGCTGCGGGGGACGTGGGGGAACGCACGCACGGGCCACGTCTATGGTTGGTGGTGGATGGATCGATTGCCTGGGCAACCAGGTTGTTGTATTGGGTAAACCCAGCTCGAAGCTCAAACTCCTCCACCCCATCAACCTCACACCATCAACGACAACCAGGCGCAGGGCACTCAATCGCCGTCGACAAAACAATCCTTTGATTGTGTTCTCTTCTATTCTCTTATTTTCCTCGAACATAGCTCATTCCTTTGCCCGCATCGCTCGCTCGATTCCTCCCATCAGACAGAATGGAAGTCGCTAACCTTGAAGCCGCCTTTGAGCGCATTACTGTCGTGGACGAGAACGATGACCAGCTGGTGTCGAGCAAAACATATCACAAGTCAAAGGTACTTGATACTTTCTGAATATCTACTTCTTGTGGAAACAGGACTGACGCTCCATGAAGGGCTCCGTATCTACAGCCGTAACGGTGACCAGTCTCTCAGCATCCAATGCTGCAGCCAACCGCATGAAAATGCCATTGCAGAAGCTTGCGACCACCAATGCTGGAAAGATTGTCGGCGCAAACATCACGAAGGTCACTCTTCCGTCTCAGGCAGCCCAGAGTCGACCGGCAGACGACACAGTGGCCAACGCACACCGTCGCACCCTGACTGAGTCCGCCATTATCGTTCAGCCACAGTTAAAACAGTGGCACCTCGGAATGTTTGAAATCGGCAAGCCTCTTGGAAAGGGAAAGTTTGGTCGTGTTTACCTTGCCAAGGAGCGTAGCACTGGCTTCGTCTGCGCTCTCAAGGTCCAGCACAAGGCGGAACTGCAACAGGGCAAAGTCGAGAAGCAGCTCCGACGTGAAATCGAGATCCAGTCAAACCTCGCCCATCCCAACATCGTCCGCCTCTTCGGTCACTTCCACGATGCCAAGCGTATCTTCCTCATCCTCGAGTTCGCCGGTCGAGGAGAGCTCTACAAGCACCTTCGTAAAGAGCAGCGTTTTGCTGAATGGAAGGCTGCACAGTACGTTGCCCAGATGGTCGCAGCGCTGAAGTACCTTCACAAGAAGCACGTGATGCACCGAGATATCAAGCCCGAAAATATCCTTGTCGGTCTACACGGTGAAATCAAGATCTCTGACTTCGGTTGGTCTGTCCATGCCCCTAACAACCGAAGAAAGACAATGTGCGGAACTCTTGATTACCTTCCCCCGGAGATGTTGCGTGGAGGCGGTGGAGACAACTTCTACACCGAGAAGGTCGATTTGTGGAGTTTGGGTGTTTTGACCTACGAGTTCCTTGTCGGCGAAGCCCCGTTCGAGGACACGCAAGTCATGACACAGAGGAAGATTGCACGAGGGGATTACACTGTACCCAGCTTTGTCAGCCCAGAGGCTAGGGATCTCATCAAGAGAGTAAGTTGTACTCACAATGCCTCTAATCGACTGCCACTAATTCGAATTGCAGCTGCTCGTTCTAGACCCAGAAAAGCGCATCGCTCTTGAGGATATCGAGAGACATCCTTGGATCGTCAAGCACTGCAAAGGCAGCGAGCGTGCTTACGATCGCGCCTCGGGGGGCAAGTTCCGCGGCAGCTCTGAGCGTGATAGCTGAGCGTCATCCTTGGGCGGGCGATACGTGATCTGGATTCTGAATGTTGTTTGATATATGCAAGGGTTGGAGTAGATTCGGCGTAAAACAAAGGGGGTTTTGATGATTTTGGGCATTGCAAGCAAGCGCATGGTTTGGAGTTTTTGGGGTTTGGCAATATCTCTATATCGAAGTGTTCGGTTTAGTGATGACAACGATTGGGTACATACCAACAATGACTATTTCAAATATTCATATGCATGTCCCTTGAGAGAATGACAATCAAATAGACTGACGTTGCGTAGATGCTATCTGTCAGGGAAGGTGTATGAGATGTTAACCAATATAGGTCAGCATCGTCCCTACTAAGGAAGATCACCATCTTACTCGGCGAGATTTACGACTCGAGCCAAAGCTTTCGAGGCCACAAGGAAGAATATCTCCGACTCGGAAAAGCCAGCAATCATCCAATCGCATCAAACCAGGCATGGAAGAAAGGAGTGCTCACTGTCCATTCCTAAAGGAAATCTGACAAGTGCGAATCACACAAATGAATATACCTCTCCCAGTCACTACTGAGAGCTCCTCAAGTCTCGCGATGGGAAATATAAGCCGCACACAATGACCATTCTACACAGCGGCTTCATTTCCAGGTCTTTCACTGTCTATCAAGGTATGACATCCCACATCAATCTCTCTCAGATAACACCCAAGGCGCCTCCAGCATACACTATGCACCCCAGCTAGTACTTTACATTGCTCTTCGCATTGCCATATACCCTCCTCTCTTCAAGTCGATCTTGGTTTCGAAAACGCATCTACCTGTTGAGTTCCATGTGCAATTGTTTTACATGAGCTGTAATTGAAACGAGAGATAAAAAATCTACAAAGAGCTTCACTTCTAATATAGCTACTAGATTGAAACGATGACGATTGCTAGAATTGTGGTTACATCATTTACGCCGCCTTGTCTCCAGGTTCTTTTACTCTTGGACAAATGGATTGAGGTACGGAAAACAGATATACTCGTGAAAATCCACCATCTCATGTTTCGTGTAGTACAGTAACGAATTGAGCACGACAAAGTCGGTCGTGGATCTGGGGAGATTGATGATCCACATTCCTGCTCTGAAACGAGACGTCACACAGGGGAAAGAAACTAGACGATTGATACGAGTACGACACCGCGAGGGGGAGTGAGGACATCACGCGAAACCTTGGAAAGGGAGGGTTCTCTTCATACCTTGCTTTGCCTCGCCTCGCTCTGTGCTTTACGTCCCCCGTAAAGTATGGAGTATGTATTTACTAGTACTCCGTACGGAGTACAATGAATAGACATGGAAACTTAAAGACTGTATGTACGGCACGCTACGTGCGTACCTACATACGAGTAAATATGGGTGTGGTTAGAGGTAACGAAAGTCTCACGAGCATCCGTTCAGTTCCGATACTTTCGTTTTGCACGATCTGATCCTTGATCATGTTCTATAACTAAATTACACATATCAGTGTTCTACTTATCGGTATTATACAATGATGGCTGGGTGGAATGCAGTGGGAAGGAGGTCTCGTGACAGTTTTCCTCGTTTCGAAATATCATTGCTATGATCAAAGACTGAAGATCGAGGATTGGGCTGCTCTTGAAAGATGGCTAAGAACAATAGAGAGGAGAGGATAGCAAAAGCTCACATCTCTACTATCATCACGATCACTGACCCATTCCCGTTTCACTGCATGTCGAATCTTGAGGAGATGATTACCCTTTCCCCTCAAGAGTGCTCAACAGGTTTCGGAAACAGATCTTGCCATGGACACGATGACGATAGTCAATCACATTAATTTCAACGTGTGGGTAAACAACGATGATTCGCTCATACATAGCAGTACGCGCGGTAGCGCCAGTGGGCCTGAAGTACGCAGTTATGTACCTCGTAGCTCATGTGGAGTCTGACCGGAAACCTGCCATCGTTGAAGGAGGAGGCTGGGAATTGTTTTCAACGTGGGAAAAGCTGGGTATACACATCAAATCGCATGCACGAATGCCATGCCATCTCAGGAAACCGTGTCGACGGTGGGGTGGGTTTGTACGAATGTGACATACATGCACGCAAGACGACGTTCGATGGATACCTTTCCGAAGTGGGGGGTGAGAGGTCGGAACTAGAGTCTGATATCCCAACTTGCCTGCGCTGCGCCTCAACACAATAATGGATCCCTACAATCCAAATGCACCATTCTGGATCCGCAAGTTCGGAGCGCTTTCGAGCATTGTGTTCGTGGGAGGGGAGGGGAGGCTCCATACACTAGAACAGACAGACAGACAGACAGGCGGACGGAAAGACGTTGGGGGTGGGTGGTGCTAGGCCACATCATCTGAACATCGTGATCTAAACATCGTCATTTCCTGTTTCGTTAGTTTCCTTTTAGTTCTGTTACTTCCCTAGTTCTCGATCCATTGTTGTTCCAGGTTTCTTGTATGCTAGAAATCCTGCCTCATGTGTGACCACCTAACTATGGTGAAATCGAAAATTACAATGTGCATAGTTAGTCAATTACAACAAGCCATGTAGTACCTAGTACTGTGTGTGGCACAGCGGTACCGAGTAATCTGTATGCCCCCCGTTCCGATATCCGTACCAAGAACTCGATACCAAGACAGACAAGCCGGAATTCGCGTTCCCACAAACGTCGTGCAGATATCAGCCTACAAGTTTCTCAAACTTGTAACTCTGGGGACTTGCAGCTTGCTCCATACATGACGCCACACACACATGGGAGGAATGCGTAATTAACTACATGGCTAGGATGGGCGGTGCGTCATCCCCTTTCCGAGAGATCCAGACCTTGGAAGAGGAGGTTAAGACGACAGCTGAGATGTGGAGTACCATTTTGTGGAGGTGTGAGCTTATCCGGGTGGGTTCGTAACCTCGTAGTTCGAGTTTCCGTAGTTATCAGAGTTGAAGGGCAATGCAATATTGTAACGGCAAAGCTGTGCGGTTCGTTAAACATTATTGCGGTCTTTTGTGCCGAAGCGGGAGTGAGGTTCGGAATAGGCAGGAATGACGTTTCCGGCCTAGGTTGGGTTTCCCTGTTCGTGTGTTTGGGCGGCGCGCGCGCGCGACGCACTCCCGCGGACATGCTTGAGTGGGGTTGATGTGTGTGGGACTTTGGGGGGGTCGTGTGAACGGCTTGTGCGAACTTGAATAATCATGTGAAAGTTTGAGTATACGGATAGGTTGATAGATTTTGAATCCTTTGATAATCAAACTGTTTCAATTTTGGGCTACTCCTTGCGCCTGATCACTGTTGGCTATCTAGGTACCTAGGTAAATCATGCGCGAGTTTGTTGTGGGATTGAGGAGAGGGGGAGGCGGAGAAATGCCTCATGTGTGAGGGAAATAACGGATTCCCCTCTTCCCTTTCCTGGAAGGATGACAGTATCCAGACTGATTGGATCCTTCTAACGATGACGGGAACATCGTAGGAACAAAGCCCAGAAGAGAGAAGCAAATCCAAAGTTCCCAGCGAAGAAATGTGATGAATCTGCATCAGAATTGCTCCTCCCAATGCATACTCAAATGGAAGGAAACACATTTGAAGCAAATGGTAGAAAAACGCCCTGTAAATGAACAAATCCAAAGAAACACCTCGTAACCCAACAAATAAAACTCATAAGCATCATAAAATCATGTTTTCCTCCTCTTTCATCGTTCTTCCTGTTCATAAAAAGTCCGCCGTTGGTTCCGGTGCCGCGGAGGGAGACAAACAAAAGGAACAACCCCGCCAATAGTGGCGCGTATTCCGCACGGGTACTATGACGAGTTGTCGTTTCCGGCGACATCCATAGCTACGATGCCCATTCTTTGGCCCCTCCTTTGAAGTTCGAACCATCCATCTTTAGGTCCTGAGACCTACGCGGCGGGTGAGGAGTCTCGCGTTGGCGACCCTCGATCTCAGATGCCTCCAGTTCTGCTCGCGCTCAGTCCAGTCAACCATCTGACCCATCATGAACTCCCAGCCCCTGCTCTCGTGCCGCGTGGTCTCCTCCTCGTACAGACACATCTCGCGGTAGACGCGCTGGGCCCGGGCGCGCCGGGCGGCGTCCTCGCCGACGAGATACGGGTCCTCGAGGGGGTTCACTGAGCCCGAGGGGCCGCCAAGGGATACGGGGTAGGCTTGTGTGCTCACATTTGTGGAGGACGCATTCGGGGATCCCTCCCGCGAGTCCCTGAGCGCCAGGTTGGTCGTGGAGGACCCCACGGTGAAGGAATTGAGGATCACGTTGGTGTTGGCCGCTGCGTTTGCGCGGCGCCGGGCCACGGCCAGGTATTGTCGGCTGTTGACGTTGGAGGTCACGCTCCTCCAGCTGTTGGTGTAGAGGACGGGCACTTGAGATCCTGGGACGGCGCTTCCGCGGGACGGGAAGTTTGATATGTCTGGTAGGCCTGGGGTACGTTCATTCGCGGTGGAGGGAGGCAGAAGCGAGGAGATCATGTTGTTATGGCGCTGGGTCGGGATGGTTGTGTAGGTGGGCGTTTCAGAGACATACGAGGGAGCATTGTTACTGTAGATGGAGGCGGCATCAGGGTCCTCGCGGGAGTATAGAGGAAGGGGGTCCACCTCCCAGGGCGTCCTTGTGAGGTTGCAAGTCATGGCTGCGGTGAAGAGGTAGAACCAGTATGGGTGTTTGGCTGATGCTGATCCAATATATTGCTATGGAAGCCGAGGCGCACGTTGGTCCAAAAGTTTATACTATATGGTGAGGGTTGAGACAGCTGTGGACAGGGAGTCTGGCACGGAGAGAGAGGGGGATCATATAGTTTGAATATAAACGTCAAGTAGGCACGCGAGCAACGAGGGGGCGCGGATACACTAGGGAGGAAGAGGACTTGAGATATGCGCCCACCAAGGGGGGAGTAGAAAATGGCTCAGATTGTGAGAGCACGAAGTTAACTTGGGAAGTGAGGGTTAGGAAGAGGAGGAGGAGAGTGTAGAAGAAGAAGAAGAAGAAGAAGAAGTGGAAGACAGACAGGGAGGAAGATGGCGCAGCATTCTTCTTTAAGGCATTATCGTTAAAGTGGATAAAAGGTATCTATAAGTAGGGGCATGGGTACAAGTGTGTGTGAAGGGGATGCGGAAGTGGATGTGGATGTGGATGTGTGGAAGTGGACTCATGGGAGCTGGAACCTCATGCGGGATCAGGAACCCAAGGAGCCGGTAGCGTGAGAGTCGTCGGTTCGGTAGCCATTACGCCTACAATCCATACTTGTACGATACATACCTTGTAACCTGTAGACTTCAGACTGTACCTTGATTCGACAAAGGTCTACGGTGCGCTCCGAACATTCTCACACACTACGAGGTACATACTAGAGTGCATACTAGGTATCTGCAGGCTACACCGCACTTGTAGCATGTCAGGTCCCAAGGCCAAGAGGACAAGTCGAGGCGCGGGAGTTGGATATGCTTGATTGAGTGGTGGGATTAGAGTGCAATAGAGTTGCCTCACCTAGTTGCCCACATGGCCATGCATATTGTGTACTTCATCCTGCATCCTGCAATGCTGCGCTTGCACCTTGGCCTATTCTGTCCCAGCCTTTTCTGTTTCCGTCCGGGTCTTGGTCTTGGGCATTACAAGCGTTTATGATGATGCCGATTCTGGGACACTGGGCCGGCCCAGAAGGATGATTCATACTCGTAGCTCGTAGAGGGGGGAATCAGAGACAATGGGTGGAGAGAAGTGGAGGGGGAGAGAGGGGGGAAGAGCGGGATGACGATTAAGAGGGGGTTGGCACCATCATACCCAGTACACACTATGTTGACGCTACACAAGTTAGAGTGATACATACAAACATGGTCCCATTTACTCGTAAGCTTTCGTATCTAGGTACTCGGCACACAGACACAGACACAGACACAGACAAAAAGACACCTGAACAGACATACGCAGTCATCACAATAATGTGTTTACATGTCAATTTGTAATATGTATGAGAAGTACGAGTAACAAGGATGGCACATACATTGTAGCATACCATAGTCAAGCATAGTCTCAAGGTAACTGTATGTAGTCAATAGTCAGTCTATCGATAGGATCCATCTATCGATAAGCATACTCCATAGATACGAGCAATAATCACGGCAATGCCACAAACGGAAATATGTAGAAAAGCATAGACAACAACAACGCTCATCCCAATTACAACTACGATTGTCTATGTCCACACACATCAAACAACATTTCCACTATCTTTACGTGCGGAGTACAGAGTATCAACCACCACCACTCAAGACACAACACCCACCACATCAACAGCCTCGGTCAGACGTCCCGGCCAGGCTCTCCCTCCCCCTCTCCCCCAGTCCGCAGTCAACTAAACGAGAACACTCTAGAACACCTCCCACCATTCTCTCCCCAAGCCACAAATGCGCACCTTATGACCTGCCTAATACGCCCACCACACACCATCCATGTCCAGTCCCCGTCGAACATTTCGGCTCGTCCCTTTCGTTCTTTACAAGGGCATACATGGACATACGGGATACTTATCCATCTGACACACACGCACCCTTCCCTTCCCTCGCCCCCATTGTAAACCCATGATTGCGGGCCGGGTATGATACGAGGGGAGGGGATGGGTGCGATGTTGTCGGGCCTGTCCGTTCGTCCGCGGGGGTACTCCGTACTGTACTTGTCTACTCTACTCAACTCATTTAGACTATTGTCGTCGTAGCAGCGAGGTCGGGAGTGTATGACTCGCTTCGTCGTTCGTTGGACTCGGGGTAGTGTTTGCGGGTTTTCCCTCGGCTTTGTGTGCGGCTGTTCGTTTGGAAGGGGAGGTAAGGTAAGGTATGGTAGGTAGCTTACTAGTCACCGTGAGAAGACGTACGGCGTGATGTTGTTTGTTTTCACTACCAGCTTGTAGATACTGTAAAGAGTACGTACGAGGACTTGTAGAACACAAGACCTTTATCCAATGAGCTGCAGCGAGCAAGGTGGGTAGGCTGGGACCCTGCATCGTATTTCGTTGCACGTTGTGTAGTCATTCGTCTTTCTCGAGATTGGTGGTTGGTGCCTTGCATGCGTGCTGATACTCTCCTCCTTCTCTTCCCCTGTAGCTATGGAGTATAGTTTTAGAATGATCACGCACGCATCTTTCAAGGATGGAAAGGAAGTTGCAACATTTTTTGAAACTTTCATATCATTTCGGTTCATGGTTATCTTCGACATACACACAAGTAAGTAGAAAGAAAGAGGAGGATAGAAAAGAAAACATTCATTATTTACCGTGTCGTATTTGTGATCGTGAAGGGAAGAGACACATACACAGAGACAGCGAGAGACAGAGAAAGAGAAAAGAGGAATAAATACCCGCCTCCCCTTTCTCCCTTCTGCATCAGAGAACAGGAGCGATAGGGGAGGGAAAAGAAAACGAGTGTGTTTTCGAAAGAAAGAAAGGAGTAAGGAAAAGCAAGAAATTCATTATGAAGAGCCAAAATGGGGGTATTCTGCTTTGCCATTGCCCAGAACAAGATCCGCCTGAAATAAAAAGAGAGAAAAACGCCTTTTACCCCCCACAGCCGAAGCCGTGTTTGTGCGCGTGAGCGCGTTGTTTGTGTATGTATATGTGACGACGGAACGGCATGATGAGTTGCTTTTTTGCCGTCAAGTCTTCGGCATTCATGCCAGACGTAAGGCAAAATAAGAAGTGTGTATGTATGTGTATGCGTGCATGGGGGCAACTCAAACCCTTCAGCCATATCGATACATCGTTTCAAGGGATGGATGTTGTGCAGCGCCAAGTCGTGGTCGTGGTGGGTATGACCTGGTCACGCTCTGTTATCTGCCTCCCCACGGTGGAACAACAGCAACATTGCAACCACGCAATCCAATCCTATCGTCGCCCCTATCTGCGCGCATCCACCTCGTCTTCGAAATCCATGCCACCATAGTCTTCCACTTCGAATCGGCTACCCAGAGCCTCACGTGCCTCCTTGAGCATCGCGCTCATCTGAGAGTTCATTCTGCGCATCCGAGCATCATCCTCGAGCTTCTCCCGCCGCATTTTGTTGACGATGCGTTGGCTGCCAGGTGGTAGGGGGCTCTTCTTGCTCCCGTTCGATTCCTTGGGGACAGCAGGGGAGCCGAGGCTTTGTCGACCATACGATCGGTTCCTCTTGTGTCCTTTCTCAGATGTAGACAACGGGCTTTGGTATGCCTTCCTCTCCACAGTAGACCGCCTCGACACAGGAATCAGAGACGGTCGCTTTGGAGTGCTGCTGCACATGCTAGTCCTTGAGGCAGGACGAGGGATGTGGGAGGGTGACCGCTTGTGCGTCGATACTCGTCGGTCGGATAGCCCAGGGGTTGATGGCCTCGACTCCATATCTAGCTCAGTGCCCACCACAATCCAGTTATCGCCAGTACGTTGGCGCTTGGCCATTCGAGGTCGTTCGTGGTGATGTTCCTGGTGATACTCTTTATCCAACGACTCCACGGACAGAACTCCGTAATTGTCTTCCGGAAATTCTCCAGGTAGAGGGCCTTGCACTGCTTCCTTCTCCGTGAATGAGTCCTCCTCTTGATGCTTGTGGGTGATATCTCCTTGTGCAGTGAATGTGTATGCCTGTCCTCCACCAGCTTGGAACCCTCGAAAGGGCACTGAGCAGAACTGAACGAGCTTTCCTGCAACGCCACCGACGATGTTCAATATCTGATTAAACATCCATGGCTTGCTCGTAGTCGTGCTTGCAGGTGTCATGGGTGCTGACCACATCCCTCGCTGCTGCTGGAGCTGGAAGTACTCGTCATGGTCTGCATTTTGCCGTGCGAATAGATCTGGTCTTTCCATTCCTCCTCTTGCGAGCTCGTATCGGTCGTTTGCGAGCGGTGGTGGACTTGTTGCAGTTGAATAACGGGAGTCCTCCAGCACGTTGTTCGACCATGCATCTGCGTTGCTTCCCTGGGAGGTCGAGATGGTGCGCTTTCGGGTCCCGTGGACATCTGAGTTGATCATTCGGCCAGGTGTTTCACCTGCGATCGGAAATTGAAGCGTCGGCGCGAACATATCTGTTCGAGGGTCTGAACCATGTCTGAACGATTGTGGGGTAAAAAGGCCAGGCATGTTGAGTTGTAGGTGTGAGGCGCTCGCCATACGGAGGTCTGAAGGGTGCCTGCGGTTATGGTCGGGGTCGAGGTCGATATGTAGTTTACTAACCAAACCAACGATTTCCGGTAACCGGTTGCTGGTTCCTGTGTATCAATCAAGGACAACGACCAAGCTCCAAAAGAGAGCGATCGAGGAAAGTGAGCCAAAGCAAGAGGAAAACAATTGTTGCAAGGCTGTCAAGGCGGTGTGGGTGGATTGTAGCAGAAAAGCAGCGTGGCAGGTGGATGTCGGTGAGGGCAACGACAACAAACGGACGGACAATCGGCGTTCGCTAGGGAACACACCTCCCGCTCTGGGTTGGTACCACATCACGTGATGCCTTGACAACGCATCCAACGCAGACATCTCGAGTTGTTGAGAAAAAACTTTTAAACTTCCCTTAAGTACATGTCCAGCAAGTCATTATTTCTATATAGGAAAGTGGGGATCTCTTCAAATGCATCTGAATGGTTTGAGTGTGCACGCTTGCTTGGTTGGCGCACAAGTTGACAGTGCGCTGTACTTCACGATTGCCCAACTAGGACGTGCTTAGGCATGTAGAATTATCAAAGTCCGATCTGAAGATATTTCTCACGAGAACATTGCACGATACTGGCACATCTGTAGAACAAATGCTTGACTTGAATTGGTGGGAGATCTCTCGCCGCTGGGTATCCATATAAATCATCAGTACAACGCCGGCCCATTGAAACCCAACAGCTCCGTAGAATGATACTCGAATTCCTACACGGTGCTGGCTTCCTCTATGCCCTCGCTATCCATCCACTGTGGACAAAGAAATCAAACAACTGGCCTCCTTTGTTCACGTCTATTTTACAGATCTCCCTCGCCACCTTCTTTTTCAAGGATCCGCCTTGCTTCAATGCTTCGCGGATCATGTTCTCCTTTATAGCTAGGTATGGTTTGGGCATTATTCGAAGGACGCTGCACACTTCGCGTTCCTCTGGAGTTAGAAGCTGGAGATCCGAAGCAACCTCCTTGCCAAACTTCAACGGAACGGTGTTGGGCAGTGGACGTGTGGTAAATTTGATCTTCGAGTGCTGGGGTGTCAATACGCCATTAACTCCATTCGGTGCACGGTCAGGTGGGGGAGTTGAGAGCCCCCCATTCTTTAGACGTTCCGGTAGCTCAGGAGCCGTTAGAGCAGTTGCTGCCGACGCAGTCTCGAAAGGAGGAGTTGGCTTTGCCATCCTGTTCGATGCAAGGCGGTCAAATTGGCCAATGGGAGGACCGCGTGCTTGTCGGTTTTGTTTGTCGTGCTCGTACTTTTCGCCCTCCTTCAGTGTGCTAATCCGATTGTTCCTCCAATCTTGAAGCTGTGCAATGGCCTGCCGTAAATTGTGTTCATAGGTAAGCCCTTCGCAAAATTTCTGGAAATCATCGTGCTTCATCATCCTAGCAAATGGTTTGGCCTTGTTGAGCAGATCTCGTTCCTCCTTGGTACGTTTCTTATCTGCCGCAGCGTTTTTCCTATACTCCAGCAACTTGTGTTCGAATATGATCTTCTTTCGCTCCACTCTGGCATCCAGACGGGAGTTGTAGATTTCCATCACTGTCATTTTCAACTCCATCTCCGGCTCCATCTCTCCGGTTCGTGGGTTGACACCATCGCCCGGTTCAAACTGCATGTGTTGCACGGCCTCTTCCGCTTCGTTGAAATACTCAGTCTCGAACTCCAATCGGCCTGGCATATATCCTTGGACTTCATGGCAGGCGGGAACACTGGCTGTCGGCTTCTGCTTTGGCGTGGCGGGTGGTGCATTTTTGGCTGCTTCCTTCCTCTCCTCTATCCTCCTCTTTTTCCTTTGCTGAAATTCCTCACGCGGTACCCGTTCACAGAGTTCTTTATTCTCAATACTGCAGTGTTCGGGCAGAGGGAAGCTGGAGCTATCAAGATACGTGCTGATATAATGCTCCTTGACTTCGTCCTTCGATCGATAGCCACCGATGTGATCGGCTATATCCGCCCATGATCCTAATCCGTATGTTTCTGCACCCTCAAGTAGCGCCAATTCCTCGTCGGCACCCCAATCCTCGGTGAATATGGGGATCGAATGTTGTTCAATGACTTGGTAGGCATGGTTTCGGGGGTCATGTTCGCGGGCGCTCTTTCCTTCCGAAAAGCAGGTCACACAGAGATCGAAATCCTGACAGGCATTGTTGGCGCATCGGATGCGAACCTACGGGGCGGGTCAGTACATTCGCGAAATGTGCGCGTTTGTCCGGGCGGAGCGTTACTCACGGTCGAAGTGACGTCTGATCCACAAACATCGCAGACATACTTCACACCTCCTTCGTTGCCACGTGCCGTGGTCTTTTTCTTGATGAGACCCATGGTTCACAGACAGCTGCGAGGGTCAACAGCCCCGGGTCGGCACCAGAGTGGAAAGGAAGGGAAGAGTGTGGCTGTGTCGGGCGGATAGAACAGAGAGGGATGCGAGAATACGCGCAGTTTGATCTGCAACGTAGCGGTGTTGAAATCGGCCAGGGAGGCCGTCCAAGAATAGCCGGATTCGTTCGTCGCGTCAATGTAGGAAATACCTATGCCAAAGCTACCGTTATGGTCAGTATGAGTGCAGTTTTCGAGTAGGCCGATGAACGTGTGCGTATGTGATGATGGAAGAAGAGTAACGGGTAGTCGCACTGGTGAGTGGTGGTGGTGATGGCTTGGCAGGTGAGGTGCAAGGTTGTCTAGGATGTTTAGGTCCCTAGGATGCGCCCGCAATTCGCGGTCTACAGCCGAGGAGGCACGTTGTCTCGACTCTCGACATCAAACGACAGGGTGTGGAAGGGGAGTTTTAAAGATCGTATTTGGCGTAAAGGAGTAGGATGAAATGAATAAGTTCCAAGTTGAGGTAATTGCAGCCGAGGCAACAAGCCACGGTAGTGTTCAAGTGTACTCCATAAGTACCTCTTCTGTAGGAGGATACTGTTTAGGTACTTCTGAGTTGTAGATTCTTGGTTACTCATACACTAGCCCAAGGAGATACCGATCATGATTATGCATTAACGAATATACGGATCATTTCATTATGAGGATTGAAAGTTCCTAGGTACGAACAGGATAGACAATTAGAAGAACTGTAACTTGGGCAGACGGCACCCGTACAGAACAAGGGAAAACACGAGGGTGGGTTGTTTCAGCTATTAATGAGATGAGTGTCTGTCCTACTCATGTTGCATGTAGTTACATGCATATACACGGTATGTAATTAGTAATTAAAGTACGGAGTGATTGCCTATGACTCCATGAGTAGTAACAGTATCATCCTTACAGGAGGAGTTACTGGTAATAGTTACTGTTGTTATTGTTATTGTTGTTGTTGATCGTTGATTTGTACTGTCTCTGTCATTACTTATATTCGTAATACTCAGGATGGGCCACCACCCCTCTTTCACTCCCCATCCTTGGCGTCCAGTCGACCAATGAACCATCCTGATACGCAAATTCAAGGACTTTGCCTTCACTATTCAACTCAACCCAAATCCACCATCCGCCATCCGCCATCCCCATCCACTCACCACTCATCCACACAATCCACTCATCCATCCACCGCCACTGTGTGCTCTTCTTCTACTACCTCCACATATACTTTCTCCCCTTTCTCTCTCTCCCTTCTCCATTCACCATCCATATATATCACTCACCTATCCTACACCGTCACCTTTACTCTTGTTATCGTCACTGACTTACTACCGCTTTCCTGCGTTGTTTGGTCCGCCGCTTCTTGATACCCTTGTTGCGCGCCCGCTCGGTAGACCTCCCTCAACCCCCCCCCCCACCGCCGTTTCCCTTCAGGCTTCCCACACGGTCATACAACCACATACCCCCCCTAACACCTAACAACGTTCCTCGCCTCCACTCACCCACTCACATCCGTCTGCGTTTCCCACTCCTTCTAGTCCTCCTCCGCCGCAACCATGTCTTGGAAGCTCACCAAAAGTATGTCTACTCTCCTAAACACTGCGAATATAACCTAGGAATCTTGACTCTCCACTCGAATCCGTCCTTTTTAACACTTCATAGAGCTTAAGGAGACCCACCTTGCTCCTCTTGCAAACACCTTCAGTCGCTCGTCTTCCACATCCACAATCGTCGGCGATGGCACATCCAAGAGCTCGGGCTCTAGCACATCGAGCAGCACAACTCTCGTAGACTCAAAAGATCCTCAGGGCATTGGTGCGTATACCGCGGCGCCGTCTCAGTTTGCACCTTCACCCATGTACTAACTTGCTCAGCTGCCTCCGAGACAAGCGCCGCCGCTCCTGCCCCGCCGCTCAAGCCTGGAATTCTTATAGTCACATTGCATGAAGGAAAGGGTTTCTCCTTGCCAGCAGGCTCTGAGCATGCCTTCACAGGTGGTCACCACCAGGGCTCGCTCTCCACTGGTGGTGGCTTCTCTGTTGCAGGGTCCATGCGACCCAACTCCTCATCCCGCAATCAGGTTGCAGGCTCGTATAGTGCGAACCGACCACAGTCCGCTGCTGGCAGCATAAACGCCGTTCCTACGAACCACGGAAGATACTCCTCCAAGCATCTGCCTTATGCCCTTGTAGATTTCGACAAGCAACAAGTCTTCATCAACGCCGTGTCTGGCAACCCAGAGAACCCATTGTGGGCAGGTGGCAATACCCAATACAAGTTCGATGTTTCCAGGATAACTGAGCTCACGATTTCTGTCTACGTCCGAAACCCCCAGGCATCCCCCAATGCTGGACGGAGCGAGGATATTTTCATTGGTACTTGCAAGGTCAACCCGCGATTCGAGGAGCACTCCGACGATCCGAGGGCACCAAAGAAAGAGAAGGACAAGTCGGCTGCGGAAGGCCAGATTGGCGCCGAGTGGATTGACATTGCATATGGAACTGGGTCCATGAAGATCGGTGTCAATTTCGTCGAGAATAGACAAGACCGCTTGTCGATTGAGGATTTTGATCTCCTCAAGGTGGTCGGCAAAGGTAGCTTCGGCAAGGTCATGCAGGTCATGTACGTGTGCATCACTGGACTTTTTAGACCTCTCACAGGACTAACATTCGTAGGAAACGTGATACCCACCGTATTTATGCTTTGAAGACGATTCGCAAGGCACACATTATCTCCCGTTCTGAAGTCGCACATACCCTCGCAGAGCGATCGGTTCTAGCACAGATTAACAACCCCTTCATCGTTCCCCTCAAGTTCTCATTCCAATCCCCCGAGAAGCTCTACCTTGTCCTAGCTTTCGTCAACGGTGGTGAGCTCTTCCACCATCTCCAGAAGGAGCAACGTTTCGATATCAATCGGGCCCGATTTTATGCAGCAGAACTCCTCTGCGCGTTGGAATGCCTTCACGGTTTCAATGTCATCTACCGCGACCTTAAGCCAGAGAACATCCTACTCGACTACACTGGCCATATTGCACTTTGCGACTTCGGTCTTTGCAAGCTTGACATGAAGGATGAGGATCGAACAAACAGTACGCAGCAACTCGCTCCCATATTGACATGTTGATCCACTTTACTAACTTGCGTCCAGCTTTCTGTGGAACACCCGAATATCTCGCTCCTGAGCTGCTCACGGGTGCAGGCTACACGAAGACTGTGGATTGGTGGACCCTGGGTGTGCTCCTGTATGAGATGCTTACGGGACTGCCACCATTCTACGACGAGAACACCAACGACATGTACCGCAAGATTCTGACCGAGCCTCTCCACTTCCCGGGTCCAGAGATCGTCCCTCCTGCGGCGCGCGACCTATTGACTCGCCTGCTTGACCGCAATGCAGAGAAGCGATTGGGAGCAAAGGGTGCCGCAGAGATCAAGGCACATTACTTCTTCCACAGCATCGATTGGCGAAAGCTGTTGGAGCGCAAGTACGAACCTAGCTTCAAACCCAATGTGGTTCGTAACCCCTCTGAGCCTTCATTCCTGTCCTATGTTCTAACTTTGTACACAGCTTGACGCCAAGGATACTGCGAACTTCGACCGTGAATTTACGTCAGAAGCCCCTACAGATTCATACGTCGATGGGCCAATGCTGTCTCAGACAATGCAGAAGCAGTTCGCGGGATGGTCATACAACAGGCCGGTCGCGGGTCTTGGAGATGCTGGAGGATCCGTCAAGGACCCGTCCTTCGAGGGTGTTGCTGAGCGATAGAGGGTACGGATTGTCGTAAATATGGGCATCTGGGAGCCACGATACCGTGGTCAAAATTCTTTCCCAGAAGCCAGCACCGAATCTATTAGCGAACAAACAGGACGTCACGACGATGGCAACGTCATCTTCCCATGCTCACATTTCGGGTTTGGAATCTGACTACATAAGACCTTGTCTCTTCTGAGTTGGACAACGAATATGGGACTAGTACTTTAGCTTACGTTTCGGAGCATAAGGCTCCGCAATCATGGATTAGGCGTATGAGGCAGCATTTGTTAGAGAGCTCTACTCTTGATGAAAACAAATGGAGAAGACATACTAGGACTCTTTGAGACGAGACATTGCGAATTGAGCGTGACTGAAATTGCGAAACAGATGGAGTGCAGAGCCTGAGGGACGGCTTAGTGATGCGTCTAGCTGCTTTGTCGTGCTTGATAACCAACCGTAGAAGAGCGTGCCGCCAAACTCTCCACGATAGCTCGCCTGGTCGCTTAGTCGTGCATTGGAGAGATGAGATGATGGTGGTTGTTGTTTGGTGCTATTGGTGTTATTGGCATTACTGTGCTACTTGGGGTGCAAAGCGTCCAATGCGACGATGCGTACTCATGGTGTGCCCCTCCTTCCTGTGACGTTTTTGGTTCCTTCCCATTACCCCCACCCCCAACACCTGTGACCTAAGTCGGCCTGGCCCTGAGACGACCTGGTTACTTAAAGTTCTTTAATAATCCAATTGCCCCATCCCCGTGGAAACCCTGTAACTTCTTCCCCGTCTCCAGTTCTACAAGTGGTATTCATTTCCTCTTTTAAAGCTCCCTCTCTTCCCATTCTCCCCTTCTTCTCCCATCAAACTACCTTACTCTTCCATTCAACAAAACACCTCCTCTCACCTTCAATTGCTCCCTAATTGCACCTTACAGCGTCAGCTGTTCATCTACATCACCTTTCCATAGCTGTTTGTGTACCCCTCACTCCCCTCCCCTCCCCTCCCCTACTAAACCCCTCATCATAGAATCACCCCACAAACTTTCACACAATGCCCGGTTTCTCGCAGGCTTCGGACCTCCCGGCCTGGAAGGCCCTCCAAGAGCATCACAAGACGCTCGGAAAGGACATTGTGTTGAAGGAGTATTTCCAGAAGGACCCACAGCGCTTCGAGAAGTTCTCCTACACTTTCACCAATGAAGCGGACAAATCGGAAACCCTCTTCGATTTCTCCAAGAACTTCATCGATGATGAGACCCTCAAGCTTCTCGTCCAGTTGGCCAAGGAGGCCAACCTAGAGGAGCTTCGTGACCAGATGTTCGCCGGTGAGAAGATCAACTTCACCGAGGACCGTGCTGTGTACCATGTTGCTCTCCGCAACACCTCCAACCAGCCGCTGCAGGTCAACGGCAAGAGCGTTGTTGAGGATGTCAACAGCGTCTTGGATCACATGAAGGAGTTCTCCGAGCAGGTCCGCAGCGGAGAGTGGAAGGGTTACACTGGCAAGCCCATCAACAACATCATCAACATTGGTATTGGTGGTTCCGACCTGTATGTCCCAATTTAGGAGAACATCATACTTGAAGATTGGCACAATTGAGCTGACACTTATCTAGCGGACCCGTCATGGTGACGGAGGCCCTCAAGGCCTACTCCAAGCGCGACTTCAGCATCCACTTCGTCTCCAACATCGACGGTACTCACATCGCTGAGGCCCTGAGGGAATCTGACCCCGAGACCACCCTTTTCCTCATCGCCTCCAAGACCTTCACAACCGCTGAGACCACCACCAATGCCAACACTGCAAAGAAGTGGTTCTTGGAGAAGGCAAAGGAGGCCGACATCGCAAAGCACTTCGTTGCTCTCTCCACCAACGAGGCAGAGGTCACCAAGTTCGGCATTGACAGCAAGAACATGTTCGGTTTCGCCGACTGGGTCGGTGGACGTTACAGTGTCTGGAGCGCCATTGGCCTCAGCGTTGCCCTCTACATTGGTTTCGATAACTTCCATCAGTTCCTCGCTGGTGCCCACGCCATGGACAAGCACTTCAAGGAGACTCCCTTGGAGAAGAACATTCCCGTCCTTGGCGGTCTCCTCAGCGTCTGGTACTCCGACTTCTTCGGAGCCCAGACACACTTGGTCTCTCCGTAAGTGCTGCAGCTATTAATTGAGATGACCAACAAAGTCTGACGATTCCCAGCTTCGACCAGTACTTGCACAGGTTCCCTGCCTACCTCCAGCAGCTGTCTATGGAGTCCAATGGCAAGGCCATCACACGTAGCGGAGATTACGTGAAGTACACCACTGGCCCTATTCTCTTCGGAGAGCCCGCCACCAACGCTCAGCACTCTTTCTACCAATTGCTCCACCAAGGCACCAAGCTCATCCCCACTGACTTCATCTTGGCTGCTCAGAGCCACAACCCTGTTGAGAACAACAAGCACCAGAAGTAAGCCAGCTCTACTTGAACTTTACAATCAATTTTGAATTAACTGACCAATTTAGGATGCTTGCTTCCAACTTCTTCGCTCAGGCCGAGGCTTTGATGGTCGGCAAGACCCCAGAGCAGGTCAAGGCCGAGGGCGCTCCCGAAAACTTGGTGTCCCACAAGACCTTTTTGGGCAACCGTCCTACAACATCCATTCTCGCTGACAAGATCACCCCTGCCACTCTTGGTGCCCTTATCGTCTACTACGAGCACTTGACCTTCACCGAGGGTGCCATCTGGAACATCAACAGCTTTGATCAGTGGGGTGTTGAGCTTGGTAAAGTCCTTGCCAAGAAGATTCTCAGCGAGCTTGATGACAACAGCGAATCCACAACTCACGATGCTTCTACAAGCGGCCTGATCAATGCCTTCAAGAAGAAGTCTCAAAAATGACTGGATACTGCACCGAAACGGCAGGGAAAATTATGATTAATGGCCAGAAAAGTACCTCGGGAAGGTGTGGTTCATAGACTGAAGGTCAAATAAATTTATTTCAAATGTTCTAATCATCTCTGTCTTGAGTCCCAATGCGTGCTGTGAGCTCTCCATAGTACCTTGTAGTGTGCACTGAGTACACGGATTGCGGAGTTATGTGCGGAGGTCTTCTTTAGTCGTAGGCCTCGGTCTGGTGGTCAGTGCGCTGCATCTCGCTCCATCTCAATTTAGTCGTCGTCTTGTTGACAGATCCCCAGCAATAACCTGGGTGTCTACTCGTACCGAAATGTGTGCTGCATTGTAACCCCACCTCCTCCTGTCTCATTGTCTGTATATGAAAATGTATCCCCCACGGTCTATTTGGCTCTCCCTTTTGGCGTTGTATTCGTTCTGGACTTCACTGGCACACGCGCTGTCTGGACAAGAACCTCTCAAGTCGGCACAGACGGATGGGTACAAATTGGGAGAGAAGATACCTGTGTCGTGTCTGAACAGGTCAATGTCAGTACAGTTCATGTGATGATGGGCAACTCATCGCTAAAATCCACAAAAGAGAAACAGGAGAACATATTACAGACCTCGCATCCGGGCAATTGCAATACATCCCCTTCCCAGTATGCAATGAGACGGGCAGACCTCTGGAGCTGTTTTTTGGTGTTGAGAAAGGTAATTGATCAATTCGCACAACTATTTATAAATTAGAGAATGCTAATCTCTTGCACAGAAATCAATTGCACGATCGACTTCATATCCGATTCCTTCTTCCATCTCCTCGAATTCTACATTCACAACGATGCGCCCCTGACCTGCCGTATCCCCTCCCGACCCCTACCTCCCTCCCCTATCGAGGACGAATACAAAGTCTCGGATACAGAGTCGCAAGAAGGTGCTCTCGGCACGCAATCCACACTCTACACGCCTATGGTGATAGCCCTCTCCGGCACCCTCCAACTCTCCCACATCCACGTCGGAAACTACCTAAACCTTCTCGTGCACGCGATGCCGAAGAGCGTATCCCCCGGCACTATCGACGCCGCCGCAGCGTATTCGGTGAGCAGCCACTCGCGCAACACCAAGATCACCATCGGAGACACCCTGCCGCTTCAGTTCTCAGTGCGGTGGTATCCCAGCACGACGCTGCCGCCCGGCTGGACGGGCTACGGAGGCCATGTGTACAAGAGTACGTTTCTGTACTGCATACTCAGCGCCGGGGCCAGTGCGGCTATCTGCATCGCGTACTTCAGGGGCGTGGAGCTGCCGAGGAGATTGAAGAGATATGCGCGCGATAAGGTCCCTGGTGGTGGGAGATTTGGTGGAGGTGGCGGGTACGGGCTGCCTACTGTGTCTAATGGAGGAGGTGGCGGCGGATATGGGTTCAATGGGTACTCGTATGGGGTTGGAAAACGGGATTGAGAGGTGTGGAGGCCATCGATGATAACGACTTTGGTGGTTGAAGTGTGCCATGGCTGAATGTAGATAGCAACGTTACGGCGGATATTGTTTTCGGATTATCCTAACATATGCACATGGAATACTGGAATACTGGAATACTTGGAATTATACCGTACCATAGGGGTTACAGTCAGGCGTCGAGGTAGAAAAATCGTTCCGTTCGCAATGATTGGGGATAGATATATGATGAACATACATTGACAGCCTTTCCTCACAGCTTCAAATCCCAAGTTCTCCAGGCGTGTTATACATGTATTTTACTCTAAATTTTACAATATGGAACGCGAGGCCAACGTATATAAATATTCTTCATGTCAAGCAAAAAGTCCACCACCACTACCACCCCTTCTTCGTAAGTTCCGTAACTCTCCCGCACATGCCCTCGAACCCCTGCTTGAACCTATACCTCCACCGGTCCGTCTTGAGCCTCTTCCTCCTGAGACCCGGCCGCTCGTGGAACTTCTGCCTGTTGAAATCGCTCTTCACCTTGTTCCTCGCCATAAGGCTGCCCAGCATGCCAATACCCCTCACGATATCCCGACCCTTCGACGGATCCAAGTCGACCGTCCTTCCGGTAGTGGGGTTCAGGCGCGGATATATCATGTCTTCCTCGCGGAGGGCCGGGGCCTTGGGTAGAGAGCCCGTCATGGCGCCGTCTTCCGGCATGGTCATGTTTTCCCACATGAGGCCCTTGGGCCTTAGGTTCGGCGTCGGCTTCGAGAAGCGGGAGCCGAATGTGTGGCTGACATAGGCGTTTGAGACAGCGTCGGCGGAGTCTGGCTTGCTGCCCGTTCGTTGCTGTTGTTGGCGTCGAGGTGCCATGCCGACGGAGCTGAAGAGGCCGTCGATGGCAGCGCTGGTTTGGGCGTCGCTGGAGGAGCGGGCGGGTGTTGGGTTCGGTGTCTTTTTACTGATGGCCTGCTGTGCGGCTTCGTTGGCCTTGTGGGGTGGTGGCTGGGCTGCCCGGAGGGGTGCTGAGGTGTTGAGGCATCGTTGCGTTGTCCACGATGTCTGTTTCTGCCAGAGCGAGGAGCTTGACGACGTCTGGCCGGCGAGCGGGCGGGAGAGAGTCGATGCTGACCGGGCCAGCAGCTCAATTGAGTAGCGGGACTTCATGCTGATTTTATTGTGTCCCTCCTTCGAAAATTATAGTGGATTCATGGCAGAGTCGATGCAATTGGGGAAACGCGATTGACCTGGTGGTGATCCGATGTGGTACTACTGTGGATTTCTTTCTGGAGGTCGATCTTGGCATGGCATGTATGTGGCCCGTGCGTAGAAATTAGATCTTCAGATGGTGATTGCGACCTTGACTACTCTTTCCAGCCCTTCCCACGCGCGCAATTGTTAACACGTTCTTCCTTCGCGTCTGTTTGAAGCTGGTTTGCTCCTGTGAGAAAGAAACGATACAGCTTCCGCGATGTACAATAATTACAATGGTTCGTTCGCCAGTGTTCATCAACTTCGCAGCCGCAATAGCTAATGTGAACAGCGTCTGGCTACAATCGCCCTCCTCCTGGCTATGGAGGCCCGCCTGGTATGGCACCGCCAGGGATGGGTATGTATTTTGGGCTTCATATTTCCCGCCACATGTTTCCTAGTCAGATTCAACATGATCTATCTAACTAACACGATTCCAGTACCTCCTCCAGGTACCGCTGCAGCACCACCTGGCGTAGCCCCCCCAAACGTCAACCACAACCAAGGCGGCCCTCCCGCTGCCGGTGGACCCCGAGCGCTCCCTCCAAACTGGCAGCCTCCGGCCAACATGCCGAACATCAACTTCAACGCGCCAGTCATCCGACTCGGGACCGGTGGGCCGCAGCGCGGCGCCGCTCTCGACAGCCCCTCGGCGCGACGGGAGAGCGGTGCACCCCCAGCACGTCGCGGCCTGGGCATGGAAGGAAACAGAGATGACCAGGGCAAAGGAAGAGACGGATTGGTAATGCTTATTCCCCCGACGCGCGAGGAGATCGCGCGCACCATCTTCGTCGGCAATATCCCAGAGGGTGCTGGTGGTGACGAGGGAATGGAGAGGATACTCGCGTCGGCGGGAAACCTGCGGCGCTGGACGAGAGCTACCGATGCCAATAACAAGATTCAGACGTTTGGATTCGCAGAGTACGAAGATGCGCAGAGTTTGGAGACGGCGGCAGAGATCTTCCAGGATGTCCTTGTTCCTACTAAGCGTCAGGAACCTCGCAAGCCTAAGGAAGAAAACAAGAAGGATGAAGGTGACAAAAATGAAGGTGAGAAGGAGGACGGTGACAAGGACGAAGCCGACAAAGAGGAAGAAAAAGAGATTGAGAAGACGAAACTGCAAGTGGTGGTTGACGACGCCTCGATCAAATATGCCGAGGACTGGAAAGCCCGCCGCGGTGACGACGAGGAAACAACCCAGTTTCGCATCGATTCCGCTAGGAAGACTCTATCGGAGGTCCTTGCGAGCTTGTTCAATCCTCCGAATCCTCTCCCAGTCGATGCAGCAGGAGATGTAGCAATGACGGACGCCCAGGCCCAGGACGGAGAGGGAGTAGAGGTCGTGCAGATTGCCTTCAACGCCGAAGACGAGCTCTCAGATATCCCGGCAGAGATGCGCGAAATGGTCGCCGCTGAGATCGCTGCTTTCCGCGACCGCTCGAACCGACGAGACTTGGAGCGCCTGAAGCGGGAGGAGGAAATCGAGGCAGAGCAACGCCGCCGTGATAATCGGCGAGCTTCACCCCCGGCCTCGGCTCCAACAGGACCTGGCGGTGCAGGGGCAAACGGTGTTCCACTTGGCCCCAGGGCCGAACGCGGTATCCAAGGCGCACCTAGTGGACCTAAGGGGTCCCAGTTCCCTCGCGACTACCAAGGCGGCGTTAACTTTGTTAACGGAGGTGCTCTCAACCATGGCGTGTACATCAACCGCGAGGACGAAGAAGACTCTGCCAGCGATTCGGAGATCGAGGATCGTCGCAGGAAGAAGCGTGACGACGAGCTGGAGGAGGTCTACAACAAGAAATTGAACCAGTGGCTCAAGTACGAAAGCCGAGCTGTCCAGACGTTGGAGCGCACGAGCGGACGACTTCGAAACGAGGAGGCGGAGCGCGAGAAGGAAAGGGAGGTGCAGGCCAAATTCCTGGAGAACTTCGATGATGACGTGGAGGCCTCAAAGAAGACCCTCTTGTTCTATCGAGACCATGGCGAATACATGCGGCAACGTACACGCAACCGTGATCGGGAAGCAAGAGATGATGCCAACGACCGTAACGAGGAGAACCGCGAGACGGCAGCACAGAACAGGCGAAACCAAGAAAACTCTCGAAAAGCAGATGCATTCCTTGAAGAAGCCGCCGAGGAGATTACTCGATCATCTCGCGAGAACCAGCCGTTCAAGCTATCCCTTGGTGCTGCAGCCAAGAAGGTCGAGCAAGCAGAAGCTCCTCGTCGCACAGTTGCTGAAGTGGAGAATCTTCTTGACGATGAAGAGCTTGCGGAGGGACCCACGTCGAAGAAGCGTACCATCGTACCCATCAACTTCGATGCATCTGTCCGAGCGAACCTCACCCAGGAAGAAATCGTCGAACACCAGAAGCAGCTTGCAAAGGACGTTCCAGGCACCAAAGAAGGCCTTTGGGAGTGGCAGGTCTCGTGGGAGAACCTTCTTGACAAGGTTGTTGATACTGATATCAAAAACTGGGCCGAGAAGAAGATTTTGGAATTGTTGGGCATGCAAGAGGACATGCTGGTAGACCTGATCGTGACGCATCTGAAGGCTCACAAAGGTCCACAAGAATTGGTCAATGAATTGGAGGGTGTAAGTGAACTCTAGTTCCTTCGTTTCATTCAAAGCTAACATGCATCCAGGTCCTCGATGACGAAGCTGAAGCTTTGGTGAAGAAACTGTGGCGCATGGTCGTCTATTACAGCGAGTTGGAGAAGCGAGGCATAAAATAGAACACGCGCTGATTGGCTTCCAACCTGTCAAGTAAAGGAAAGCAAAGCAAGTGTGGTTCCATGAGCCAACGGTTCACAAATCGTTCAGCCGAGGTGCGTCTCTTCGATGCAGGTGCACGGACGAGAGATTGACTTGAGCAGTTTTGAGCAAACATCAATGTGGTGGTTTAGGTATTTTGCATGCGCCACAGAGGCGTAAAGCTATGGACGGACAGCTTTGGCTGCAATACAAAAACTTCGTTTCCTCTCCATCATCTCCCGTTCCTAACATGTAACAGGATACAATCGTGTCCAACGGTGTGCGGCTGAAAGGACATATATATGATCCATGCACCTGGACGTGCATTTTCGTGATGCATAGGGTACGTAGTATGTCAAAATCACCTAACACAAAACAGCGGAGTCACAAGTTGCATGCCAAGCTATGTCCACTCGTCTAAATCCTTTTGAGACGACGACGTCGTGCGAAGTATCTAAGTCATTGTTGCATTATTTTTACGGTTTTGATCGAGGTCTTTTATATCCTCTCGCCTTCAAGAATGGGTCGTGCCTCTTCGCTCTTCCACCAGCTGACGCCTTCCTTTCCTGGGTAGCTGTACCTATCCATGCTATCTGCCTTCATCTCCACGCTGTAACCCGCACTTGTTGGGGTAACGTAGTAACCATCCTTGATCTCACTGGGGTGGAGGAAGTGCTCGTGTAGGTGATCAACGTACTCCAAGACCGACTTCTTTCCTGTGACCACGACATAGTCGATCGTGCTGAGATGTTGTGTGTACTCTGGCAGACCAACACCACCGGAGTGAGGAACAATGGGGACGCCGAACTTCGCGGCCATAAGCAACACCGCAATGACCTCGTTGACTCCGCCAAGTCGGCATGCATCGATCTGGCAGACATCGATGGCGCCGGACTGGAGGAACTGCTTGAAAATGACGCGGTTCTGACACATCTCGCCGGTGGCAACGCCAATGCCGTATGGCTTCAATGCCTCGCGAATGGCTTTGTGGCCCAAAACTACACATGTACATTAGTATCCGTTCAGAACGCTTTAGCAATGGAGACCATGGGTTTTGAATTCCATAGCGAGGAGCTTCTGTACGTACCATCATCGGGGCTCGTAGGTTCCTCAATGAACCACGGCTTGAACTCCGCAAGCTGCTTCATGTACTCAATCGCCTCAGGCACACTCCAGACCTGATTGGCATCGACCATCAACACATTCCCCTTATCGTACCCAATGATCTCACGCGCTATGCCCAGCCTCGTCCTGTCCTCCGCGACATCACTTCCAACCTTAAGCTTAAAGTGTCGGTACCCCTTCGCCAGCGTCTCCTGCAGCAACCCCCGCATCTTATCCTGACCGTAGCCAAGCCATCCCGCGCTCGTCGTGTACGCGGGGACCGCGCGCGACTCAAGCGCCTCCTGTATGCGCTCCGCCTTGCCGGCCTCGGCCTTGGTCAGGATCTCGAGCGCCTCCTCCTGCGTCAGCGCGTCCGTGATGTACCGGAAGTCGATGAGGTCGACGATCTGCTGCGGCGTCATGTCGGCGACGATCCTCCAGACCGGCTTTCCGAGCTGCTTGGCCCAGAGGTCCCAGATGGCGTTGACGACGGCGCCTAGGGCGAGGTGGATGACGCCCTTTTCGGGTCCTGTGTGTTTGAGATTGGTCAGTTGGGGGTCGCTGCTAAGGTGATGGGGAGCTTGAAAAGGGGGAAGGGAGGGGAAATTTACCTATCCATCGCAGCTGGCTGTCGTTGACGAGATGTCTCCAGGTCTTGCCCCAGTTGCTGACGAGGGACTCGAGTGTGTGGCCTTTGATGCGATCTACAAGGTGGGCAATGGCGGAGCACACGATCTCGTTGCCACGGCCAATTGTGAAGGTCTGAGAATTCCTGTCAGTTACTACTGTTCGAAATGGAATTGATGTCCAGAATCTGGTCTTGTGCGAATTGAACCGATTGTAAGGGGCGCATCTTACCATTCCATGACCTTTGAGGTCTGTGTCTGTGTGCAGAATGCAGTATGCGGATGAGTAGTCACCGGCCGCGTTCATAGCATCAGAACCGGTTTTGTCGAGGGATGTCTAGTACCGCAATGTTAACATTCTGGCTATTTGATTCTATTCACTTTGCAAAGCTGTCACCTACGGGGAATCGGACGTCCCGAGTCTCTGCGTGGGTGATGGTCACCATCTTGAAAAAAGTTATGGGATGTGGATGAACTCGAATGAATGCGAGTAAATGAGTTGCGAATTCTTCAATCTACGAAGCTTTCCCGCCTGCTAAAGCTCTACGCAAGGGAATTCAACTGATTGGAATTGTATGAGGGGGAAAAAAGACGCGACAGAAATGACTTTGAGCTCAATTCTCCCTCCGAAACCCGCCAACCCCACGTTTTTATAGGACTCCCCCATAAAGCCCCGCGGTTCAAAACGACGCAACAGCTCCGGAACTATCAACGACATAATAGGTGGAGAAATCAAATGCCGCACCTGATCCGCTATCCCACACGCTTGTTGCAATAGGACCACCGAGCCTCAAGGAACTATTGCCCGCCGCGGTCTAGTCGGATTTCCGGAAAACCGGAGGGGCACGTGATGGGGCCCCCTCCGGCTGTAGATGGCAATGGGATGGAGGGGCATCGTGAGTTTCTCCAGGTCTCGACCTTGCGTGGCTTTACGTGCATGTATTGTCTCTCATTTGTCCTTAGTAGTTCGCACAGCTGAAAGCATTGGTGACAATTGGGTGAAAACATCCCAGTTGAAACATTGGCGACAGTGGGTGTGAAGTCATGTAATTAAGAGATCCATCGGGAGCAAGTGGACAACATGCAGCCCTGCGCTAGACGCCTCATGAAACTAACTCCTAGAGAACCTTCCGTCCCTTAGTTATCCCTACCCCAGAAAATGCCCGGAAAACAAACATTCGAAAAACATACAGAGGAAGCCAAAATATGTTCCTCCTTCACCAATATGCCATTGCTCAATCCTTCTTTCCCACTCCGTTCACGCCCAGTAGTCCATGGCCATGTTTCTCGTCCAATGTAAAGTAGTTGCCCGTGTTTCCGAACGCCCTTCTCCTCATCCTGTTCCTTCCAAACATGCTGCCTCCCAGTACGAGGCCAACGACGACTCCTAATGCTAACCAGGGGTGGCCGCTGACGAATCCGCGCAGGCGGAAGAAGAATCGTGAGATGCTGCCGGTCGTCGATTTTGATGGTATCTTCGGCGGTGAAGAAGCAACCTTACTGATTGTCTCGAGGATGGCACTCCTGGAGACGCGAATAGGCTCACCTGTCACGGTAGTGTCCCAGTAGCGCTTGTTCTATGAGAGATCAGTTTCATACGTTCGGAAAGTTGATAGGTAATTGGGGTTACGAACGTCCTCATCGTTAATGATCACCTTCTCTCCCTCCTTGACGTTAGCCCCAAAAGTCGTCTGAATCCAACGTTCCCAGAAGACGCCATCAACCCATGCAAATCCAATAGATTTACGTTCAATCTCATCCATATCAATACGGATGGCTTTCGCGTTCCGGAGGGCTCTCTGGTCGTCGCGATCCTCGGCTTCTTCGATACGCAGCTGCTTAGCGTCTCTGAGCTCCTGGCGCTCTAGTTGATAGAGGTGTTCTTGCTTTTCGATCCATTCTAGAGCGGCATTCTTGATTTCACGCTTTGCATTGGCGAACTCGTCCGAATGTTCGCGGTTCAGTATACCAAGTACAACCAATTTCCCGTCCATGATTTCGCGGGCGTTGGAAGAAGTCAATTCTGGTACGATTGGGAGCCAGACAGACTTCATCCAGTTGAGGACCTTGCGTGAATCGCGCATATCCTGGGGTGCGAGAGCGCTGTAATAGGACGCCTTGCCGTCTCGAGAAACTACGAGGCGTGGCCATCTGGAGACCTTGAACCGCTTGGCCATCTCTGCGTCGTCGGTCTTAACAAGCTTCGCGTGGCCGATCAGGCTCAAGGTCAGGCGCTCCAATGCCATGAAGTCCTCGCTGGTGGTCGCGTGATCGTAAAAGTAGACAAAGATGACTTCTTCAGTCTCCTCCATCTTTTCAAAGGCCTTGAGATCAACATCAACGACCCCAGAGCCAACATCGACTGCATTCTTGGCATAATCGACCAAATCTCCTACACCTCGAAGACCGTTGTATTCAACACGCTCTCCACCACGGAAGAAGAGGAGCGTGGGGTATCCCTTGACGCGAGCATCTTTACAAAGTCTCTTCTCGATATCGCAGTTGACCTCACCAACATTGAGCTTGCCTTGCATTTGGCGAGCCATCTGTGCCCAATTCGGCTGCAGCGCTTGGCAATGGTGACACCATGGGGCGTAGAACTTCACAAACCAGGGGTCCAGAGTGTTCGTGACAAGATTCTGGAACGACTGTGCTGTTAGGGGCTCCGAAATGCCGGAGGGATTCAGATTCAACTTCGGTTTCGTGCTCTCGACCTTTGCAGCCGGCGTGGGTGTAGATTTGGTCGCAGAAGACTGCGCTGCAACTTGAACAGAGCTCTGCGCCTTCTTGGCCTCCTCTTCCTTAGCGGGGCCTGTCTCTACAGACGAGGCCCCAACCTTGGGCAACTTCGGTCCGCCTTGAGTGCGCGATCCTGGTCGCTCGGCCTCCAGGATTTCCTCAACCCACTTGCTCAGGTCCGCAAGATCTTGTGCACCTTTCTCGCGCTTTATCTCTTTTCCATCCTTGAAGTGGATGACCTGTGGGTAGCTTTGAATGTCATACTCCTCACAAGTGTCGCGGTACGCTAAGCAATCCAATTTCGCAAATTTAAAGTCATAGTAGCGGGTAAACGAGTTGAGCGAGTCGCCTTCGCTCTGGTCTTTTGATGCGATCGTCTTAGAAGTATAGTAGAACTCATATAGCGTCTGCCACGTAGGTTTGAAACGCGTACAGTGAGGGCAGTGCGGTGAGAAGAACTCGAGAAGCCTGTCGACCATGTCAGTATTTGATCAATCGTGCAAAGATAGAGCGCATAATCGTACCAGTTTCCGTTGGCTAGCTCTTGCTTAACTGTTGTTGGAGTCAACTCCTTCATAGGCGGGACTGTCTGGCCATTGAAGATTGTGTCTGGTATGGTATCCGCCTCCCAGTTATCGGTAGATTCTGATCCGCTGGTGTCGGCAGCTGACACTGTTGCGATTGTCGCCAGCGACAGGAGGGTATAAAGAAGGGAGCGCATAATAGCGGGATGCCTGCCTCAGGAGCGGCGATAGGCGCTGTAGGTAGCCCTCGAAGACTGTCGGGTTCAAATCTGGCCGGGATTTAAAGAGGATGTGTGAGTACGTTCGTGTGTTCCCTGGCGCGTTCCTGGCGCTGGAAATGTCCGTCGAGAATTTGGGGGTCGATTCTACAATAAGAACAGAGTAGAGTTCCGGGGAGTCGAGCATTGATGGTCGCCGCGGCGTTAGGTGTGGTCCGAGCTTCTCAAGCCTGCAACCTCAATTCAATATCATCGAAGACATCACAGACTCTACCCATCCATTGCACCTCAACCCCACACCTCACACTCACGTCGCTACCATGAGGGCCGCCGCGAGGCTTCTTGCCAATGTCAAGCAGAGTAAATTTCTCGAGCCTGGCACCCCTACGGGATTGACCGGCCTAATCACACATCCTACGCCTCGCTCCACACTCCTCTACCACTACAGCTCTACATTGGACAAGCTCAAGCAAATTCCCGAATCGTCTGTCTATCGTCAATCTACCGAAGCCCTTACCAAGCACCGCCTCAAAATCGTAGAATCAGCGAAGCCTGCGGGATGGGATGCATGGAAGCAGACAGTGGACATGCAGGTCGCAGATCACCCAGAGGCTTTTGACATCACCACCACGACACTGGGCACCAGCATTGCTCTGCCAAAGAAGCGCAAGGTTGACGAGAGGAGGGCCGCCGCTGAGTGGGATGGCGAGATTGGAAAGAGTTTCCCAGAGGGAAGCCGAACAGAAAAGGAACGAAGGAAGCACCACGCAACTCTGGGAGGACCCGAGGGCTACTCGCCAGATGCTGCGTTCAAAGAGGTCAAGCTTGAGGCTGAGCCGCAACTCACGGCCGAGCAGTATGTCACTCCTGTAGTGGACTAAGTGGAATAAACCTCCGTACTGACAAACGTGTAGAATTTCCGATATCGAGAGCCAGATTGGTGCTGGTCTGATCGAGGAGGTCATCCAGGTCGCTGAGGGAGAGCACAAATTAGTAGACGAGATGGTGAACTCCAAGATGTAAGTGCAGCCTCGTCCCTTTCATGTATTCACGAAGCTAACGGGAAACAATAGCTGGGAGGAGCTCACGGAAAAGGCACCTGAGGGCCAATGGTCCTACTTCGAGCGTGGTGCTCATAAGCCATGATCTGGATCTGGACGGTTTGGGGTAGTTGTGTAGATATATGAGAAAAGAAGAAAGTACCAATCAGATCTGTTTAATTAGTCAGACTCAATCCGCGAGGCTTGTTTGAATCATGTCCATAGCAGTGAGAAAATTCCAGTATGAACACATAAAATTGCGCCTTAAGTGTTCGATGAAATTTACTGGACTCTTACTCTTCACTGTGCGCTTGCTGTAAGGTCTTGCGTTGGCTACAGCGGTCAATTCACACATTCTAGCAACTTACATGATCGCAGCAGCATAGGAAGATCGCATCCATTCCGAACAGCTATAGGTCATGAAAATGAAGGAGATTCTGATCTGTCTACATATAGTACTCGAGCAAAACGCGCCGCGTATGCAATATTCGTGGCACTTCGGCTTAATTTATGATACCTTATCTACAGCCACTTTCCAATCGTCGTCGTCCCCTGGCTATGCATTCGTTGTTCATTGATCACATATATGTTATAACCCATTAAGAATTCTCCCATGCCATGATTTATAGATGAATCTCATGCTGCGCATATAGCATCTCATACCGACCTGTAAGCAGGAATGTAATGTGTGCTAACTCCGAGGAGCGGATACCGACATGTAGATTGATTCTAACCCATTTTACTATGACAAAGATATTATCCTACACCCGCATATGCTGAAAGATATACGTTGTGTCTGGGTTGATCTTCGGATGCCATTTCATCACGGTACGGGGTGACAGGTACGCTCTACCAATATGTTGACATTATATTCTATCTTAAAACGATGCACTCAAGGTACCAGCAAGGTAATATGCTGCAGTCCACAAATCCGGTATATTTTTTAGTATTCATCAATAATCCAAAACATAGAACATAGTTAGACAGGCTAAGAGGCGACAGTGGCTCCGAGTATGAATAAAATGAATCGTCAGGCTTGATCGCAGGAGCAGTCGCTGAAGTCATGGCGTGGATTACTTTTATCTAGTATACAATTTTATACACAATTTTATACATTATGGCAACATACAGATCATATTTCGGATTATATTAGTTATTGCTCTGCAACTTATGAAGCCATATCGTATAAGAAAGAATACCAACGTCCATGTTGTTCAGTCCTTTCTATGGACTGTCAGTAACCACAATCATTCCATACGATATTTGGAACTGATCATAATTTGGTAGAGTGATTTTTTTCCTAGTGTCCACAAGCACATATGCTTCTGATATCCCGGTTTAAGGAGTTTAAATCACTGTCACTCTATACTTCTCCATAAAAAACCCAGAAGATATCCTTGAACGTATGTAACTAAACAATCAAACGACACCATCAAACCCTGTCCCAAGAATGATAGTCAATGAAGAATACTATTTCTATGATTGTTTAATCCGTACCATCGATCCTAGTATAATCCATATCTTGCTATTGCTAGAATTAGAATTTACAGTCTTTATATCATTGATTGATGCGATTGTACACTATAATACACTATATAAAATAATTGAAAACATGAAGCCATAAGAATTGTCATTCATCTAGTCTCAATGATGTACATCATGTCCTGAAATCATTACTCTAACGCACCTACAATCAAGTAATTCGTCTTGGATGCCCGTTCGTCATTTCAACCACCCCCATCGAGAGAGTGCCAACGAAAAATCTGAAGCAACGGCAACAACCCCATCTTTTATTTATTCACCAGACAGTGTCTGCCAAGGAGAAACGAAACGAATAAAGGTTCAAATCTCTCCATCGACTGGAATCTACGAATAACCCCGCCTACTCCATCCTCATTTTCTCAACCACTAACACGATCGGCAGGGATAAGCCGTACAATGATGTAAAAGAGAATATAGGTTGCTTAATAAAGAGCCTACCACTCCATCTACAATTTTAATTGAGGAGAGATCGCATTGCTACTGTAAACATCCATTGTACTCGTGGGTAGACACTGTGAATTGTGGATTGAATACACATACGTTGAAATAGGTCAAAACAGCTTACATCCAATATCGCTGTAATAGGCACTTTCTGACGGATGAATAGACAGAATTAGACGGCCATGACAGTGGTGGTAGCAGTAGTCCATTCTACCGTATCCGATTCATATCATGTGTCCTGATCACACCAAAAGGGGTGGGGAGTCCAGTGCCCGTTACTTGGAGCTGGAGAGATACTTTGCGGTTGCGTAACAATCTTGAGTGGACTGGGACACGCGAGAGTAAATACATTTTGAGATCATGTAAGTATCATACTGCATGAGAAATCAAGTGAGGATTATTGGCGATGGGAGAGCATCGTTGCCTACGGTTTGCTCGATGTTAAGATATGTTTTGGGAGAAAGGATATTGATACGTAGGTCGCGTACGGGATTTCAGATGAAAGTAAAGTGTACACTATCCGCATCAGATTTGTTTTTGTCAGTTTTATGTATAAGCGTTCATGAAGCACGTAGAGTATGTACACAGTTTACAAGAACATAAAGTATATACATAAAACCTTCTCGTCTTACAATACCGCTTAATATAAACATCTCTACCTATAGAAGAGATACAGGAAAAACTCAGGAGAAAAAAACGGATCGAAGATGAACGTCTTTTTTGATAATACGAGTCTGGTGTATAAATTGCTTCATGTTACAACCACATGTTTACGCATGATATTTCAGAAATGTTGCTCCACCACTGCGATCGAATGTAGTTATATTGAGATCCAATACCAGACGACTGTTGCAGATATTGAATTATCGTCTGATTCCAATATATACATGTGTATACATACGAGTGTGATTTATGAGATTCCACAAATTCGCGGTGACATCCCATCATCATTTCCTCTTCCCTCACACGACCAAAACAACACACGACCAACCGATAAACCCTTCACACAAGCTCCCGACTAATCTAGAAGTAAGAATTGCATGGCATAGTGGAGCACCTCCCGCCTCGGTAGCACTGCATACATATTGTACAAATAGAAAGGGTCTTAACATTAGGCGTACCGCACCGCACCACATCTGGGGACATCGAGATGATGGACAGGGACGGGGGCAAAACGTGGAGATGCAAACAGGGAGGGACTGAACTGAATTGAACTGTGATCAGCATTGTTCCTGACGCGATGGATCATGTTCCATCTTGTGATTGTCGGGTAGTGTGTCTGGGCGAGATGTATGTCAAGCTTGCTGCTGGACGGGTTGTCACGAAGCACACAATGCGGCGAAGGGATGGTTGGAAGGGTCGAGCCTGGATGATGATGATGGTGCTGATGGAAGACAGGTCTGGCCAGAGGTCACATTCGCCACGGCCGTAACTATAGACTCATTCACAATCATCAAGGCTGTACACAGTCTAATTTTGACGTTCGAGAAACTATCGTGAGGGCGCCTTGAAAAAGGCTTATGCCTGGGAGGTCTCGACACGCCTGGAACACCAACAGGCAAACCATCACTACAGTGAAAATAGCTAATAATGAAAGCGCGTGGCAGTTGTCCGTATGAGACGAGTAATAACCAATAAGCCAGTGCATCTCTAGGTAGACGGCGCATCACTGTTGTCAGACTTGACAAAGCACCGCCATTGTTTCGCATACTGCCACATGGGACGAAAGCCACGATAGTGGGCCGAAGTGGCACGGCGAGGTGCACACACACAAAGCCCAATGAGCCTGACCCGTGACGTGAAAGCAGGATGGAAACAACTGCGACCTCCCAAATCACCGGACAGAACCTGCATGGGAAAAATCGCCTACTGTAGGTGACTGTAGGCCATACACACCTCACGGCAATGACGCTGTTCTCGGTGATCGGATCGAGCCATCCGTCATCATTCCCTGGAGGGCATACTGCATTGGGAACTAGCGATAGTCACCAATCCGAGATGGACAGGTAGCAGGACAGAAGGTGCATGGAGACTTGCAGTAGCAGATCATTAGTTGTTCAGCGACCAACGGCAACTGGCGTGACTAGTTGCATAGTTTTGATCGATAGCGGCCGAACTCTGGAAGGAAAGAATAGAAGAAGAACGGAACGGAAACAGAAGAGACTTCGATATCGAATGGACGGGACGTCGATGCATGTTGACAAGTCAACTATTAGTTTTTGCCGACGAGTGATGCCCAGCCAAGAAGCGATGTTATGCATCAGGAGTTGGACTGGCAGAGACGGTGTGCAAAGGTCGAACAGATCGGGTTTAGCGGATCCGGCTAGACATCGGAAATCGGCAAAGAGGACAAGGGAGTGGGAGGAGTTCCTGGCACTAATAACGACTACTAAGCAGATTAATGAAAATTGGTTATGAACTTATGAGCATGGTCATAAGTCATAAGTCAAGACCAAGGTCAAGGTCAAGGTCAAGGTCAAGGCTATGGTCATGGTCCCAAAGTTAGGATCAACGCGGTGTGGCGGCAGACAGTTGGACAGCCCACCCAACCCACCTATTCTTCCCATTACAAGTATTCTATGGAGCCGGCGGGCGGCACGCTGCAATAGCTTATTGCAGTGAACCCGATTTCCCAAATCCAACCCCAAAGAAGGGAGAGTGGAGGGTGGGAGGGTGGAGGGGAACTGACATCGACTGTCAAGTCTCCCGCAGTTGCCCCATTGAAAAAGAAACCCTAAAGCTCGCTCTTCATGTGGCCCTTGGAAGGATCGCGTGCACCACCGACCGCGCGTGGGTCTCCAGCAAATAGCTTAATTCAACTTCTCGCGAGGTTTGTGTACGTCGGAGTAGGTGTTGATACTTTCTGATGGGTATGCGTTGCTGGAAAATAGTGCGCGATATGCTTTCATCGTCGGGAACCGTTCGGCAGACTGCACGCCTCACGAACAACGAGGCTCCCTCTTCCCAGTGATTGTCACAACCAGCTGGACCTTGAGTTGGCGGTCGGAGTTAACACTGTAGTCTTTCCCGCCAAGGCCAGCGCTACAACTGGCCTAAGGAGGAAAAGAAAAAAAAAACCCAACTAGCGCGTTCAGGGTTCGTGCAGATGATTGAAGGCGTGATAACAGGTTCCAGGAGTGTTGAGATGTGAGTGGGAGAATTGTTGCTGTACACAATAGACTACGGTACGCCACGCCACGAGACACGGGCTTAGTTCGGCGTTTGAAGATTTCGTACAGTACAATGGGCGGTTGCAACTGTGCCCTTTTCCGTACTTCACCATGGAGAAAGAGAGCAACCGACTGGAAAGCTGGATCGGAGTCAAACAACCGGTGGTGATGATGTAGAGGTGTTCCGCACATGGATAAGTGCACACA